GTGTGCTGTCTCTCTCTCTCTCTCTCTCTCTCTCTCTCTCTGTGTGTGTGTGTGTGTGTGCCCCTATGACAATGCCTCAGGCCATCAACATTAGTTGCAATCTCGCTTCGCCTCGCCTCGACAGAGTAAGTGTGGACACGATCCCAAATGTCACCTGAACGATCCCGATGATTGCCAAGAGGGCAAAGCACAAGTCCCTTACGCACTCACCGCACCCGCAAAGCCCACCACACACGAAATGAACGAATTGGAGCAGACCAGACCAAACCTGACCAGGACAGAATGGACGGACGGACTGACTGAATGACTCATCTCGCGTCCAATCGCAGTGACAGTGCCAACACAGATGATCATACTAGGTAGGTAGATAGGTTAGATAAGGGTAAGGCAGGTGAAGTTTTGACGAGCGTCCAGCTCTCGATGTCTGTTTGTTGTTGTTGTTGGGGGGAGGTTGTGAATCGCGATAGGTCAGGTACCTTACCTGACCTGACCTGACCTGACCTGTATGCAGCTCTAGGTGTGAATCTTTTTGATCAACAACAAGTTGCGTTTTTGCTGCATGATCCACCAGAATTGGGGGGAAGACTTCCGTTTGGACCGAGGCTGATGAAGGCTGCTTTTTTTTCTTTTTACGAACGAGGGCACATGATTGTTTAGAGTTAGGTACCATGTATCTTTACCTTATGCTTACAGGTTACAGGTTACAGGTTGCAGGTTACAGGTACAGGTAGGAGGTACAGGTAGACTGAGGGAGTTTAGGCCCAACACGTGAGCCGCGCATATGTGCACTCTCCCATCCAAGCTAGTTAGTAAGGTCAGGTAGGAGGTAGCGAGCGAGCGACTTGGGACTTCTATTGGTACATGTCGGTACCGGGCACGGCGGGCAGGTACATGTATGTACCTTATTAGACCTACCTACCTAATCTCCAACTCACAGTGTTGGGCAGATGTTTCTCCTGTTATTATTATTAGGTATACATTGAGATCAGGCATCACTCAATCCTCTAGGTACCTTAACCTACCTCACCTATCGATAGGCTGACAGTGAGTGGTGGATGGTTTTGCGTGCTGCGCATTAAGCGCTCTCCCTCACGCTCTCACTCTTTCGCTTTCTCGCTTTCTCTCGCTCGGTTCGAGGCACCAAGCACAGCTTGCGACGCAAAATTTCACCGATTGGGCAAAAAATAAGGAAGGGAGAAAAAAAGTTGGACCGGAAATGCAACGTGGTGAGATGATGCTCTCTCTCTCTCTGTCTTTCGCCAATAACTGCCAAGTCGTCCTCCTTCATCCTCCGGCTGCGAAAGTTGCCAATCCGGCGAATTGTCGTATTGCGGGCGTGGTGCGTGGGTTGTGAAGCTGTTTTGCCATTACGGCGTTTAATTTATTGACACGTGCAAGGCATGATTATGCATTAGTATTATTATTATTATGAACAGCACAGTTACACAGCAGCCGTTCGATGTTGAACAGAGTAAAGTGATGTGGTGACACTCGAAAAGAGGTGTTCTCGCTGTGCAACGCCTCGTGCAGATGCAATGCCGGGTGTCTACAGACAAGCGAGATCGCTTTGCGGGCAATGGCATCACAAAAATACAATAATCATGATGTTAGCATAGCTGAATAATCTGTGATACATCAACTGTCAACGCGCGCGCGCGGTCTCTCTCTCACACACACGTGCTGGTGGAACCCGGCAACGTTTGTTTCCTCCTAAGAAAGCGCGGAGTGGTTCTATTATTTTGTTGCCGCCCTAGGCGGTCTCGCGTCGAGGTATAGATACATACCTACCTTACCTAGGAGGGATGTGGAAAGGTCCTAAAACAATAGTAATGTGCGGTGAACTGACTCATTACTTGACCGCTGGTTCAAGCACAACAAGTTTATTAGCAAGTGTGTATGAAAGTGGGCATGGTTTGCCTATTCGTTCGATTTTATCGGCAGTGGTGGGTGGCAGGCAGGGCTGGGAGCCTAGCAGTCATCAGTCTTGTGAAAAGCTCGTGACTGTGGTATAGAACTATCGAGCGGTCCGAGAAGTCTGCCCAGCAGTGTCAAGGGTAGGGGCTTTGGCTGCCATGCAGAATGGATTTCCTTGCTTGCCCTGCCTGAGACAAATGGAAATACAGGCTACCTACCTAGGTACCTGTATGTACATGTATACAGCAAGCCGATGGATCATGGCAGCAAACGACTCGGCCGATTGCGATCGATTTCCCGGGCAATGGTCTAGAACGGGCCATGACTGCATTACAATGTGATGATTCCGCGACCACTCTCTGGTGACATTTACGCTCGCCTCTCCCACACCGATATAGTCGGGCACCTGGACTCATGGAGTCACCGGCTTGGGTATGAGTGCCTCTTCACACTCTCCACAGTGCGCCGGTTGGAGGTGACAGGTTCAAATGAATATTGCCCCTTGTCCGGTCCATCACATGTGCTGTATGGCAGTCAGTGTATCCTGCTCGATGTATCGATATCCCAGAGACCGGCCAGAGACAGTCCCATCACCAATTCACCGTGATTTCGTTTTGTGGCAGGCCCGTTCCGATACGGCCCGCCTGCCGCCGTGTCGCGCCTCCCTCCGTCGAGCCGCTGTCATCTTGCTTTTCTCCGATGGATCTCCTCGCTCGCACCCGCCCCCATGGCTGACCTCACGAGCACTGACGACGGTACCTACACTGATACACACTGCCCAGTGGTGGGCGCAGTGGTCGACTTCGTACCATTTCTGACATCTCATGAAACACACGAGCGCTGCTCCAGCAGTCCTGCCACCCACCCGCTGAGCGTCCAGGTCACGCGCACGTCTGACTGCAGCGTGGATAAAACTATGGCCGCTGCGACCCCTGCGCAGCCCATGCGGAACGCGCAGCCTCGCCAGCCTCGTCCATCATCATCATCATCATCATCAGCCTCCTCTGCCTCTGCCAGTTTGCCAGTCTCCCAGTCTGCCCCTGAACAAGATCTGGCGAGGGATCGCTTCGATCCAGCAGTGAATGCGCATCCATCCATAGAATAGCGCTGGATGCGTCCGGCGTCCCGGCCTGTCAGCCCAACGGAGCGGACACTCTCACGGTGACGGCGCGCAGCAGGCAAACGGCCTCGATCCGGTCCTATCGTCTGCAGCTTGCATAGCTTGCATGCACCACTGCCCAACAGGCCAATCAAGAAACTCCTCCACGCTTGGGCACCGAGAGTAGCTCACTGCAGCAGTAGTGGACAGTGGACAGTGGTGGTAGTGTGTCTGTCGCGGTGACAGTAGGTACTGTCGCTCTTCGCGTGCGCTCTCCATCGGGCCCATCGTCCCGTCACGCAGCAGCATCCTATTCCTGCTTCGACAGAGAGCGAGAGCAGCAGGAGTAGAACTAGTGCCTCCGTCCTGCTGCTGTTGCTGCTGCTGCTTGCTTGCTTGCTACCGTTGTTATTGTTGTTGTTATTGTCTACTACTACCTGACCTGACCAGAGTAGTTCTATGCTACATACATCTATTTAGCCTGCGGAGCACCACGACTACAAGGTCATCCCTACGCGTCGCCACCCTCGACCTGCCTTCTTTCAGCATTGATTGTCGCTCACGCTGCCTACTGCCCACTGCCCACTACTGCCCACTACCCACTACTGCTCCTGCCACCAGTACTGAGTTGCTCCTGCCGCCGCTCGTTCAAGCCAGACCTCGGACCCTGGCTACCTTCCTCACGACGCGCGCAACTTGCGACACGCAAAGTCCGTTGCCCGACCACTCCTGCCGCCGCTGGAGCAGAGAGCGGAATAAGCTTTGCTGCGCTACACCGCCTCGCCAGAAGCCTCACCTACTAAATGGAATTCCACGCAAACACGTACCACCCACACTCTGCTGCTTTTGTCGACGACGACTCTGCTGTGCTGGATCCTGCTATACTGGATCCCGCAGCCATGCAGAGCCCGAATGCTCCCTCGTTCCGCAAGGACTCTTTTGCCAACAATCCCCATGGCGTGCTCTCTCCCGCCGACTCGCAGTGGGATCAACACTACACCGGCGGTCTGGCTGTCGACAGCAGCGCATCCGCTGGCGCTGCGCATCCCTTTCATGATGATGGATCTGGCTTCATGCGGCAGCAACAACAACCACCACCACCACAACACCATCACCACCATTCGCAATCGGGGTTTCCGGCGCAACCCCAGCCGGGACAGTGGCCTTTCGAGAATGCTTCTGGAGACTGCACGCCGACGACTGGCGTCGATTTCATGCCTCCACCGCCCCCGTTCGAGGCGGGGCCACACTATGTTCACGGCCGCGCAGACAGTGCACATGGCAGCTTCAGTCATGGCCCGCCGCCGCCGCAGCAGTTCAATGCACAACATCCGGAACCACACTTCATCCCAGCTCCCCAGGTTCAGACGCCCATGTCGCCCCACTCACATCAAGACTGGATGGGCATGGCGCAGCAGGAAATGGAGAATCGGCCTTTGTCCAAGCGCATGAGGCCGACAAGCCCCCCTCGCGCCTTACTGGACTATCAACGGCGAGATGGCATTCGCAAGAAGAATGGTCGAATCGATATTCCGCAAGAGCGCAATATCCAGACGATCGATGAGCTCATTGAGCAGACCACGGACGAAGACACGCTCAAAGAGCTCAAGCAGCAGAAACGTCTTCTCCGCAACCGCGAAGCAGCGTAAGACTCTACTCGGCAAGTGAACGTTCATGACTCATGCTAACATCACGACAGACTTGCATCGCGGCAGAGGAAGAAGAAGCACACCGAAGACCTTGAGGTCAAGGAAAAGGGTTACACAACGCAAATCGCCATGCTCGAAGCACAGCTGAACGATTTCACTCGTGAGCGTGAAGTCCGTGAGCGAGATCGGCAAGTTGTACACCAACGCCTAGCGGAAGCGCAGCGCATGATCGATAGCATGCAATCCGAGAAGCGAGAATTGATGATGCGTCACAACGAGGAGGCTTCACAGTTGAGAAGGAAGGTGCAGATCCTGACCGAGCAGATCGAAGCGGGTCCCGCACCTGCCATGTCCGCTGCTCCAAGCAGTACCGGCTTCACGGACTTCAATGCGGAAATGGAGGCGCTGAATATGGGTTCACACGACTGGGACAATTTCATTTTTGTGAACGACCTCCAGAACGGCTCCTCCGACGATTTCGCCTTCCATCCCAAGCCGGAGCCGAACAAGACCCCCAACATTGAGACGAAGCCGATGCCGAGTACTACTCTTCCCAATTCTGCACCGCGCAATACGCCACCCGTCAACGACCAACCTGTCGCATCTGGCTTGCTGTTTATGCTTCTGCTGTGCGGCGCCTGGATCGCGTCGAAACCTCCCGCCTCGCAACCCCACGGTCTGCCCCAGATGCCAGCGGATGTTCGCGCGGCAGCACCTGCTGTGCTCACTAGCCTGCTTTCGGAGGGGAGCTCTCTAGTCGACCCAGACTGTTCACAGGGAGCGATGGCAGGGGCTCAAGAGCCGGTGTCTTCGGGCCTTCCCCAGTCTGGCAGACCTAGCAGCCTCGATCGCATGCACAATGCCATGACGGCGTCGACAAAACAGCAGCAGGTTGAACAAGCCTTCTCCCTGACACAGATGCAGTATGCATCGATAGCAAAAGGGCACATCCAAACGTACAATCAGCATCCAGAGACTGCTCCGCCTCAACGACGTGTCCTCGCCGAGGCATTGGCCAGCCTCGAGCACGATCAAGCTCGCAGTAACAACAAGGCCGAAGTCTACACCAGGAGCCTGCTTTGGAGTCAGATACCAACCGATGTTGTTCGACAATTTAGGGAGCTGGTTCGCGAGCACAATGACCTCGAGTCCCGACAACAGCAAGCTCGACGGTCAAGCCACGATGTCACGTACAAGACGGATTAACGATGATGATGAACAAACATGACGATGAAGCATAGACGACGACGACATATCACAACGACACGACATGATGGACAAAGAACCCACTTCACTACTACTACTATACACGACAGAAGAACCTGGCTCAGAGACTCAAATTCTTGGCTACCGCCTGCTCGATATCGGAGGAAAGGCTGATATCGGCGGCTATTTTGTATTCCCGCGATACCCAACGTTGGACACCCTCCACACTTTTTGTCCGACAGTCTACGACGACAAAATACTTTTTATTAGCTTTACGAGATCAAGGATGGAAATGAGAGGCTCGGCAACATATACGCCTGGAGCATGGACGCTACCTACGATGAAGATGTATGTGTGTGTATGTGTGTGTGTATTTATGGAGAAGATGGTGCTGTACATTATCGCCTGCTATCTTCTTCTTACTCAATAATTTCGGCTGCCAAATTATGTCTTTGGATTGTACTTGTCTTTCCAGATCCTGTTTTCGCGAACGAGTTAGCGTCTCACATCTGAGCGGAGCGTGAGCACTAGGTAAGATGTGTAAGGTAAGGTAGGTAGGTCAGGTATGTCTGCTGAAGGTAACGCCGGCACTAGGTTAGGTCGGTAAGGCACTGCCCGCGCCCCCCTCCCCCCCGTTCACAACAAGCTCGGAACCGAACAACTACCTAGTAATAGTCATAATAAAGTAATAATGCAGGCAGCAGGTACGACTTTGACCGCCTGCATCCTGACCTCGGCCGGCAGACTGACTGTTGCAGCTTGAGCTAGGTAATAAGGTAAGGTAGGTAGGCTAAGACTTGTCAAACGCCGATGAGCGGATGAGAAAAAGACATCGTGTGTATCGTGTGTATCGTGAGCAGGTTTTTTTTCTTTTCGTTTCGTTTCCCCCCCTCCAAGATTATTATTGGGGCGGTGTGTGTGGAAAATCGCAAAACGCAAGGATCCAATGATTCCAATCCATCCATCCGATTGACGGCAGTCTTCGTTTTGCTCCTCACCATGGAAAACTGGGAAATGATAGAGAATGAGAGCGAAAGAGGGGGAGGGGGGAAGAGAGAGGGAGAGGGATGACGGAGAAACGTAATAAATTTTTTCCTTGTAAACATACCAACTTTGCGCGACGCCTTTGGAGCCTTTTGCTTCTGCTAGACGCAAGTACTGCGCCGCTTTGAACTAGAGTCGTTGAGGAAGCTGGTTAGTTCGAATTCTTGTTTTGTTTTGGTTTGCACTTTTGCTTTCCAGCTTTGCGTTATTGTGATTATCCGGATACGATGAAGATGGTGATTATTGTGGTTGTTATGATGATGGTCATGCAGCTGACAGGTGCATGAATGCCCAAATTGTGAGGCGTCGCACGAGCGGTTCCGCTGCCATCTTGGATGTTTTCTCTTGCAGCTGCATTGAATGCAATTGTGCAGCGCGCGGGTGAGGTAGGATTTGAACGAATAGCTGCACACCCTGGTGGATCACCACCACGATGAAGCGGCTGTTGCGCGAAACCGCGGAATGATAACGATAATAATAGCAGTCATAACACAGAAATAGTAAACGGCTGCTTCGAACCTCTGGCCGCTCACGTGGAAGCATCATGGGGCCGTGGAGAGACAGGGAGCCACGTGAGCTGACGCCGATCCAGAGCAGACACACAAATGTAGGACATACGCACCACGTACCTTGTCTTTGCTGCCGCCGAATCCCTCGAGGTAGCACCAAGCCGCTTCTTCCATGGCGTCGGTGTCGCCCAGATTGGCTGCCGTTTCGTAGTACTGCCTGGCGGCCACGCTATCCTTTTTCACTCCATATCTGAGTAACAAGTGTCAGCCACAGCTCAACATGGGCTCGGCAAGGAGGAAGATTGTCACCCATATCGAAAGCAGTTTGCCAGTTCAAAGATGGCTAATACGAGCTCACCCTTGGCTGAACCTCCCTTTTTGAGGCCCGATTGCAACGCTTGCTCTTCGACAGACGCGGAATTGGATGCTGCAAGTGATAGGTAGTGAACGGCCTTTTCAGGCTCTGCAGCAGGCAGACCCCACGCATGACGGAGAGCAAGGCCGTACAAGACCTGTGAAAGTGCATTGTTGGCTCCCTTGGGATCGGCGAGCTGGCCAAACATTTCCGTAGAGCGTATGAGATCTCCTTGCTCGTGTAGTCGTATCGCTTCTTGTATATTCACGTCACTTGTCTTGTCCGATATGCTGGGACTCCTGCTTCGGCCGGCGCCGCCAGGTGCTGCTTGTTGTGCCTCGGGGCGGACTTGCTCGTCGCGGAACGGACTGTTCATGGCCAAGATGGTCGCGCGCTTTTCCCATTGCGCCTCACGCTGCTCCTCTCGATCTCTTGCTGCCTGGACCTCGGCATCGTCCACATTCACCGCAATGGTGCTGGTGGGTCGTGCTGCGATGGCAGCCTGTGGCGCGTCTGGCAGATCCTTGGGCAAGTTACTGCTCGACTCCGCGGACTGCGCGCGGTCTCGACGAGAGAGATGCAGCCGCTGGGACAGGCGACGCTCGTCTCGCGGGCGTGTAGGTGGTTGTGGGCTCGAAGTCCAGCCAAGCGTACGTCGCTTGTCCTTGCCGGTGGTGTCTGGGCGTGTTTGGTCGTCGTCCGGATACGTGGGCGGCTGGATCACTTCTTCCGTTTCAGTCGTCGTCCGCAGGAAGGTGAACTCGGGCACTGGCAGTCGTGTCGGCTCGCTTTGCACTGCACTTGTACCCTCCGCCAACTTGTCCTTCTTCTTCAATAGATCTTTCAGACCCGGCATGGCTGGAGAGCTGTGGGTAAGGTATGGCCGAGCGAGGTATTACGTCAAGAGGGAGAGCTGAAAGACAGGACGTGTACATGTAGCAAGGTAAGGATGACAGCCTACCGGTGTGAACGTGAAAGGAATCGCTAGCCAAGGTACAATCGAGCGACATTGTGCTTCTGCTTGGTGCAGATCAATCTTAATGAAGACATGGCTGGGCTGTGTCCCCGGCTGAGTCGTTACCTGTACTAAACCACATCTTACTATAATTTGGACATGTAAGGTACCTGACCTGTGCCTACCTTACCTACCTGGTACATGTAGGTACCGTAGGTACGCATCGTCTGTTGCACCACTTTATTACCTACGTGTGACAAATTGAACATTGTTAAAACTTCATTCTTTTTCTTCTGCTAGAGCTATATCTGTATCGTAGTCTCGAAGCAATTGGCCATGAGAGGCTTGCTGGCAAACGCGCCGGCTGTAATCGTGTGCTGTACGGCTTACACTTCTCTGACGGCCCCCATCACGAGGTTGCGTCATGTGAAGCCGACATAATCTTGCTGTTGTGTGAGCTGATGACTATCGTCTGTGCCCATGGTGATCTCGATATCTGAGTCTTCATCTGTCTCGGCTGCTATGGCCTGCTCTTCCTCGTCGCTGGACACATCGGAACCATCCTCAGAACTCTGTTTTCCTTGCCGCTTGGCAGCCTTTCGCAGTGTATTGGCATGGTCGATATGAGGCAGAGTACATGCACGTTTCTCACGAGCAGCACAGTGGCCAAGGTTAGTATAGTCAGGACATTCGAAAACGTGACGATTGCCGCATTTGACGCCCTTGCTGCAGTAGCCGAGAGTGGCAAAGGGGCGGCAAACTAGAACGGAAGCAGGGACATTGACATGAGCATACCGGCATGCACTTTTCGTGCAGTTGCCGCGAAGGAAATGGATGCACGCGGGCACACGGTGATAGCTCGGCTCGTGAGACAAATCGCAGCTCTTGCCAGCTTGACAAAAACCAGTCGCAAAGAACTCCTTGCAGATGGCGATTCGGCTTGGGTCGTGGCGATCGTTGCAGGTGGGACCATGAGGACAGTTACCTGCACAGTCTGTCAGCATGTAGCCCGAAAACTTACCGGCGTGCCTGGAACAATAGGGTGTGTCAATGGCCTTCGTGCGGTGCGGTGCGGCGCCGTGGCATGATGATGGGTGATATGGTACCATGTTTTGTGAACTTGTCGCATTGCTTTGTCGGAGCTCGTGCGGTGGGCCTGAAACGGATATGGTGTGAGCGCTGTTCATCAGCTTAAGCGCATGAAGTGGTTCCTGATACCTGGTCTTATTTTGCGAAGTGGTTGCAGCTCGGATGAGGTTCCCGCTCTTGGTGCGCAGGAATTCAATGTCTGCAATATTCACTTTTCTAGGCGTCTCCTTGTCGGCCGTGGCTGGATCTGCGTTTCTTAGTAGGTTACAAGCATCGAATTCCACGTACCGCTCACCGGAGAGGCGAACAAGCTTGCTGCCATCCAGCTGAAGCTCAAATTTGATGTCGTCAAACTGAAGAACGCGAGGTGCATGAGCATTGGATTGCGTCTCTTGTACAAGGCCTGTCGACCGCGACGGAGGTGGGTATGGTGTGTTCGGCGATCGGTGCTGCTGGTATTCTTGCTGTCGTCGTCGCTCGCGCTCGTAGGTCTCCTTAGTCATAAGCTGCGCTCTGTTACCTACGCGAGACCTCACAAATTCGGCTGAAGCCTTGGGCGCGCCCTGGGGCGTCTTCAACTGCGTCTCGTCGTCGAGCAGGATCGGGTGCTCGCCACTGCCGTTGACCAGCAGGTGGTTTGAGATGGTGCGTGGGAACGCAGCGCGCGCGCCATGCGTGTATGGGGCCCATCGGCTGGCGCCACGTCCATGTTGTGGACCACCGTGCACAGCATGTTGGTGTGGAATCGGTTGTTGTTTGCGACGGTTGATCTGACCAGCAAGCGCAGCAATCCGCGCCTGCAGGTCTATTTGCGTCTCTTGACTCATTTTGCCCTGTTATCAATGCCGTAGAATAATCCGCCGACGTTCGAATTGGCGAAGCGAGCTGCCTCGGTGCGGCGCGGTTGTATTGGTTTCGGACGGGTCGAAGTTGTTGTAGGTAGAGAAAGAAAGATTGGAAGGAAAGCGCGCTTGGTTTGACGACCCGCTGGTCTGAGTCACGTGAGACACTCTCTTGGCAAGATGCTTTCACTTCAGGTTTACTCATTTCACTTTATTACACTTCGCTTCACTGTACATCAATTCACTGCGCTGCACTGCACTCCAATTCACACCAATTTCTGAACGGCCGATGCAGACGTACCGGTTCTTGAATTAGCCCGCTCTATTTATTCAACTTGCACGGTACCTGTAGTATGGCAACAATGCGCGGTGGCTTGCATTCCCTCATTTCTTGCTCTTTTTGCCAAAATCTAGCTTCGTCTGGCTGTGCTCTCTTTTATGGCCTCGCGGACTAGCTCGCGACGTGCCAGACGAGTCCGCAGCGTGGCCCTGATTGTCATCACTGGAGCGGATGGGTGCCTCCAGTCCAGCGGGACCACCTTTGGCTCCAGCTGTTGGCCCCTCGGCATTGTCATCAAATAACTCTTTCCAACTTCCATCGAGGACCTTGGGATCGTCGCCGTAAAGACCCACGTGATAAGCCTGCTTCATGGCACTGATGCAGATGTCCCGCCGCTCGTTGAAGTCAAACATGGGTTTGGGGTACAGCTTGAGACCGTCCTGTTCAGCCTTGGAGCCATCACCATCCACTCGAACACCGGCTTTCTTTTGATCTTGGACTGGGGCTTTGTGAGGCTCGTATATGTACTTGTTAGGCAAGTCTTTCAGCTCAGGGATCCACCTTCGGATGTAAAGTCCATTGGCATCCCATTTCTTTCCTAGGAATGGTGAGTGACAGTCTGAAAACACCGCAGGTTGTTGGCATGGCAAGGCTTACCGAAGGCGATAGGTGAGTAGCAGCGGAAAAATTGTGAGAAGAATGCGGTACATGACAACCACTGCCAATTGCCAATGTTGCAGGCTGCTTCGTGATCAATCAGCAGTTCCTCGAAGACCTAGATCACGCATTAGCGGGCACCTCGCACGAATCATCAGTCTGCGACATCGCCTACCTCAGCCCCACTGATACCGTTGATTAGAAGTTAGTACTGTCTCGAAAATCTCATTGAGGCCGTCCTGGCTGACACTGTACGTACCGCTCCCAACTAATGTAGCAGCCGCCTCTCGTGAGGAAGCATGCTACAGAATGCCTTGCAAGATGGTGTATCCAACCAGTTGATCTAAGTGCTCGCATATGTGCATCAATCCATGGAAATCCCGTAGTCCCTTGGGACCATCGCTGGAACCATTCCTCTTTCTCTTCATCGTCTATTTCATGCTCTGCCGTTATCCGCTTGGTGTCCATGTCGACCTTGGAAGGTAAGTGCCAGGGTATGAAGCGACAGTGAGCATTCCCGAGCGTCTGCCCATACTGCCAACCTGCGAAGTGTTAGTGCATCCGCCATCGCCATATGGTCATCAATCGTCGTATTAGATGCTGTGATGAGTTAGGCCAATGCAGACTTACCGCCGTGTGCTTGAGCTGCGAAGTACCTAACATCATAGACATAAGTCAGCAACTCTCTCAGACACGTCGTGGGGTGTGGTCAGTGATTTCCTACATATCGCGGAAGAGCAGTTGGCCAGTGAGGCTCTCCGGTGGTGCAGATGTGGGCTTCTTCTCCTTCTTGCGTTTCTCCACAATCTCAGCAACTCTGTGGTAAAAGTACCGACAGCTCAAAGCTCCGAAGTGTAGATACGGTGATGTCAAGAACGTGGATTGTGGCTCAAATGCCGCCGGGCTTGTCTTCGGCTTTTCGAACGTGGAAGTGTACTCCTCGTCTTGCAGAATTTTCTCAAGAGCTTCGAGAATAACAGTTTCGCCGCCCTTGTGTGGCGAGGTCGCTGGAGCCATTCCTAGTTCCTCCAATGTAGGAGGTGAGAAGTCCCCTTTCGGTCCAGCTATACCGGAACTGAAAGTGACCGCGTCTTTCTCTCGATGCTTCGCGTTGATGTCCGGCACGGCTTCTGGCTCCTCCTGCTCGATGTCCAGTGTCATGTCCCCTGGATCGGGCAAGCTGGTGGGCGTTTCGACTGGCTGCTCTATATCACCAATTTTGGCCCCAGCATGCTGCAATTGGGTCATGCTCATTGTTGGTTTGCCACCATTGGCCTTGACGAGCGCATCAGGATCATACAGAGTCCTTCCTACCTTCACAATCACTTCGACTCCCGCTTCACCAGCCACGCGCACGACCTGCTCATCACGCTCACGAGCGTAAGCATCTGTGTCTTTTTCGAAGACGAGATGCGTGATCTTCCACTAAAAGTAGTAGGTCGAGTGTAAGCATCTTCCTTTCAAGTGCGTGGATGTTTCCTGTTTCGGGGGATACGCCTATTCCTGAGCTTGTCGTGGCGGTGGAACATCGAGCAGACGCAACGATATTGGCTGGCTACTGTATGTACTTCACTCACCTTCTTGAAGAGTTTGGGGAGTAGTGTCACAGCCGGTTCGCGAAGAACGAACAGTTTACTCTTCTTATTGAGCTTCGTAATGCTCTTAGAAACATCCTATAACGATTATAGAGGTAAGCAAGCATCGCTGAGGCAGCCGAGATCGCACTTCAAGCTCGCTACTACAACATATATCCGCTGAAGCAAGATAGTGAGGATGGAAAAGGCCTGGTCTTGACTTACATTCTGGCAATCAATCAAGAACTGCCATCGATTCACACCGACTCTTGCTCGATAAACATAGTGGCTGTCCCAACACCAGATGGGATATAGCACTTCGGGTTGGAGATCGAGTGCTGCTTTCAAGGCTGGCGAATCATGCAGACGCAAGTCCGTCCTGAACTGTGGTCATCTTAGCCATTGGAGTGATAGGGGAGATGATATTATAGCAATCACCCAGTATAAAATGCGAGGCTTGGACATTATTATTGGGACTCTCGGGACATATCCACTGGGAGCATAGGACGACAGGTTGTGCTTCCCTGTCTATGGTCCGGACAGCCTGGTGACTCTTCTGACTTGGCGTTGGCGCGAGTCGACTGCGGTGGACAGTGAACGCCGCGATTCGGGAGATGGTGACGTATTATATATCGCGTGGGTTGCTCGGGCGACGCTTGACATGAGAACTAAAAACAGTTATTCAAGAAGGCCGTCAACCGTTACTATACTGTTAGTCTGTTGTTTAAAACGGGTTATCAGAACTTACACTGTTGCGCTGCGGCTGCGCTCACTGGACACACCATAGACTGCCCGACGCCAAAGACCATCAGCATCCCTCCCTACCTGGTGCGACGCCTTCCAAAATCCAAATCCGACTCAAGCCCACAAGGACTACGCCTACTCGTTCACCCTACCTACGCGAGCACTATAAGGACTCGCAGCCTTTCCCGACATGGTGGAAGCCTCGTCCAGTACATCGACATCTAGTTCTTCCCGAGTACCTGAGTTACGCATCTTGCTTCAACTTGACCGCAGCCCGCTTGCACGCGATGGCCATATCCCAGGGCTCTGGACTGCAAGTCTTCTGGTGGACTTTGCCGTACTTGTCTATAAATGACCACTTGGGTTCTGCTCGAGCGTACGCGACGACTCTGCACTCTGGGGTTCTAGGGAGTTGAAGCGATCCATGTTGTAGAAGTCACCAGAGGGTATGAGTGAGCGCTCCAAGCTGTACCTGGCAACTGAGTGCTTTGAAGACGACGGCAACTGAGGTGGTTGCTGCACCTCAGCTTCGATCACTTCCTAGGTAAGGTCGGCAGTCATCGCTTCCTCTGGAAGATTCGTTCTGGTTCTGCAAAAGATGATGTTGTCGCGTTCCCAACCTTTACGAGGGCTTCCATCGCTCCGTCAAACACAACAAAATGGGTCAGCGCAGCCTCCACTTGCACGGTGCCACGCAGGTCGGTAGAGCGCATGTCCTCGACTCTTCCATGCCACTATAAACTGCTGGTGGGCGACAGTTGTCCCGAATCCCCAGGAGTTGTGCGTGCATTACGACTACCTACAGGTAGGTACCAGGTAACTTACAGTACTACAGCTCCTACGTACCACCCGACTCTACCAGGTATTTGCTCCCGGGCGTCTGTGTTGGTGACAGTTGCAGTGCCACGACTTCTTCTTGCAGGTATAACTAACATCCCGGCTAGGGGCGTTGACGCGTCGGGGCATAATGCATTCACGGTTTGACGCGTCGAGCCTCAGGCAAAGTCACTGCTGCCTGCACGGGCATCCACTCTCACTTCCACTATATTGAGGTAAGGCAAGTAGGTACGAAGGAGGTTCATGTAGACGGAATGCACTGACTGCAGCGCGTCGACACTTCTCTCGACCCCTCGTCACCTCAGCCATCAATCCCGTCCCGTCATCATGGCCATTGTTGACCCTCCTCCTGATCGGGCACATCACGATGCACGCGTTCTCGCGGCAGTAATCGCGCTGGCGAGCAGTTCAGCCCAGCTCACAGCCAAATACAACGAAATACAAATGAACCCCGACAAGCTGTATTGTGTCATCCAAAAGCACGACGCGACCTGCGACCTGAATAGTCCCAACGAAGACGCCTTGTAAGCACTCGATTTCGCACGCCAAGGGTTGGACACAATTGCTAATATCGCGGACAGTCTGTGGATCAACTGCCTCGTCAGAACGAAACTGAAGAAGCTCTACGCGGCATATCGTGGTCTCAGCGCGGACCACGAAGACGCCCTCCTCATGATTGGCGACATGGCGATTCCTGAGACCGGCCAGGTCTGCGACCTTCCTCCCCCGACGAATCGCATCTTACTCATCAAAGCCACCAAGCCAGAGCCTTCAAGCTCGCAGATCACTTCAAGCGCCAGCCCTCAGACTGCTCGACAGCCGCTCCAGCCCGTCAATCGCCAGTTCAGTGCTATGCCTGAGAAGTCGGCTGATGAGACAGCTGTGAAGCGGGAACGTGGCCTGTCGGCTGTCACAGAAGCACGACCACAACCAGCACAGAGGTCAGCTACACATAATCTGTCTGCATCCCCCCAACATGTAGAATCCGAGGTATTACCAAGTGTGCCGCAGCCATCAGGGATATCAACTGCGCAAACATCGCCTCCACCCAAGCCGACGCAGGAGATCAACGAGGAGCCTGCGTCGATGCCCGAGCAAGAGTACCTGCCACACCCACAAGAACCCCTTTTTTCTGCCCAGGATGACTATGACCTAGACTGTGCTGAACGAGGCGTACCTCTCGCACAGCTTGCTAATGAGGAGACACCAGAGCGTCTCGAGGCTGGTGTCTCGATTGGACTGAAGGTATTATCAGAACTTGAGTCGGCCATGAAAAAGCTCGGCGCCAACGAAGACGCTACAGCTTACCTAAATCTCATCGACCGAACTCGCAAGGAGGCAGTCCAAACACGCACTGTTGTCGGCGTGGTTGGTAATACAGGGGCAGGTAAAAGCAGCGTCATTAATGCTCTACTAGACGAAGAAAGGCTCGTGCCGACCAATTGCATGCGCGCATGTACAGCAGTCGTGACTGAGCTGTCGTACAACCACTCCAGTAACGAGGCAGCCAAATATCGCGCCGAAATCGAGTTTATCAAGCCCGAAGAGTGGCGCAAGGAACTCAACGTCCTATTCAAAGGTATTTCCCCAACAGCCTCCCGTCAGATCTTTTGATGATGCTGCTTACACTCGCCGACCTACAGAGGTATTTGACGACGAAGGGCGTATCAGCAAAGAAGTCTCGAATCCGGACTCGGAGGCAGGCGTGGCTTACGCCAAGATGCGGTCGGTTTACAATAAGAAGACGCGCGAGATGCTTTCCAACAGCTCCGTTCAGACTCTGATGAACGACAAGAAAGTGAGATCCGTACTAGGCACGACCCGCAAGATCAACGCCCGCGATCCGTCAACTTTCTACAAAAGCCTCCAGAGGATAATCGACTCGAAGGAGAAGGGTCAGGAGAAACTCGACAAGAACGGCAACATCAATCACAACGTAAAGCGCGAGTTCGAGCATTGGCCCTTGATCAAAGTCGTGAAGATCTACTTGAAGGCCCCTGCACTTTCTACTGGTGCCGTGATTGTCGATCTGCCTGGTGTCCATGACAGCAATGCTGCTCGGGCTGCTGTCGCAGAGGGCTACATGAAGCAATGTACCGGTCTATGGATTGTCGCTCCTATCAACAGAGCTGTTGACGACAAAGCCGCTAAGACTCTACTTGGCGACACCTTCGTAAGTTTCACGGGCTCGGGTCATCAAATTTATCTCAAATGAGCCACTACAACGTGACTGGCAGTGGCGCTTGTACTAATGAACTCGTAGAAGCGACAACTCAAGTTCGATGGAACATACTCGGCTGTCTCATTCATCTGCTCGAAGACTGACGACATTTCTCGCACAGAGGTGAGTGGAGCAAGCGATGGAAGATTCCGTCTTGTGCCTGTGAGCACGCCTTTTCTTATTTAGAAGTATGCTAATGTGACCCATAGGCTGCCGACAGCCTTCAGCTGGGTGATCAAATGACAGAGCTTGATGCCAGACTGAATCTTATCGACGAGGAACGACGCAAGGTCAAACGCAAGAAAAAAGAGGCCGAGGATCATTTCGAGGACCAAGAAGCTGTTTACGATGAAGTGGATGGGAGCCTCGAGGTCTGGGAAGAGCTGATGAGCCAGCTAGAGAACGGCAAGACAGTCTACGCCCCGCAACAAGACCGGAGCAAGAAGAGGAAGTTGTCTAGTTCATCACCACCACCTCGAAAGCGACCTCACAGGGCAATCGATTCCGATGACGATACGGGGGAGGCTGTGGAGACTGCATCAGACCCCGAGAGGCAAGCACTCACCGAGGAAGATATTGCTAAAAAGCTTGGCGAGTTGAAGCAGCTGAAGAAGGAAGCTCGGAACGCCAAGAATGACGCTAAAGCACGAATCGGCGACGTGGGCCACGAGCTGAAGCGTCTCGACGAAGAGGAAGACGAGCTCGAAGCGAAGAAGAGTGCGATCTGTATTGCCGGACGCAATGAGTATTCACGCGGCGCTATTCGACTGGATTTCGCAAAAGGCATAAAAGAGCTCGACGAGGAAGAGGCCCAAGATTCCGATGACTTCAATCCCGAAGAAGACCTTCGCGACTATGACGAAGTTGCTCGAAGTCTGCCTGTCTTCTGCGTCAGCAGTCGTGCATATCAGAAACTCTCTGGTCGCATGAAGAACGACAATGCCGTGCCTGGCTTCACGCAGCTGTCCGAGACAGAGATCCCGCAGCTTCAGGCGCACGCCAAAAAGCTCACGGTCAAAGGTCGCCAAGCAAATTGTCGTCGCTTTCTCAACTCCCTCAAGCAGCTCATGCTTTCGTTGGCTCTGTGGTCTTCTGATGATGGCACTGGAAACAACTTGACACTCCAACAGAGAGATGTGGAAAAGACTTTCCTTTCTCGAAAGCTCAAGGAGCTCGAAGTCCACTTGGATAAGGTGGTAGAGACCACGCTGAGCGATGTAGCCGAAGAGATGAGCGAGCAGCTGCTGGCCAAGCTGACGGGCTCGGCGGTCGACGCTGCAGTCAGGGCGGCAGGGCCAAAGGCTGAGAGTTGGGGCATGCCGAAGCCTGACGGCGGTCTGCACTGGAGCACGTACCGAGCCACCGTCCGTCGCAACGGAAATTATGCAGGCTCGAGTGGCCCTCGCGACTTCAATGCTGAGTTGGCTGAGCCGATCTACAAACACCTCGCATCGGCATGGGAGAAGACCTTCCAAAGAAGGCTTCCTAGTATCCTGCAGTCCTTCAAGAGATCTGCTACCAGTGTAGTCAAGCAATTTCACACAGCTGTCGAGACAAGAACGCGGGAGAGAGGTACAGGAGCAGCCCGTCTCAACCTCTTGGCCCAGCAGCTGGACCAATACTCCGCCACTTTTGGCGATCTCTGTTCCAAGGCCGTCACGAGCTTGAATGAGGGCCAGAGAGACATCAACCGCGAATTTGTTCCTGCCATCGCAGTGGCCATGGAACCGGCGTACAATGAAGCTTCCGAGGAGAAAGGTACTGGCTCGTTCAAGCGCATGAAAGGCCGCGTGAATGATCACGTCACCACCTCCAAGCAGCAGATGTTTCACTCTGCAGCAGAGCAGGTCCGTCGCAGCTTGCTCAAACTTTGTGGCACCATCAAGGAGTCCATGCTCTGCAAGGCGGATGAAGTTTATCTCGCCATGCAGCGAGATTATACATCAGTCCTGAGCGGCGTCAATGTCGGGGACATCCAGTTGTCACGCGAGGAGCGTGCCACTCGACGCGAGGTCGATCAGCTCATCACGGGGGCTGACGAGCACTTTGCAGAGGTAATGCAGGGTGAGCTGGACGAGCTCAAAGACAAGTTCGATGCACAGATGCCCATTGTCGAGAAGGATCAGGATGTCGCCGATGATCACATGGATGTCGACGATTTCGAGGATGTCGACAGCGAGAGCGATGCCGATGAGGACGATGATGGTTCTGATGGCGCAGAATCCGCTCAACTCGAGGAACAAGAGATGGGAGGCGCGACTCCCACAGCAGACGATACCTAACCACGTGGAGCATTAGGTGACTTCACGGACTTTTGTAGTAAATAGCGAGGACGACGACTGCTGTCTTTGTGTGGCTCGCGTGATGCATCACGCACTGCATTTGCTGGCGCTTCTATGTGTATACGTGTACATACATGTATATATATACACTACTGAGGTCGTACTTTCAATCCATAATACCTAATAAGTAGTCTGCTATCACCATCCATCCTCCAAGGAAGAATAATGAGTTGCCCCCTGTCATACCACCATCTATTCGCACCGAGTCTTTTGCGGTAGAGATCTATTTTGGACACTGGGTGGCCTCTTAGCGACCCTGTAGGTCGTGCTCGAGTGATGAGACTATGCTGTTCGTGGAAGGTGAGATATGCAGGAACATCGGCCGGTCTAGATCTTGGCATTCGACACGAGGCTAAATATAGGACGGGAAGATCAGATCTCTCTCTCTCTTTCACCGTGTGAATCTGTGACAAGCTACACGAAGGCCCGGAAGGATCGACCGCCTTTTTTTTGTCTCACACTTATTATCTATCACACACATTATTGATTACTCATATAGGTATGCACAAATCGACATTAGATCGGGGGTCGTCTCGTGACTCTCGTCTATGTGAAAATCAGCAAGCAAGAGGAAAAAAAAATAACCAACACTACCAGGAGGTACATATATCCCTACACCGGAGTTGAGACCTGCGGGTTGGTTTACGGCTCGACTTTCTTTACAGGCATAGACATCGCTAAGGTACAGTTGTCAGTAGCTCCTGTACACTGTTGGGTGATAAGCGCCGTAAATACCGAGTACGGCAATAATTCAATGCGCTTAACGGCCAGGGGAGGGGAGAGGAGGGGGGTGCGCTTAGCCCTAAAGAGTAGGGGAGGCCTCGACGTCCGGTGTATCTAGGATAAGCCTGTGAGCCCGCCTGCGAATCGTGGTGGGTAAGGTTGTTGGTTTACATACGTTGTACGGTTGTACGATCAGAAAAGGTACCGGATAGTGGATACTTTTATCCCCGGCGGCACAATACACTTACACTGTAGGTAGGAGGTACCAAGTACTTTTGATTGTACAACGGTGGGAACTTCGCCCGGAATACGAGCACTGCCTCGTTTTCCCATTTGGTTCTTGTTTGCTTTTGTGTTACTGCGTCGGAGATGTGCGTCTTGTGCCTAGTCGGGCAATCATCATCCATGGTGAAATTCCACATGGAGGTCGAACTAGAACACCGGGGATACAGATAGATCATGGTGGTCTCGGCCGGTCGCAAAACTCAATATATGCTCCATCCTCGGATCCTCTAGGGCTAAACCAGTTCTAAGTTAGAGCTCTCTCTCTCTCTCGCCGCTCGCGCGAGCAATCAGAGACCAGAATAGAATTCAGGACTGGACTTCTGGTGTTTCTGGTCGTAGTTCACCAGAGGCGGTATGCCCATGTTGATTTATACCCAGTGCCACAGGACAGGCCATGTGAGGTAGTATCGTTTGCGCGCTAGTTCCACTGTCGGCGGAGCAGCGCTGAGAGAGAGACACACACTCTCTTGTCCTTCTCTCATTCTTCTTCTCCTTCTTCTGCTTCTTCTACCCATCTTCTTCTTCCACTATGGCCTCTCCATGAGCTCGCGGCAGTGAGTGACCAGCGCTGCCATGATGCACGGTGCATGTCATGGACAAGGACACGTCGATGTACCCATAGAAGAAGTAAGGCACCACGAGTCCGAGAAGCACTCTGGCGCGCCGGTGTTCGCCTGGGTAGACGCATCAAGCTATAAGTACATGGACCACCACCGTAGGACTGCGGAAGACGAGCAGCGTCAGCAACAACAAATCCGAGCACGATCACAGACCCGATCACCACGCCAATGGCAGGAAGTGCCCGTCTCCTATCGACCACGAGAGTGGCACGACTACTCGGAAGAAGTATTGCCTGCTCGCACATTGACGCCACCACAAAATGTACCACCGTTTCGACAGTTCCAGCGACAGTTGGGACAGCCTATCCAGCCTCTTCGACCGTGGAAGCGGCCAGTCGCACTCGCGAGTACTCCTAGTCTGCAGCAGTACGAAGCGCATGCGAGCCACATCAATCCTGCATTGCTCTATCCACAATTGAGTCCCTACGATGGGGAAACCACCAGTACCGTGCTGCTAGACGAGCCTCGACAGCATCTGAGATCCGTCAGCCAGCCGAACACGCCGAGCTTTATGGCGATTCGTACCCACTCTGAGGAACCAGACGAGTACTCATTGATAGCACCGGCGTTCCCGCCCTCGAGGATCACACCACCTCGCAGTTTGGCAGCCACCACAGAAGCGCCCTTCACCGACGATGAAGAATTCCATCTGTTTGTGCAGGCCACTGCAGGACTAGGACCCGAGCAACATCTGCGCGACTCTCCAACAACCGTACCTTCTTCCGACCACCAAGGCCCGAGACGAGACACCATGCAGTATAGTAATAATCATAATCATAGACAACACCAACAACAACAGTGGGATCCTCCATCTTCTCTCGTCTCTCCCATCCACACAGAACAAACTCCCACCACTCTCCGAGCCCTACAACACCTCGCACAAATGCCCCAACAACAAGCACCAACAAACACCACCACCTTCACTCTCCCTCGCCGGCCGACCCCTCACCGAGTGGTGACGGACCCGATCCACGCCTCCGACGGCGGCCTCGATCTGTGGATGGAGCCTCCGAGTGCAGACCACGAAGACGCCGTGAGTCCTCTCGAAGAGGACGAATTGCCCGGATATGCCGAGAGTCAGGCACAAGCGCAGGCGGTGCAGGCCGAAGGGGCGAGGAGGAGAGCGCAAGAGTTGGCGAGAAGATGGCAGCAGGCTCATGAATGATAGAACCATGAAACAGAACAAAGGGCTTCAAGAGGAGTTGAGTTGAGAGTTGGGGGAGGTGGCATGTCGAATCATCCCTTGATGCCTTGGACGGAAAGGAAGGAAGGAAGGGAAGGAAGGAAGGAAGGAAAGAAGGAAAGAAGGGATGGAAGGAAGAAAGGGAAGGAAGAAGAGTGTATATGAAGACCTATCTTACCCACTGATGTGCCATGCATGGATATAAAATTCTCTGTCTACCTACATGTACCTCATGCATGGGATATGCGGATTGTCCTGGCGATTGGACCTACCTACCATGTACCTCCTCTCGAATGAAGAGCAGACGAAGCAAATCATACTATATAGGTATGGAATGAGAGACCAGCAGCGACAGCGACAGCATCAGCATGTATATACATCTCACGAACTCATAGCCGAAGGGAAGAAAGAAAGAAAGGACAATGATTGGCTTCAAATTCCAGCAGTCGGTTCTTTCTTCTTTCTACCTATACCTGGGGTATTGATCATCAGGTGAAGAAAGACGTCTTGGATCTCTTTTCCCCGCTACTCTTCTCGCTCTTGGTAACGGCAGCAGGTCTCCCTCGTTTCTTCGCCGTGCTCGCTTGCGACAAGGGCGGTGCGCTTTTTCTCTCCGGCGTCGACGAACCCTGCTGGACAATCTCCTTGATGGTCTGCCGCGAGAGACACCCATCGATATGCTCGTTGAACTTCCTCTCATCAACGACTTGCGGCAGAGAGCAAATGGGACAGTTCCATTGCTCAATCCGCTTCTTCGGCGGGCTGGCTTCTGCTTCCTTCTGAGATTCTGCTTCAAGAAGTGCACGCCAAGCGAAGCCGTTTCCGTAGCGAGTGTAGTCGTTCCCCACGCCGATGCCTTTGGATTGTAGGAATGTCTTGGCATCGTCGGGAGGCGGGTCTTTTGACGCCCTCTCCGCATATTCTTGGGAGAGCTGTTCGAGATCGCGTAAGTCCTGCTGGCGTTCTTCACGCGCCGCATCCTCAAACTCCGCATCGGGCCATTTCTGCCAGCCGTCTTCGTCAAGCTCAACTCCAGACTTACTGTCCTGCGGAGGGTTGGGGGTATTGAGTTGTCGCGCCCGACCGAAGAAATCGAGATCGGCCTTTTTCATTGAAACGAGATGTGTACAACGCAGGCCCATCAGTCGGAGCTTCATTCCCGGATACTCCTTCTCCAGTTTCTGCAACATGGGAAGACTGTAGTTATACAGCTCATCGGCGGTGAAGACTGCTTTGGGCGGTTGTACTTGCCTTGTGAAGACTTCGTACGTATGCAGCTTGACCTTTAGACAGAGCGTTCGTCCCTTGAACTCGGTTCGCTTGAGGTCCTCTTCGAGTGATTCCGCGGTACGCCTTAGCTTGTCGCGGAGCTCCTGCGGGTCGGACATGTCGTGAAACGTGCTTTCCGTGCCCACGCTTCTGCGAGCATGCTCTTCGGCCGGCTTGACATCAGTTCGTCCAAGACCAAGATACACGCCCATCAAGAATTCAAACGCCTTTTCGCCAAAGAGTCGATTAATGTATTGGCGATGGGAGTATATGTCGCCACATGTCTTGACCCCAATGGCATCCAGTTCTCGTTCTAGCACGCGTCCAATGCCGTTTACCTTGCGCGTTGGCAAGTCTCGCATGAAGCTCAATATTGTGGTCCTCTCCGAAGGAAGTTTGAATTGTCCGTTCGGCTTATTCTTGTTGCTGCAAATCTTTGCCAGCTTGGCATTGGCTGCGATGCCAGCCGAGATTGTGATTTTGGTCTCTTGGAACACCTGTTCTCGCATCTGGCTAACAGCATCTTCTGGGTCCATGTTGTGATCTTGGCAATATTTCGTGATGTTCAAATAGGCTTCGTCGATCGATGCACTTTCGAAGCGTGGGTCGTACTGCTCGAGAACAGCGCGAACTTGCCTGGCTTTGGCAGTATACTTCTCAAAATTGAGTGGGACATGAATGAGCTGGGGGCACAGCTTGTCGGCCACAAAGCCTGCAGGAAGACAGAAACAGTGATTAGTAGGATACAAGCACGCGTGAAGCCGGAATTTCACGTACCTGCCATGCCACTTCTACAGCCATACTTTCTGGCCTCGTAGTTGCATGTGGTAAGCACGCTGAGACACCAAAAGAGGTCCGAGGTCAGCAGATGTCGTGGATTTGCCAAGCGATTAAGCTAAAGGCAGAGTGGGAAGCGTCAGAGCTTACCCTTTGCCGACCGCGAAGGGCACGTTCTTGAGGTCGGGATTGTCCAGCTCCTCGACGGCGGCGTAGAAGGCGTCGCAGTCAATGTGCACGAGAGTCTGCGACAGGTCGCGCTTGCACTCGAGCTCTGCGATGTAGTCGTCCGCCCTTTTCATCTCTTTCTTCAGGCCGCCTTGGATCTCGATGCGCTGCAGCTCCCGCTTCTTGGCCAGGAGGCTGTTGATCTTGAGCGTGAGCGTCTTGTCCCGGTTCTCCTCGTTGGCGAAGTACTTGCTGCCTTTGCTGGCCTGGTAGATGATTTCCGACACCGCTGTCTGGTCCACGCCGTCCTGGCCCGACTTGGTGAGCGACGGCCCCAGCAGCGAATATTTCAAAGTGTCGTGCTCATGCTGCTGCTGCTTTCCCTCTTCTTCGCGGTGGCACTCCTCGGCCATCGTGACATGTCTCTCGTCCAAGCATGGACATGGATATGCGTGCGTACGAATTTATGGATGGCGTTTGTTATTTTGATCCCGGACAGGCTCCGGCATACCATTCATGATACAGGTACAAGTACCTTGAAGGAGGTAGGTATGTAGGATGGAGAGAGACGCGAAGTTCCAGGCGTGGGACCGTGGGTGACGTGACGGCCCGGGCAGTGACGCGATGTCGGCTCCGGGTCCCCTGTCACCGATTGTTTATCTCATTTGTGTGCGCTTGTGCTGTGCTTTGACAACCAGATCCAGAACCGCGTTTCACTAGATTGGGACCGTTACGACTGACTACATTACCTACGCTCCTACACGAAGGCCCCTATTGTGAAGACGTTGGCTCTTGTGCCTGGGCCGCCAGTACCACATCCCAGTCCACGTTCAACCTCCACCACGACGACGACGACCTCGACTTCCCCCCGACCATCACCACACCGCCTCCTACATGTCACCGCCGACGCAAGCACTGGGCTAGAAGGCGCCGACGCGGTCACGCTTCAGCCCACTTCGTGCGGGTGAAGGAGTGAATGGCAGCGAGCGATGGTGGTCATCTACAATGTCGACCGACCGTACTAACCGCCCACTCAAGCCCACACTTGCTTCCACCAGGACTGCTGCCTCTAGGACTCCTCTAACCCCACGCATTGCTGGCAGTGCCGGGACTACGACAGCAGCAACACCCGCACCTGCGAGACCTACTGCGCCCCGAGTTGCAGCGCGAGCGCCGTTGCTATCACCACGGATCAGGGCACAGGAAAACACCCCAGCAAAGGATACTGCCCGAAATGGCAACATCACACCACGATCGTCCGCGAGAAAGTCGAGAATCGGAACGAACAGTGGGTCCACCTCTCCTGCGAATGACGATGCTCCGAGTGATGCCAGGTCGCGAAACACAACAGGACATGGTGATGCGGCAGCAGGAAGAAACAGCACTGTCAGTGGTTTGAGTCTGGGACCAAGTCTTGGTGTGCCGAGCAGAACGCGAGCGAGTAAGCCGAGTAGTGTTGCGGGTGACAATAAACTGCGGGTTGGTCGTTCACCTCCACTGGCACGCTCCCCAGGCGTCGCAGACTCTGGACAGTCTGGTGACAGCGATAGCTTTGAGAAACGCTTCTTTCATGCTAGCGACGCGAAGAAGCAGGAGCTTCCGCCCAAGAGACCAGAGCCGAAGAAAACGCCGAGCTTTTTCTATGCAGATGGCCATCAGGACCAGAAGTCTAACCCACCAAAATCGTCCTCACCAGTGCTGTCTGCTGTGGGTGAGAAGCGTTCGCCTGGGCTTTTCTTCAAGGCAGAATCAAATCCTTTAAAGAGTCCCACAATGCTCTCTCCCGCGTTCAATCAATCCTCTGCCAGTCTGTCGTACTTTCCGCCCACGGGGGCTCTCTCTCCATTGAGGTCACCATCGCCTAGCAAGGAAAACATACATTTATCTTATAGGAAGGGTGCATCTCAAATTTTTGGGATGCGATCAACGCCGAGACCGCAACCATCCACTCCCGATGTCAACTCTGCGCCTATGTTCCAGGAGCCACGACATCCGGGTACACTAATGATGCACCGCAAGTCATCGAGCCTGTCTTCCATCAATTCTGGCAACGAACAATTGCGGCGGCGGTCCAACACAGCGCTCGAAGTATCAGTACCAAGTTCGACATTGACCCAAGAGATTCTTCCGACTACCATGTCCCAGATGACAAGTCCAGTTATCGGAATGCCACCGAACGATACATCCTGGACACCGTCAGCTGTCGTTGGCTCTCCTTCAGAGTCGGCGTTGAGTCCTACCAAGACTGTAACGCAACTAGCAGCCGATGCTCGACGCGAGCGCAAGGTGCTTGACCTCGAGATATCCAATAGTTCACTCCTCGCGATCAACTCTAGTTTGGAGAGGGAATTGCGTAGACAAAAGGCAGAATTAAAGCGTTTTCGGCGACTTTCCCGTGCCGGTCGCTTGTCGTCGGCAACACATAAACTACCACGAAGTGTCTCTGGCGAACTTGAGACTCTCGGTGAGGAGGACGATGACGAAGATGTGCATAGCATGCCACCTGGCTGGGACGAGGACGACGAGAGTGAGTCAGAAGAAGAGGACAGCCTGATCAGTAGCAGCGAGACACGTTCACCTGCCGCAACAAGTGAACGCCTTGCCAAGGACGAGAAGCGTTTGAAGGTTGACCTAGAACGGCATCGAGAGTTACTGGTACAGAGCCAGGCAATGAATCTGAGCTTGAAACGATGCATGTATGCGACAGATGAAATGATCCGTGATGGGAGAAAGGCTCTGGAATACCATGTCCGAGTTTCCGACGTCAAGCTTGGAGGGCGCATCTTGGACCAGGAGGAGGATGATGATGAAACGCAGGATCTTACCATTGACGATGAAGTGGACGAGAACCACGAGGATGGTGTAGAGAATGCCAAAGGATTGCTCGACGTGTGGCGAGGCGTTGGTCGGCCGACGTTCGAAGGCAGCGAAGGCTCTGGGCGTGACTCAGGCATTGAAGTCGACAAGTCCTACGGGTTCGTATCGGCCAGATACTCCAACGCATCGAATACGACTGCAGATTCTGGACGACCGCCCGAGCATGTGAGCTAGAAGCTGGCATACGAGACGTACCCGAATCTGGCCCTTGCACGTGCAAGCAAGACCCAAAGCAGTAGCAGCACCACGTAAGACGCCAGGAACTATTGCTCCGCTGCACGCCGGGACGGGCGAGCATTCGCATAGCTTGCCGCCATCGCGGGAGGCTTGGAGCGCCCTCGCGAATGGATGCCTCGTTGCTGAGGATGTGTCAGCTATGCCGGCAAATCGCATCTTCCTCTCGTTTGCCAAGGAGCCCATCGGTGGCAGCTCTGAGCACAGAGGGTTGACGGTGGTTCCTGATGATCATGTTTGACTTTTGGCCTGTGCGCAGCTGGTACCTGCATCGTTGCTTTTAAGCTTGTTTTGTTGTACATATGTTTGCGTGATGATACCCACCCATATCGCTTCGGTTTCTTTTGTTCGGCGGCCATGAGGCGTTGGTGTCTGCGATACCCATAATGCTGCGTTCGTTGTGTGTTTGTGTGTGTGTGCGAGAAGTTCTGTGATATAGACTCCACTCCAATCGAAACCGTCCACTTTTGTCCGCAGGATCAATCAATTGAACGAAGAATGTCTCAGTCGAACCAGAGATGGAGCCATGTCTGGCATGAGCCACTTGGTAGACATATACTTCCGTCGTGGCCCAAAGAGGCAGAAGTCCACCTCATGTTTCGGCGCCGTCCCGCCGTCCCGAGCAGCTCGGCTTCGATCTCGACCAGCTTCCACGCTCCATCACTGACGCACACGCTATCAACTCCTACACAGATCTGAACATCGCGGCCACAAGCGTCTCCTTTCCCTGGGGGCGGAAGAAGCGAAGCGAAGCCCAGCGCAGCGCAGCATCTGGAGAGGGGAAGGGGTTCGAATAGGATAGTGTCCGCCCCAGCAGAGAGAGATAAGTATAGCATGCGGTCCTCTGTGTTCTGCGCTCTCTTTCGCACGTTTGTGCCGTGAGAACGACAGTCTTCGCCATTGCATCGAGCATACAGCACTTATCTCATCAGACTCCGGTGGCCTTCTCCCTAGACAAAGCATAGCAGCAACTATGGGCTTCCCACCTCCCGCCCGACGCGGGAAATTTAACAAGAATTTGTACATCGCACTCAGTGCCCCAGCAATCGCGTATCTCACGGCCAAGCTCATATACAACATATATAAAGTCACCACGTCCGATGGAATCCCCCAGAGACCACCGGTGTTGAAGGCGCCTTCGACCAAGCTCCTGACTGCAGAGCAATACGATCAGATACCTTATCCGCCTGATGCCCTTCCAGGAGGCCGCAACGTCTCAACGCCACATGGCAACATTCGAGTCTACGAATGGGGGCCCGAAGATGGACGCAAGGTGCTCTTCGTACATGGCATTAGCACTCCGTGTATCGCGCTTTCACGAGTGGCTGGCAAACTGGCCAAAAGAGGCTGCAGAGTCATGCTGTTTGATCTTCCCGGCAGAGGCTACTCCGATTGTCCCGATACCAATCTGTATCCCCAGGACATCACCCTCTTTTCGAGCTGCATCCTTGCTGTCGTCTCTAGCTCCCGACTGCCCTGGACGGCCAGTGGTTTCACTCTAGCAGGCTACAGTCTTGGAGGAGGAATTGCCGCGGCCTTTACAGCATACTACCCTGATTTGGTGGAAAGCCTTGTTCTGATTGCCCCTGGAGGTCTCCTTCGACCCACTCGATTGAGTCTCAGCAGCAAAATTCTCTACTCGGGTCTCCTCGCAGACAAGATTGTGAACTATTTCGTCGGCCTTCGCCTACGAGTGAGCACACCGAAGCCCAAACCCACCACCAAGCCTCTCCGCTCCAGAATCCAAGATCTGAAAAAGTTCGACTGGACCCAAGTGCCCCACAGTTCTAAACGCAGAATCAGCGTCACCGCCGCGCTCCACGCCGAAATGGGCGACTCGGACGATGAGCACGATGACAATGTGGACCCTCACGCCCCGGGCCAAGACAGTCTCTCACCCATCTTCGACGACCGACCCAACATTTCCCCAGCAACCGCCGTCGCCTGGCAAGTCGAAACTCACCCGGGCTTCATCCCCGCCTTTGTCTCCTGCGTCAAGTACGCCCCAATCCACGACGGTCACGCACACTGGAAACTGATCGGGCAGCGCTGCGATGCCGCTCGAGCACATCACATTCGACATCATCAAAACCGACCTCACGATCGCAAACACTCTGTCGCCGACTCGGACAGCTCCTCTTCCACCACCACATCACCATTATCTTCCTCTTCCGACATGGGGGTTGCGCGAATTGGCCTCGACGAGGGCAAAGTCCTACTCTTGCTCGGTCTCAAAGACGTCATCATCATGCCTGAAGAAACCTGTCACGATGCCACCGAGGCCCTGGGAAGGGAGAATTGTGAAGTGGTGAAAATCCGTGGCGGACATGATCTCGTCTTGTCGAATGTGGAGGCGTGCGTGCAAGCTATGATGGGGTTTTGGTTACGGGGTGGAAGAGGTTTGCAGACGAATTGAATTTCTTTTTTTCTTTTTCCTTTGTTTTTCGAGACAGAATAGAATGTTGTTATCCTTGTCTATGCTATTTATGATGGATGGATGGATGGATTCAAACTTGGCGTAGGATGTGATATAGTGTGGACGGCGCAAGTTGGCTTATATAGGTACCTAGATTGCAATATGTTAGGTTTTGGGTGGATTCCTGTTGGATCCCTAGATAGGATAGGAGGAGGAACGCTCTCTGTATTCGTATTATTTCAGGTTGTTATCTTGAAAATTTCTTCTTTTCTCCAGACCCTGAAGGTAAAGAAACCATCATCATCATCATCATCACCATCATCAATCAATCAATGCACAATCTCGAGAGGAGATTTCATGTTCCCGTCGAGCTGATTCTAAGCCCAGAAATCGACATGCGGGCCCTGATATCGGATGACGAGGACTCTTGTCAAGAGAAAGCATCTCAACCCCAATTTGTCTTCGATGAAATCTCTGTCGTTTTTTTCACATGTCTATCAATACCTACCTAGTGGACAAGTCTGTCGATTCCTCATGCTCTATACACACACCTTGCCAACTCCTCGCTAATAGTGTTTCAAATCAATGCATCCATACATGTACTATCGCCGTCTTTCAGGCGAAGATTCGGCATCACTTTCAACATCATCTTCTTCGTCACTCGTGCTCTCGTCCCAACCCTCTGCCTCTAATTTCGCGCTGCGAATGCCCCAGCTCATGAGGAATCCGATGAACGAAATACCTCCAAAGATGCCGAAGGCCATTGCCTCTCCTTTCGGCTGCACGTGAGTGGCAGCAGTAAAGAGAGCACCACTAATGAATGGCCCGATTGCACGCCCACCAGCGCTGAGAGTTTGGGCAAGACCATTCAGTGCGCCCAGAACGGCATGGGAACGCGCGCTGTTCGTGATGAGCAGTAATGCGCTGGTGAGGCCGCCCACAGAGGCCACTGTCTTGATGAGAAGAACTACGCCCAGCTCGATCCAGAGCCATATTTTACCCATTTGAGTCGGGTCATGCGTGCCATTTTGACCGTCTTTGTAGCCGACCCACGGCATCAGCACAAAGGCGAGCACGAAACCTGCTAGTCCTGCTCGGTAGGTGATTTTGTTGCCCATCTTTTCCCGCAGCTTGCCGAAGATGCCGATTTGAAACAGGATCGTGACAAGGCCAGCAAAGGCCAAACTTGTTCCAATCTCTTCTGGCGAGAGATTGCGGCCAGTAGGTGCCTTTGCCTCTGAAAAGATGGGGTAGAGGGAGTTGAAGCTCACGTTTCCAAGCTGGAAAATCAAGTATGAGGCCAGCAGCAGTATGGTATCGCGGTTGAGCACGTCTTTGCGGTCTAGCTCTTCATGATCATGATGGAACAGTGCCGTGGTTTCATCATCTTCATCGTCATCGTCATCGTCATCGTGTTCGTTGTCGCTGTCGTCTTCTGCGGCGGTGCCGTTCGTTTGACTGTAGGAGGAACTCTTAGACGCTCCGCTCTGTCGATTGAGATATGTCGGCCTCGTTGCAGATGTGAACTGCCACAGCCAGGCGAAGAGACTCCCTATCTTTTTCTTGATTGGAAGCTCTTCCGCCGTGTCCAGAGACTCCTGTAAGAAGATAGCAGTCAGGACGAAGTCTATCATTAGTACGCCAGCGGAGAAGAGATTTGGTAGCAAGTATGGATACGGATTGGGCTGGCCTGGCTTGAAGGGATGCTCTCGCATGACAAGCAAGCCCCCCAACAGAGGCCCAGTGATGCCTCCCAGGCCGTAAATGACAGGCAGATAGGTGAAGGCACGACTCTGGTTGGAGCGATCAGTGATCTCGCCCAGACACGTGCTGATAACGCCTTGGTTGCCATTGACCAAGCCCATCAGCAACTGAATCAGTACAGCATGCCACAGTCTCCGGGAGAAACCAAATGCGATGAAGCAGACTGCAGTCAGCAGGGTGCCGGTCAAGACAATGGGTTTTCTGCCCACTCTATCAGACAGCCAGCCCCACAAGAAGTTTGTCGCGAACTGTGCCAGCGCAAACGAAGAAGCTATCAGGCCGACATACAGGCCAATGTCAGCCTCGTCGACCTCGGGAAATGTCGAGGCCATGTCGGGGAGGTATGGCGATATGCTGTTCAGGGCGGTCTGTTCCGCGAGCGCAATGACGGCCAGGATGGCGAGCTGGCCGGTCGGCAAAGGTGTCTCATCATCACTTTGCGAGTCGGAGTCGTGTGAGTCCTGGTCGCTCGAGGGCGGCGGAGGACGGCGGTGTTTCATGTCCTTACTCAAAGGTCGTCGTCCCGCATTCCTCGGCGGAGCGGTGGGAAAAGTGTGATAGTGGTAGGATGAAGTTCGGTGGTGGAGGGATGGCTTTCGCGCCCTGCGATCCGACGCTGACGGCATGCTTGGCCGCGCTTCAAGTGGTTATTATCGCTGGAAGATGTTCGGCCACATTGGGTATGCTGGGATTCCGCTCCCAATTCCAGTCTGAGGAACACGAACACGAACACCAACAACAACACCAACAACAACAACGGGACATTCGAGATGCTACCACAGACTTGGACAAAAAAAAATGGATTCTTAGGTTCTAGAACACAGTACATGTACCTCTTACTCACTGCTGACCATGACGCAGGCGGCTAGATCACTGCTCACTGCTCATGATCCTTCGATCCGCTCCTTGCCCTGCCCCTGCCAATCATCGTCCAGCAGGCTGACTTCACTTTCGAGTCCCATACAGGTAATTGTAGGCGCTTGTACTTGTAGTGGTGAAGACGAGGAGTTGGTGCAGCTAACGTGATCACAGGCCTACCTCCTATTATTGGCGTTCCCTTCCAGGCGGTCGTGATTTTCCCCCAGTGGACTGTGTTTCGCACTTCCAGGCCACATACTCATACTCACCTGGCAGGCTGGCATAGCACCGGCCTCCAACATCCGCATAACCAGAGCAGAATGACATGGTGAATCGCCATCACGCGAAAAAGTACATGTACTGTGTGGACTTAGAAATTTCGAGGCCCTGCTGATCCACTGACTTGATCTTCTCCCATGCGCTTGAGTTCCTCGGTAGGCTTCACCCAGTCTTTTGTTGCGTCCTTGTGCATTGCAGTTCCCAGCCGCTCCAGACACCAATCGAGCAGACTTTCGAGTTCTGCACGGCTCTCGGACTGCAAAGATTCCAATTCCTCTCCCTGATGACCACCGCTGCCAGCGCACTTCTCAATGCGATCCAGAAAGTCTCTGGCCCGTTGCTGACGGGGCACTTTCTGCCCGGCTTCCTCGCCTGGCCTATCTGTCGGGGGTCCCCAGAACTTAGTGAAGCCTTCCCAGTCGCTCACGTTGGAGTACCATGCACGTGCATTATCGTAATCGCCCTCGATACGATGCAAAATGCCATGTACATACATGCTTTCATAGGCGGGCGGCGCCTGCATGTGTCGGACCAGGAAATGTGCTGATGCTAGGTCCTGGTTGAGTAGATGCATAAGAGCTTCGAGCGCAGGGTGCAGGTATTGCGAGGCGATACTATCACTTAGTGAGGCATCGTACGCTTTGCCTGGGTTGAACACGGGTGCCGGGAACGACTTGAGGCGAGCCAAAAGGCGCTCAAAGGGGATTGCAGGTGAAGCTGCATGGATCGAGGCCATTTCTTCGTCCTATTGATTTCTATGAGCCGTCGCTCTGTGAGAGGTTGTCAATACATGTAGGTAGGTAGTCTGGAAAGCATTGGACAATCGTCGATGTGGTTTGGACCACTAACTACATTAAGGTACATAGTCGTGGACGTCATGAGTGTTGCCCATGAAAACGGTGTCTCATCAGATTTCATCTGTGGCTCGTTCCTGGCCATGAGAGTAGAAGGGCAACATGCAAGCGAGAACCACAATGTTGGAACGAACCGCTACAAGTCAAGGACTCAAGGTATATGTACCTGTACTTAGGTACCTCTTACATGTATTGTAGCTCATGTTCTGGCCGCTCCCCTGCAATCAGCAGATGGTGTGGATAACTACATGTGGCATACCGCATACTGCATACATGGTCTGCAGCTGTCTTTTTGTAATCTCGATTCTCTGCAGTTGCGAAATCGAGGAAGAAAAAGCCTGCCAAGAATCTCGTGGCAGGCCATTTGTGTTGCGGAGACACTCCTCGTGTTGTTTGAGTATACAACTATACATCATGAAAGCAACCAGCAGATTTCTAACGTAGATATCTCGCTAACTACATGTACCTAGGCTCGCTAGCCGGCTTGGCTATTCGGCCAGGAAGATGTTCTCTACTAGGTACGGAGATGTTACTCTAAATTGATCGCGCCATCAGCTTCACGTCCGCGAATCCAGCGCCAGGTACATGTACCCGCCTGCAGCCTGCGCAGCGATTCAATGGGCGCCAGCCTCTCAGCCCGTGGCCCCATGTGGACGTCACTTGCTGCAATCCTCGCGATTCTCCTCGTCACTGTCCACCAGCTAGGACAACCTCCAGAGGGATTGAAGCCGAAAGTCTTCGTCTTGGGGCTGTCGAAGACGGGCACCACCTCGATTGGCGATGCTCTGGAGCGATTGGGATATAGACGCTTAGGATGGAGAGACATTCGCAGTCGACATAGCTGTCACACGTGGGCGAATGGCGACCTGTCTGCCCTGGAGGATCTCACCCGATACTACGACGCATTTGAAGATTTGCCTTGGCCGATGGTCTACAGAGAGATGGCCGAGCGCTTCCCGAGCTCCAAGTTCGTGCTGAGCTTGAGAAAAGATGAAGACACATGGTTGCGAAGCATGGACAAGCACATGGGACGCGGCGAGTGGATGCCATATGCACAATTCTTCGGCGCGACCAAGTTTCAGGGCAATGAGGATACCATACGCCAGTCGTATCGGAATCACACTCAGCGCGTCAGGGAATACTTTCAAGATAAACCAGAGCGGTACATGGAGATGATCATTGACGACGGCGACATCAATTGGGATGTGCTCTGTCGAGTTGCGCAATGCCCCGGAGGCAACGTGCCTACAATCAGCTTCCCCAAGTCGAATCCTGCTTCGGCATGGGATATGGGCCTCTTGCAGAAGAGCATCAGCTTCTGCCGGGGATGGACCATCACCAGAATGGAAGAAATACTAGCCAAATACTATTACGAGCGAGATGCGAAGGAGGTCAAGGCACTACTTCGAACATTATGGAAATGTTATGACTTTGTGGAGCGGGCATATACTGAGCTCGAATTCAAGATTGTGGCATGGTTTTCACCCCCTTTGACCACAAGTTCTGACAGGCATATCTCATGACAGATTGGACCACCAGCAGTAGTTCGTCAAATATAATGTAGACTAGATTGCCGAATGACTTGTATCGAGCATTCCAGATTTTTTCTATGCGCATGCGCTTCATTTACTTTTTTTCAAATGATCGTGTCACGATCCCAGATGAAGACCCGTGTCTGCAGAGTCAACTTATTAGCTCTGCACGCATTGAACGCTATCGGCACGGGCATTGCAAAAAGAGCTCGACGCGACGCATTGACGAGTGATTGCGTTACTATAGCGCGGGCGCACCAGAATGATCTACGGAACAACTGAACCTAGGAGGTCAGGTAGGTACCGACAAGTGGCATTATTACCTTAGTACAGACATACATGTATATTTTTTTTATTGTGTGTATGCCACAATTTGGCAACATCACCTAGCTGATATTTTTTTTTTTCTCTCTAGTGAAAACTAATGTCCCTGACGGAAAAATCGGGGCGGAAAGCCTTTTATGTGGAATGTTGAGATAAATAAATCAATAAAATAAAACAGGCTGCGGAGCTGACCGACTGGCTACCTGAATGTACTGTACTTCCGCGTGCCACACACATAACTACCAGGTACCCACCCACATATGAAAAAGTGCACACACACGCAACATCAGCGGCGTACCCTATCGCCTGCTGATTTATTATATATACACATCCATATAGGAATCTCAAAAGCGGAATCGATCATCGCGTCCGCTGATGTCCTGTTTCGGGACGAAATGTGGGTAATAAAAGATGATCAAGCGGGTGATCCACCGCCAAATCGTCGTCGAAGCGAGGGAAGACGGACGGGACGCCTCTTTTTCATTAAGTTGTATACCTAGGTCAATACACTTTTTTAATCATAATTGAATAATAAGTCCCGGTGGAGGAGAATCAGAAGTGGGTGTACGATTCACTTTCTTGTTGTGCTGGCTCTTGGGTTTTTTTTTTTTTGCTTTCCTCAGTACCCTCCGCCTGACTTGCCCGACATGGATGGCTTGCACTCTACTACATTGAGCAAGGCCCCTACATGTATGTATGTTGTACCAATGACCATATTTCCTGCATGTCCATTTTATATTGTCTTTTTGGGACAACAATGTCATCCATCACAGTTCCGAGTTCGTGGAAACTTGCAAAGGCTATCATATAATATAACAAACAATCAAACAATCATAAAAAAACAATTATGCATCCACATAAGAGCTAAGGTATCTCCCCACGTCCGACAGACATTATTTAGTTAGTAAAAAGCCACACCTACACCTACATCTGGGGGGATCTTCGATAGGTACAGACCGTACAGTAAGGTACACGATCATCTGACACGACTTTCCCGGAACGGAAGTGCCTGTTTCTTGTCTCACGGGTCGTGACAGCCGTGGCCCAGGCTTTTAATTTTTTTTTTTTCCCTCCGACTGTTCATCACGACCGTATTATCTGACTCATTGAATTCGGGAATGATGAAATCTGAATCACGCTGACGATTGCGCGTCTCACATTCTGGAGGTATACTTTTTATTTTTTATTTTTACAATTTACCCTCCATCGTGTAAGATGGGGCATGTGAGGTAGGAGGTACCTAGGAAGAAGGATAGACAGATCTCATCATCATCAGGAACAATCAAAAGACCCAGGACTCGGGTGCCGACATTGGCAGACCCATGGAACAAGCAAGCAACGGCGCACGAGGAGCTGATGCACTGCTGCAGGACACCGCTCTTAAACCGCTGATGAGGAACAGCCTACAGGTAAGACTCAAGAGGGTAATAATACATGCAAGTAAGGGACGTGTTTACTTCTTTTTTTTTTTTTTTTTTTTTTTTTTTTTTGGCCTTTGGTCCTTTGTTATTACTCTTTTTGCCTTTTTTTCGCATTTGGAAAAAAAAGGGGGACGAAACATGTCACGCAGAGTTTCGACTGTTCGATCGCGATTGCGCACGAGATAGTTCACACCACTACCAGCACCACCACCAGCCCACCAGCCCACGCAGCCGACCGACATGGAGCGGGCGGTGGGGGAGGGGGGCGATGGGGGAAATTGCATCTGATTTTTGGCAAAACAAAACCCGCAGCCAGACACTGGACAGTGGAGACGCGGCGGAGAGGCGGGCATTGATGATGTGATGGAGAATTGGAGAGTTGGAGAGGCTGCTGCAGTGCAACCACGACGGGATGCTTATTGCTTGAGTTGGAATGATGTGCGCCTTGCGTTGCTGCGCATGAACGAGCGCATGCCATTTTGGTATGCTTGAGCGAAACCCAGGCCCTCTTGGCAAGTTGGCACACACACTCTCTCTACCTAGTCTCTCTCTCTCTCTATTCTTTTCCAAGGTCCGAGTCCGTTCTTTCTGGCCAGGCCAGGTCAGGTCAGGTCAGGTCAGCTCCCGTCGGCGCGCGCTACTTTGTTGGTACTGATGCAGGCGATGAGCGGATCGTCGCGCGACTGGCAGCTGATACAGTGATACTGTACCAATGACCGCCCTGGGAGCCTTTTTGTGGCCTGGCCTGCCTGTCTGCCCGCCCGTCCTGCCTTGGCCCTTGCTGCCGGCTCGCGCGCAACGCGCTCGTCCGACAAAATTAGGTACCTATTACACAATTTACAGTATTATTTTTATTATTTTTATGATTTTACCTGTACTCCTGTGGTAGGTAGGTCTTGATTATTGTCAATGTTGGTCGCCCTTTGTTGCGCTTCGTGTAACGTGTTTGATTGATCTTTTTTCTTTGACTCCCGTCTTGATGAACGAGCACATCCGAAGCACACCTACCTACTCTCACGCCGTCCCGCGATCCACATCTCATCACCACCAGTGGGCGCTGTTGGACATGATTGATGATTTTGATTATTCTTATTATTCCTCTTATTATCTGTGACTCTGTCCCCTCATCCTTCATTAATTACAGGACGGCGGGCAGTATTTGCCAATGACCCAGGAATTCACTGACTCCAACTTTAATCCGCGATCCTTGGTTGACCGTGCCCCGCACGCGCGCACGCATGCACCTACGCACGCACGCTACCTTACCGTACCCTCTACTCTTGACCCAGTCCTACCCTTTCCCTACCGCTACCGCTGGAGGTACCGCTGGAGGTACCGCTACCGCTACCGCTACCCTACCCTACCCTTCTCCTCAGTTGACGAGGGTTGTTGTTTCTGGACTCTACTGAGGTACCTGGTGAGGCAATCGGTGCTTCTTGCATTGTTGCCCACTCCTCTTGCTGCTTGATTGCCTGCTTGCCCGGCCAGCACATTATTATTATTATTATTCGTCCTTTTGTGGAACATCTGCCTCACACACACCAAGAGAGAGAGAGACATTGCCCGTACACACACACACACGCACACGCACACACACACACCCAACGCCCACTCCACTCTCCACTACACCCAGCCCAGCCCGCCAATCCCAGTCCCGTTTACCTGCTTGCACTCAACGCTTCCGGCCGCCGGACCACACTCCATCGACGTCTCGAGGACGGCTTCTTCTTCGACTGCCTGCTGCTACTGTCAGCGGGTGTCGCAGCATCAGCCGAGTGGCGAAGTGAGCGAGTTGTTGGCCGAGTCAGGCAATCCTGCATCTCTCCGAGACACGTCTTGGAAATCACGGACGGCGCTGCCTATCCGTGATCGCTGGACTGCTTGACCATCGCTGGCCTCTTTTTTTGGCGGGCGTATTATTGTTCGTCCTGCCTGTACATCAGACCGAATACATCCTCCACCACCACTGCCCATTCACTTGACCCTCCTCTGTTATGACTGCTGCAAAGGTTCGCTTCCCTCCCCTCCCTGGCCGCCGTCACTACCGCAGGGTGGCACGGGCGTGTCTTGTCGGCGAAGACTACTAACGCCGGCTGCGTTCCTAGGAAGTCGCCATGTCGCGTCCCGCGGGACAGAATCGCCTTTCCGTGGGCTCGCCTGCGAACAGCCTGCCCACACGCAACTCGTATAGCCGCACGCACTCGCACACCCCGTCGCTGAACGCCGTAAACCCCACCAACCGCATCAACCGGCGCAAGAGCTCGACGTTCTCAAGGCCTGCCATCAATGGGGCTGCCTTGGACAATGCCGTGGCCGAAGGCGCCATGGTCAATCGCCGCAGCTCCATGTCGAAATCCGCCCTTGCATCGATGAGCAATGCAGCTCAACCGAGCAGCTTGCCCCAGCACGCTTCCGTACCAGAGGAGGTGGCTGTGGTAGACGGGCCTTCCCTTTCCTCCTTCCCGAACAGCGAAAAGCCTAAAGCCAAGATGCGAAGAGCTAGCGACGGTGCGCGTCTGAGCAAGAAGGACAAGGCTGCCACGGGGGAGCTCAAGTGTGAGCATTGCGGCAAGGCATATAAACACGGCAGCTGCTTGACGAAGCATCTGTAAGTCTAGAGTGTGACGAGACGACAATCACGATGAATGGAATGCTGGCAGCAAGAGGTCTATTGCTAACCTCTCTGCCTTGTAGCTGGGAGCACACGCCTCAGTGGCAGGTCACCTCGAAGCTGCTCATCTCCAAGCACCAGCAAGTCCAGCTGCTTGAAGCCGCCTCTGTGCTTGTTGCCATGAATCAAGACGCCAAAGAGGGCCATGACAGCGACGATTCGTCCTCTCCAGCTGCTTCTGGTTCCTCGGACACGCGCGACGAGGACCTGAGCTCCAACGAGACCACGCCTCCACCGCAAAGGGATGAGGAACATAAGCGCTTCAGCGGCAATAGTAGTTTATACTCGCGTTCGTATCAGTCGGTGTTCTCGAACGGCAGTGCGCCGAATGGAGACCACGGCTTCTCGCACCACCGACAGTGGAGCGCCTCCACCAATAGCAGGCCAATGACGGCGAACACCTCGATTGCGGAAAGCTATTTCGGCGACGAAGATCCCCAAGACCTGGCGGCCGCTGTGGGCCTGCTGAGCTGCAGCTATGGCACGCCTATAAGTGGTCCGACAGGCATAGGCTATGATGTTCCTCCAGTTCCCCCACTCCCAGCCAAATACCAGACTCACACGACCAAATTCAACTCCAACTACCGCAATCAGGGCGATGTGGAGATGGAAGACGACGAAGATTCTGATGACGAACCTCATAATGGCCGGCACGACGAGACGGAATACGGCATGTTTGGCAACATGGATGCATAATTTTTTGGTCCACAGTGTCGATGACAAAAATGACAACGACAACAACGACAATATATGACAACAACATTCTGAGTAACACATATCCAGTGTCTGATCTAGTGCATTATAGATCGCAGGCTATTGGAAGGAACACGGGGATCAAGGACAATCACGGCGAGGCTCCGCAGGCTCATTCCAGTACCGATGAGCAGAAGGTCTCATTGTTCTTCTGCGAGGTTAAAGCTGGACGAGGTTATCCGAGCGTCGAGCAGCCATTGGCACAGGCAATCTTTTTTTTTTTCTTCGAAGAGTGGCCTACTCTTGCATGTCTTCTTGCAAAGAGCTTAGGAGCAGCAAAGGCAGCTGTAGTTCTAGCAGTGACAACGAATGGAATGAGCACGAATTTTAAAGTAAAGATGAGAAATACCTTGGGTCAGGTAGTGTTAATCTGTACCTCCTAGTTGTTGAGACGTGAAATATTGAATCAAGTCTGAAGCCACCTGCAGGTGTCGATGTTGAGGCTGAAGACCACATGCACCTGGGGCACTCACTGCCGACACCTGACTGCATGATCATGATCATGATCATCATCATCATCATCGTCTCACCACCACCAACCACCACCTCATCATCCTCAACACGTGAGCCCTTGACGCAGATCCGGTAAAATATACTTATTTCTTGCTTTGCAAATCACACACGCGACATCACGTGTGCTGGGCTGGGCTGGAAGCTGGGCTGGATAAGTTAGGTAGTCTGAGGCTTTTAAACTTTTTTTTGACCAGTCTTACATGTCGATCTATATCGGTGTAGGGTAGGTAGCCGTCCTTTAAGAAGTCTGTTTTTTGTCTGTTTGTCACTCAGTCGGTCTGCATTTGCTTTTTTTTTTCTCCTTGGTAGTGGTAGGAGGGGGAGGGGTTTGGCTCCCTTACAGTTACAGGTTTGCGCTACCTACGTACCTTCATAAGACCTAGGTAAGGTAAACTCGGTTTCAGAGCGTACACCGTACCTTACGTACCTATATTTTTTTGTGTGTGTGTGTATGTGACATCAACATTGATGTTGATATCAGTTTCACTTTGAACATAAGGTAGGTATTATGAGGAGTCTTGTAGGGTACTACATACCTAGCCAGCTTTCTAATCAGGATAAGTACCTGGTAGGAGGATAAAGGGTTGATTTTATATTGGATTGGATTGGGAAGGAAGGAAGGGCAGGAAAGAAGGAAGGGCAGGAAGGGCAGGAAGGGCAGGAAGGGCAGGAAGGGCAGGAAGGGCAGGAAGGGCAGGAAGGGCAGGAAGGGCAGGAAGGGAGGAAAGAAGGAAAGAAGGGGGGTGGGATGAGTTGTGTAGTAATGAGACATGATATAAGAAGAACACAAAATATTCATTACATATGTAGCGTAAGTATGTAGATGGTAGGTATTCTCAATCTCGGAGTCTCTAAAGCGCGGCTGTCAAAAACAAGATCATTTCATTATTTCCCAACCAAAAGGGATGGAATTGGTCGACAATGTGATATCATCCAATAGGTACCTACCCATCGTTCTAACATCCCCAAATCCCACAAAATCCATGTGAAATTTCATGCGCCACATTTCCCACTTCCGAAGTCATTTCTCGAGCAGGCTCAGCAGCAGCTGCTGCCACAGTCACAACCGACGCCACCACCTCTGAAGTCAGAGTTGCCACAGCAGCAGTGACTTGAGGCAGGACGACTGCTGTGAGAGATTCCACGGCGGCACCTCCGAGCGCAGTGAAGGCCTGTGCGACCTCTTGAGCAACCAATTTCGCGGGTTGGATCCAGTCCGTCAAGTCGCCGATGTGAGGTGTGTAGCTGTGGACGCTCGCGGTAGCAATACGGGGCGTCAGGAGGGCGGCACCGGTGATGGGAATGCAGGCCGAGAAAACATCGTAGCTGGTGGAAGCAAGTGTTTGGGTGTGTGAGGCTTTCTTGCCGGGGAGGTGTAAGGATTGAAAGGCGAGAATCTCTTGATCGAGGTTCAGATCCAAGTTGACGCCTCGCAGCGTGTCATTGTCGGAATCCTGTGCTTGCGTCAAGGGGATGGCATTAGTCCCTTTGCCATCACAGGGGACTGTTCTGTTGTCGGTGGACGCGTTCATTGACAATGTCCCGGCGGCAAAGGTGAGGCCCACTTTGCCACCCTGATCCAAAACAAGCCAGTCAAGGCTCAGCTCGAGTTTGGGTCCAATGCGAGCCACAAGCTCGACATCCTTTGATATTCCAGGGGCCAGCGTCTCGAATTCGGGATTGAATCCAGTCAGCTTCCCTGTCGGGTTGTCCGTGTCCCAGACAAAGTCCATCAGTCCTGCCATTGTGAACTTGTAACCAAGAGCCAACGCAAGCTCTCCATCGACTGGTGTAGTGAAGCTCGTGGACACAAGGAACTTGAAAGTTGGCCCAATGTCGAGGATGTTCTTGATGTAGATACCTGCGCCAGGTGGCACGAAACCCCATATTTCGTGGTCATTCGACGTCTTTGCCGCAAGAGCTTGATATATATCCAGTCGTAGTGTAATACTTGCTTCAATGTCACGAGTCGTGACACGGAGTTTTCCCCCGCTGAGTCCATCAATGTCGATCCGGAAATCAAACTCACCTGCCGTATAGCTAATTGTCACAGGTCGAAGTAAGTATTTCTGAGTATGCAGAGGGAGCTCAACAACGTATATTTATGAGCTCAGCAGCCCAGCGAAAGGCGGGCTCAGTGTGACTTTGAGGGTTAGGGGGATGCCTTCAAACTGTTACTTTGCTTACCAAGGATCGCACGAGACCATGCCAATTGGCTTGGCGTTTGCTGAGATCGGGTTCAAGGCTAAAGATGGTGGCAGGTTCATGTTCATGCCAGAAAAGTTCGAATTGAGTGAGATCTGACCGGGATGTGTATCGCGAGTGATGTGTGGTATGGACACTGTGTCGCGTGCGATGCTTACATGCCAGGCCAGGCCGAATGCTTCCTGGAAGCTCACTGCTTCTGCCAAGAGCTCGACATGATATTGTCCATCGTCAAAAGCGATTTCACTCACGAGCCAGGGTTGCCGTGTCGTACCGTCCGTTCTGTTACGATCACAGTCATAGGTTTCTGTAACAAGAATAACAGCATGACCGTCATCCTCGTTAGTCCACTGCCATTCGTGCTTGATCTGTTGGGATGAATCTTCATTAGTCGGGACACAGGGGGTATGAAAAGGTTTATCCTCACTTGTTGGAAGTCAATGTCCTGCGTAAAGCTGAGGCCAATCTTGCCATCGTGGCATACAACTTCTCCAATCACGTCTCTAAATTCTTCCGTTTGCAGGACTTTCTTCTTGCCGTCTCCTTTCACATCAAACCTGGCATATTGCTGGCCGAAGCCTCGTCGGAAGTCCCTAGCAGCATAGTACATACTGCCTGCACTCTGCAGAGCCACGTTCCCGGTGAGGTTGGTTGCTGAGTCTCGTATTGTCAGACTTCGTTTACTAATCCTGACTTGAGTGCTGCTGTGGTCCGCGAAGAATGACGCAGCGATTGGCTCCAAGAACGTGCGCTCCTCAATGGCTTCTGCTATCGCTGAGAGGCTTCCATTCGAAACGATAGCGCTTCGAGCCAAGTGTCCGCAAGCCAATGCAACAACTCCCGTGAGGAATGCGAAGTGTCCCATATTTGTCAATTAATCTAAGGTGATGAGAGGTCGAACGTTCGTGAAAGCACAGTGGGTTGGGCTTCGCGCTTGGTCTAATGCTCTCCGCCTGGGTCATGCCGATGCGGCATGTTTGTGGAAGGTCAGGCGGTTTGTACTATACTGATCCAATCACGATGGTGGTCAGGTGGTCGGTGCGTGACTGTGATTTGAGACCTCGTTTTGTAATAGTACACCATCTCGCGCTCTAAGGAAATTCTCGTACCGATGCTACTTTTCATCCAGACTCGAGATCATCCTCGTCTTCTGTTGACGATTTGACTCCTGAATTTATTCGCCATCTTGAAGCTGAACGCCCTCCTCTGGATACTCGTCGACCTTCTTCTCGAAACGAGCCTCGATGGCCTTCAGCACCTCCATGTCGCGATCAGAGCTCACAAAACTGATTGCAATACCCTTGGTTCCGAAACGACCAGCACGGCCCACGCGATGCAGGTAGGTATCCGCTGCTTGCGCAACAGATTCCTTGAACTCCGCGGATCCCTTGTCGGCACCCACAGTCTTTTGTCGCTCAGCCTCCTTGTTGGAGGTGGAGTCCGGCATGTCGTAATTGATGGCCAGGTTGATACGTTCGATATCGATACCACGACCAAAGACGTCAGTGCTCACACAGATACGCTTGTCGAAGTTCTTGAAGGCGGTGTATCTCTTGATACTGGCAGATAGTCAGCAGCTGTTGACGACCACAGGAAGTTTTGTAAGCTTACCGTTCTTCCTGGGGCATGTTGGAGTGCACAGTAATGGATGGGAAGTTGCACTCGCGCAAGAGGCGATCGAGTTCACTGGCACGGAGCGTGTTCTTGACGAAAATGATGACCTGGTTGTAGCGCAGTTTGTCGAGCAGATCGTTGAGGCGGCGATTCTTCTCTTCCTCAGTGAGCTTGACGTAATACTGCTGCAGTCCGTGCAGAGTAAGTTTCGCCTCGTCGTCGACATAGATTTCGAGTGGGTTCTGCATGAACTTCTTGCACACAGGCTTAGTCTGGTTGGACAGTGTGGCCGAAAACATCATGACCTGCTTCTGAGGTGGCGTGGCTCGGAAGATCTCCTGCACATCGCGACGCATATCTACCAACATGTCAGTGGCGTCTCATTATGAGCAAGGAAATCACTTTACCAATCTGATCAAGCATCTTGTCACACTCGTCGAGCACGAATCGGGAGACACTTCCCAGTCGAAGCTTCTTCTCACGCACGAGAGCGTTCAGGCGACCCGGAGTCGCGACAATGATGTGTGGGTGTGTCGCCTTGTTGCTGAGCAGCTTCTCATTCTCCTTGATGTCAGTGCCACCGTAAAAGACCTCGGTCTTGACTTCCGGCATGTACTTGCTAAACCTCTGGTATTCATTCTTGATCTGGAACGCGAGCTCACGCGTGTGGCACATGACCAGAACGCTGACTTCGCCATTGACTGGCTCAATCTGCTGAAGAGTGGACAGCACAAAAACGGCTGTTTTTCCGAGACCGGACTTAGCCTGGCAGAGCACATCGGTTCCAAGAATAGCTTGCGGAATGCACACCTGCTGGACTGCAGAGTGATGTTAGAAGGGTTCGCCCAATCGAGTTTTCGCGCCAATGCATCCGTGAGCAGAGTAGAGCAGAGCGTCCATCCATCACAGCGTTCGATCGCAACCACGTTACAGCGCGAAAAGCGCAGGCTGGCCAAAGCCATACGCATCGCGGTGCTCCAGCCCACACATCAAAGCCTTCAGTGCCTATGAAGAAAGACATGTGCGCCAAACATTCTCTTCTCCATCAAAAGGACTTCAATGGCGTCTGACTGCGCGACGGCGTCGCAATGCCCCATCATTCTGCCTCTGCCAACACGTGGTCTTGCCAAGCTTGACATGAACTCGACAGTAATTGTGCGGACACATGTTCCTGGAGCCCCCCATCCTATTATGCTTGTCTGGTCTGCTCTCGCTCTGATGGACTAGATGGACGGACGCTCCTCGCTCGAGAATGGCGGTGATGGCTGGTCGCTCTAAGCACGTGTATGGAGATGACTAACCCTCTGATGGATGTTCGAAACCGCAATCTGTGATGGCCTTGAGAAGCTCGGGCTTCAGGAGGAAGTCGCGGAAACTGGTCGAGTGAATACCGACGTAACTGCCCTTGCCCTTGTCGGCGCCAGCTCCAGAGACGGTCAGATCGCCTTTCTTGGCCTCGCCGTTTGAGGCAGCAGCTGCGCCAGTAGCACCAGCAGCGCCATCGGTGGGCTGCAGCTCCTCGTCGGAGTAGTCGATGAGATCTTCCTCGCCAGACATGATGCACAGATGTGCGTATGTGGTGTTGGTGGGCGCGTGAAATGCGACGGCGAAGTACGAGGCTGCAGCGGCGTGCGGCGTGCGGCGTCGAGTAGCTACTCAGGAAGAGAAATCAGCGGGGGGCGCGAGTCGGCGACGAGACTCGGTTAGGTGTGAGGGAGGAGTGGAGGAGCGGAGGAGTGGAGGTGAGGAGGGTGAGGATGGCAGCACGATGAGGCGGTGGCTATGGCAATGTGGGTGAGGTGAGGTGAAGCCGCGATGGAGAAGACGAAGGACAAGCTGAAGGGAGACAGGCGATCAAGGCCAAGCTTCTTCCCGCAAGCGGCGGCAAGGGAGCGGGAAGAAGCGCTTCTCTCGCGACTACCGTTCTCGGCAGCCACCCCACTCTCACATTCACTCCTGCCTCCTTTGCACGTTCCGCTGGCTCTTTTCGCTTTTTTCTCTGGTTCCCTTCCTTCGTTCTCCTCTCTTCCACTTCTCTCTTCTTCGTCTTCTCTCTCCCACCTCTTCTCTCTTCCACCTCCAGCGACACGACCTGCGCGCTATGGCTAAGAACAAGCCACAACAGGGTGCCAAAGGCGCACCCAACAAGCACCTGGTGGCTCGAATCGCCTTCTTACACCAAGCTGCTCTATTGCTCGCGTCTCAGGCGGCGGCGCCATCAGCACAACCCGAGAGCACTAATTCTACGGCAGACCACGGCACTGCTCAATTGCACGAGCTGGACACAAATGCCACGCGCCGGCAACCGCCCAGAAGCGGTTTGCCCTTCTACTTCACTGCACAGCTCAAGCAAGTCGCCCTCAAATCACAGGTACGCTTGCAGACGGATGTCAAGCGAGCTATCTGCAAAGCTTGCAATGCGATGCTCATTGAGCATCAGACCTGCATCACAGGCGTGGAGAACCTGTCGCGCGGCGGCAAGAAGGACAAGGCCAATGTGTCTGTAGTCGAATGTCTCGCCTGCGGTTGCAAACGCCGAGTCCCGCTAGGGGCCGCACGGCAGCAGAATAAGAGTAAACGCGAAGTACCCAAAACTGGCAGTGCAGCGCACGCGGACGAGCCGATTGGCCATTCGTGAATTCGCCAATATGAAATTGAATAACTCCAACAGACGGGAACCTAGTAGCCTTTCCATAACGCCGCCCGCAGATATGAAGCTACCTGATGCGCGATCTGCTACCAACGGCCGTAATTACCTGCACCAATCGATGCCAATATATGAGAGACGTCTTTCACACCCCGGCCCCGCAGACGCGAATCGCTCGACCTGTGCAGGGACTGCCACTACCGTCGTCACGCAATGGTTTGCAATTCATAATGCTACTCCGACTCCCGCCGAAAAGAAGACGATAAGCTCGATGGGCTGTGGTCTGCGTAGCCGTCTTGTCGCTGCCAAGGGAACAAACCGTAGCTCAATCGAGCCTCAATACCGCGGAGCGTGGCGTTCATCATGTCAATGTCGCTGTTCAGAGTTGCCAGCGTCTTGTTATAATTCTCTGCAATTTTGACCATCTTCTCCATCGAGTCGTCTTTCCTGCAACAAGGTTAGCCATATGTCGTTGGTGCCTGGTCGACAACGAGCATACTTCGTTGGAGGAACATCACGATACTTGCAATCCGTACTCTGTTCATCACACGACTGACAAGGTTCGCCCCCTGCCGGATACCAAGTGTCAGCATCTGTCGACTTGAGTTGCTTCAAGGACGCATGCATACCATCACACTTCTGTTTGCGTTTTCGACACTCTTCACATGCCTGGCGCTTGTCAGTATGATGATACATCGTCATCCATTGGAGTGCGAAGGGGCCTACCGTTCTTGTGCGCTTGATTCTTCTCGAGTGCTTCTCCTCCTCCACTCCGGTGGTCGTGGCTGAACGATGCGAGGTCAAGTGTTTCCCCGCGCTTGCTGGGGCACCCGGGAGATGAAAATCTGTTGCCGGAATACTCTGCGGGCTGTAGCCATAAACCAGTGTCGATCCAGTGGTCGAGTCGCTAGTGAAGCTGTAGCCCGATCCTTCTGGGTGCTCATTACCCGGAAAGTCTGGGGCATAGATCTGTGCCACGCCCTCGTGGTTCCAGTCTGCTTGTGGCATATAGCCTGGCTGTTGAAAAGACCCCATCGCGAATACGGCTGGCGCGGCGGCGGCTTTCACTCCAAGAATGATGAGCAGAGTTTGGAAGAGACGACTAGACTAGCACCGAGGAGGAGTTTTACCAGGTCGACCAACGTCGCCAGCGAATGGCGGCGCCCCTCGTGCCTTAGTACGCGGACCCTGAAGATCTGGCCCATGCTCCAAGAACGACGCTAGTCACGACTTGCCATCGGTCGTCATTTGCTGCCTCCTAGCATCCTTCCTGTATACGGAGCAGGAGGCAAGACCGACGGATCGTAGGTCGACACAACAGGCCACGGAGTGGGCGCCCTCCACACTTGCAATCACCGGTGGCTTAGAAACGACGCGTCCGTGCCGCAGCAATGCAACATCCATGATAGCTTACGATATTTACCAGGCAAACTTGGAGATTGTGGGCCTGGTCAAGTGCATAACCTAGCTGTTGGAAGCGGACCTCGCACCGAGTGAACAAGATCTGTCAAACACTCGCCACGCCAGTTCTCGTAGAGACGTTCTAGACCGGCGCCTGGATACAGTGTGTCACCATCGATCTTGAGAAGATGCCACGGTGCCACCTGATCTTCTGTGCTGTGCCTTGGGTCGAATGTCACCACATTTTCCATGGCATCTCGATCATTTGCTGCTTCTCTTGGGGAGCTGCAGCCAGCACAGCGGCGAATCCACCCCGGCGAGAATGTGCGGCAACCTTCAAGCCCGGTAGACTGGCTACGTCGAAGCAGGTGAGGCGCATTGTGGCGTCTTTGAGGCATGTTGTTATATTAATTCCAGCTAGCTGCAGCCGCGGACCCCTCGCCGCTTGCAGGGACCCAGGCATTCTCGCAACAAGTCACGGTCCGACGGTCGCACTGCGCTCAGCGGCTCCACCCGCTTGCATCTCGCGTTTGCTCTGCTGCTATGGACGCACGCCACGAACACGTAACCCAACTCTCTGGTGGTGGTCTGATGTTCTTTGGAGGTGAAGTTTGATCTACGAATTGCGCAGTACAGTTGCTGTGCCGCAGTATACCCCAAATACATTGCGCCCTTCCCGACAACAACCTTGTGCAACCTCCCTCAACTGATCTGCAGAATGTGCGGTGTAGCAGTGTGGCAATGGCTATCGAGCATTCCAGTGCGTATCCTGCTACAACAGAGCGCCGCGTGCATACGGGGAATCTCGCCGTGTCCGACAAACAAGACTTCGGCTATTTTGGCTATTTGGACAGTCACAGCAATGTCGATATCTGTTCGATGGACTCATCGAGGATAGTTGGAAGTCTCAGGCAGGTTCCTCGTGTGCAGAGATTTGATGTAAGCAGAAATGGACAGGAGCACGCATTGTCGACTGGACCTTGCACATGGATCAGATGCGCTGCTTTCACCAACGATCCCATTGCCGTCGCGGTCATTCTGAGAAAAAAAGCTTGCAATTCGGCCAATACTGCCTGCAACCTGCGTCGTGATAACGCATTCACAGCTGAAAATCCCGCGAATCACGCAATCTGTACGACGCTGCAATTTGACGGAACTCCAATTTGACGGAACTCCAATTGAGCAGCAGAAAGTATATTCCTTTGCGCGCAGCAGGAAAATGGCAGACGATTGGACGGGCTCTGTCTTACATCCATCCCTAGTGCGGGTTCACAGCGTAAAAGACCAAGAACTTTGTGGCAACATTGCTCTCTTCTTTATACGGCCATGAAAGAAATCCCTTCAAAAAAGGATTACTAAACTGTTGCCCAAGAACGCGAGACCGAAGACAACAAACCCTCCTCCCCCCATACTATGTACGACTTCCAACACACAATGAACAGAACTACGTGACGACTGAACAGCAAGCGGTTGGCTACAACGTTACACTGCCCCCTGTAGGGAGGGAGTACAAAAGCTTATACAGCATCTCCCGAGCGATGATCAACGCATCGATTCGCATCCTGTCCTCTGCACCTTTGCGTAGGCACTTCTAGGTTTTGGGCTCGGTCTTCGTTCCATCGTGCGCCGCCGAGCTTTACACCGCTGCTCAGCTACCGTACGTAGCTCCCGTTGGGTGTTTCTGAACAGCGGTAGGTTAGGTATTGTTGCTCAGCTCGGCTGTCTGTGACATGTAACAGAAGAAAATGAATGGGCGCGTGTAGGTATGCCATCTTGATCTATTTTCTAGATCCAGGATGCCTGACTGAATTTGCTGATTATTTGAGAACAAACAAACAGAACTCCCATGAGAACTGTCTATGGTTGTTCGAACGAGAAACTGCTCCTCCTTCGAGACAGTCTGGAAACAAAGGGTGCCATTCCAGGTCTGATAGCCCCTGCCCTTCCCCGATGGGCGAGCACCAGAAGACTCAGGCATCACTAGTGATACATATCATCGTGGATGATATGAAGTACCTACCGGATCTCGTGATACCTTCCTTCGCTCACCTGCGTTCTTTCACAGCAGCGGCTCTCTCTTGTCTCTGGGCATGATCGTGTTCAGGAAGACTGCCACGATCATACTCAAGATGAAAGGGGTCTCGACCATCAGATTGACTCCTTCGAGAAAGCCCATCAGATTGACATTGTCTCCACGATAGGCCAGCACTTGTGAAAACCACTCCGGAACCTGTAAGTAGTATATCAGCAAAAGCTCCTGGATTTATTTTTTCTTTTCTTTCTCTTCTTCGTTTCACGTAGCTTATATATACCGAACTAATGCATTCATTATACGTACCACAATATCGAGGAGTCCAAGTCCCAATGCAGCTGATAGGATGAATCGGTTGCGTCGAGTCCAGGAAATTGTTGCTAGAATTCGCAGACCCGAAATGGCGATAGTGGAATAGAGAAAGGTTTGCATGCCACCAAGCACAGGACTTGGCATTGCGGCAAATACAGCACCAAATTTGCCAAAAATCCCCATTATAATGATGATTACGCTCGCACAGTAACCTGTTGTTGCGATGATGGACATCCATAGGTCAGCATTCGCGATACCAACGCTAGGAAGAACACTCAGGTGTGGGATATAATCTTACCAGCTCTGCGACTCTACAGGCGCTAAGTTAGTCACCATTGTTCAGCACAGCACAACAAAAGTAGCGTAACTTACTGCGTTGCTTGTCACCACAATCACACCATTATTGCCTGCAAGATTATTCCATCATGGTCAGTCAATGTTTTCTTGACTCCCTCACACTTGTTTGTCATACTCACCTGCATGTGAAACCATAGGGATTGTCATTCCCAGACCCGCAAGGAGACTGCCCAGAGCATCGCATAAGATACCTCCCTGAATCCGGGTGTTTGCTTTTTCACCTTCGGTCTCTACGGCGGAAGCTTCTGATGTTGCGGCAATCGAAGGCATACAGACCATAGCTTCGCAGATGAAGAGGATCATGAGGGGCCTCCAAGTCGCGAAAAATCAGCCCAAAACGAGCGAGAGTGAGTGATGTCTTCCGAGATGCTCGTTTTCACTTACAGAATCAATGCCCCATCAACGCTGAGTTTAAATGTTTCAACCCACAAGAACGTGACCACTGGTGCTTGTTCGATCCCCGAGACCGACCAAAACCCAGTCGCGCCAGAGATGGCACTGCCAATAGCAAGACCGAAGATGATGCTCGCGCTCTTCATCAGCGGACTGCCGATCATCTCCACGATCAGGATGGTGGCGAAGACAGAGAAGCCTATACCGATAAACTTGGGATCGCCCCAGACCAATGGCTTGGGGGCATTGGTATTCGGACAGAGAGCGTAAATGCCTGTACCGTCGAGACAGCTAGAGCCGCCTCCCCACTGGAATAGCAAGAAAAGAAAAGGATGTCAGCGACAGGTTCTCTTGTTTTCTCCAATCAATTGGAATGAAATAAAGAAATAAAGAACTTACAGACTCTCCAGCCGTCGTGACCAGATACACTCCCAACACCAGCAACAGCACCCCCGTCACTGTCGCTGGAAACACGCGTTTCAAAATCTTTGCCGGAATCAACGCCACCAAAAATTGCATCCAGACACACACCAGAATACTTCCAATCAACGCTCCATACGCATCCGGACACGGCAGCTTCGTCGTTCCACCCCCTCCTCCCTCCACCACAGTAGTAGTAGTACTAGGACACTTTCCCGTCTCATACAACCTCTGCGTATATTTGAGCGCAACAGGAATAATATCAAACGTCGGCCCGACCACACTCAACAACCCGGAACCGAGATACCATTTCGAATTCCCCAATCTCGACCTCGTAATCTGCAAGAATGTCGCTATTCCACTGACGATGAAGCCGGCGGAAATGAGATACTCGGTCGATTGCACGTCGAGATAGAATGCTCCTCGTGCGATGGCGAGGATGGGCGTTACGATGCCCGAAATCATCGTTAGAGCGTGTTGCAGACCGAGGATGAGGATGAGGAGGAGAGGGATTTTGTCGTTGGGGTAGAAGAAGGGTGGGATGTGCTGCTGCTGCTGCTGCTGGTGAGCTTCTTCTTCTCCTTCTTTTTCGGATTCGTGGTGGTATTTGCGGTTGAAAGGCCATATGTCTGGCGTGAAGAGGTAGGCGTAGTCGTAGGTGCCGATGAGGCCGTCGCGGGTTGTGAAGGTGTGGTGCAGTTCGGACCAGATTTTTTTCCAACTACTTTCTTGAGGCTGTTGGTGATCGTGGTGGTGATGGTGTGAGAGAGTCTCATCTTCTCGTCCTTGTGCTTCCTCTTCTGCTGAAGTTGCGACTTGTTTCGATGTAGCAGGAGAGCTTTGCGCGGTGATTTCTTCCATCAGACCCATAATGGCCAGCCAGCCTAGGTATGTTGTTGTAGTAGTGCGGGAAAACTGTGAAGTAAGGTGAAAGCGAGCAGCAAGTCTATGGATTGTGCCAAGGTGAATGCATCAGCCGAGTTGAACGCACGAGCGCTCACTGAAACGTATGAGTGAAGTGAAACTTTTTTCTTCTCAGAGCAGCATAAAGCACTCTGCTCAGATTCCACTACCACAACAACAGCCGCGAGGCGACGAGGAAGAAACCAGATCAGTGATTTGTGCCTAATATCACGCTGTGAAGAGTGTCGTAAGTCAGTAGTAGTAGCTAGCTACAAGCTTCAATCCCCAAGATCTAGTCAGACATAAATAATAGTAAGGTACCTTAGGCCGATAGTTAGCAGTACAGGAAAATGCCAATACTTACTTACTTACCTGGTACAGACTACACCTTCACCTACCTTACCTCCTACCTACTCAACCTAACCATCAACAGTCAACGATCTCTCTCTCTCTCTCTCTCTCTCTCTCTTTCTCAAAAACATTGGGTCAATTCCATGCCGTCCATGCTCTAGCCTGGCATTAACATACTCACGCGGACAGACAGACGGGCAGATGCAGAATGCAGAGTGCAGATGGTGAGAAGAGGTTCCAGAGTTGACCCATACTTACCCATACATACCTTAGGTAGGTACATACCTAGCCCTGAACCTCTCCTCGTTTTCGCCTATTATGCAAGCAGAGACGGCATACGTCCATTCACCACAGTACCTACCGGAATGATGCACGTACTGTAGCTACCTTGCAGTGCATGTTATCTGCTTCCTCTTCTTGGTCTTGGTCTCGGGTGATGGGAGATTGATGATTCCTGATTTTTTTTTTTCTTTCTCGCAGCGTTTCAACGACCAAAGCTGCTTTCCTTTGATGATGGACAGACATATATATGTCTCCGCTTGCTCGAGCACACAAGAGACTTCCAGCGCTGGAACATGGTGTTGATCCCAACTTCCCAAGAAAAAAATGCATCCACTGTGGATAGGATCTCCCTCCCTGTGCAACGTGTACCAATCAAAAAGCCGCCGCGTCATGCAACTCCATGCGCAACCAGCAGATTCCGAACATTCACCTGGCCACCATTGTGGTGATAGCGCACGAGACGGAGCGTGCAGGGTAGCTAGATAGTGAAAGAGGGTGGTGGTGGCACGCCAAATTTTTATCCTTCAAGCGAGCTTTTGTTGAGGTTGCAGTCTATCTACTCCAGTACACATTATCGTTAATACACACACCGCCATTGCACCCTTCCTGCAGGCCCCAAAGTCTGCATCATTCGAACGAGAAGCATTCATCCTGCCTCGGACATTGCCAATGCTGGTGCCGATGCTTGTGACAAATCATGTCGTCCACTTAGGCTCGCTCGCACGCGTCCAATTCGCTCCAAGTCCAGATGACTGGTCGTAAGCGAGATCAGTCGAGTGCCATGTGCCAATTCTCCTCTCCCTCTCCCGTACTACCTCTAGGTCCGACGTGGTCCTTCAACCACCTCACAGAGAGCTCTCCACTTGTCCTCGTCTTTCACCAGCCAGCCTCTACTTCTCATCACACCATCGACGACATCAATCACTTGACGGAATCCAGAGATGGCACCTTTGACCTGCACGAAGCGAGCAATGGACAGGCCGACCTTGCGGCTATCCTCCAGCACTATGAACAGCTCGATTCGGAAAGTGATAGGCTTGATATTCAGCGTGTTGGACTTGTCCACTCGTGCAGAAATCGAGTTGCTCTCCCGCGAGTACTGCAGGTCACGAACACCATGACGCTGCCACTCTTTGAAAAGCACGACCAGTTCTTGGAGCGCCCTTCCGCGCCGAAGCTCGAAGCAGAGAATGTGAGCTGCTGGCTTGATGTGGAAGAAGCGCGCAAACCATGATCGCTCCGGAGCCGCCGCCGGCGGGTTTTCATTGCTGGAAGGTGCTGGGGATGCCGAAGAGAACAACGAGTCCAATGATGCATTGGTGAGAATGGTAGTGTCTACGACCATCGTTAGCACGAGTCCATGGCCACGGAGGGCCCTCGACATACCCAAGTCTGTCACGTTGCTATTGTCTATGCCCTTGTCGCGACCGATCTTGCCAAACCACTTTGACAGCCCCATCTTTCCGCTGGCAAAACGAGTCTTGCGCAGATGGCTCTCATTGAACGGACCAGGCAGAGCTGAGTCTCCAGGAATAGCACTGCGTGGAGACGGCACTGATGACTTGCACCGATCATCTTTACTGTCCGCATCTATCAGCGTTTCTCCGTTGAGCGTATCGTCGTCCTTTCTGCTCCTGCCGAACCACCCAGATCGCTTCTTGCGCATAGCTGCGGGCGTGCCGAGTGCACTGTTCTCGTCGATGGACATTAATCCCGACGTGTCTGGGTTCTTCAGCTTGCGGTGCAGACTGTCCGTTGGTGCCTTTGGTTCAGGGCTTCGGCGCGGATCATGAGATGCTGGACTGCCATTGCTTCGCTTACGAACATTGAGAGGTGCCACTGAACCAGGTGAAGCCGGTGGTACGACTCTGATGGTCCTGTCCTCGGGATTACGCTCTTTGTTGACTGGCGCAGTCACACTACGATGCCAGTTGACGCCCTCTCTACTGCTCCGCTGATCGCTGCCTTCTTCTGATATGATAGGCAGAAATCTTTGCTGATCTGACAGCTTGACCGTCTCGGGCGCAGAAACCACCCGCCTGTCCGGCGTAGATCTAGTAGCCGGCAGGATGTTGTCGAGAGCTCGCATGACTTCCTCAAACTTTGCAGTGTTATCCTCACCATTCGCCTTATAAGCTGTGAGCTTGGACCTAGCCTCTTCGATTGTCTTGGACAAATATGAGTTGGGCGTGTCCTTCGGGAGTTCGGGAAGTGGTCGTCGTGCTGGTTTCGTAGTTGAAGGCAGATCTGGACTGGCTGATGGCTTGGTAGCAACGGATGACGGTGGAGTGTCGTATTGCGAAGGCTTGTCCGTCGACGAGGATCGAGCAGTCGTATTCGAGCCCAACGAGTCTCTGAAGAACGCCTCCTCGCACGCCTTCTCCAATTCGGCGCTGTGCTTGCGAATTTCATGGCGCATATAGTGCCCTGGTGTGTTTGGCTTGCGAACCTTGATACGCGGGGTTTCCAATGTTGCTGTAGTAGCTCGCTCCTTACGGGACTTGACAGGCTGACTAAAGCGAGATATCGGGCTGGAGTTGGCAAGTTGCTGTTCTTTGGCAACGAGCTTTGCTTGATGCTCGCGAAGATGTGCTGGTAAACTGGGCGTTGGTGGCATTGAACCTTCAGTCGAGGTCTGAGCCGTGAGGGCGCTGGTGGTGGAAACGCGACGAATATGGCCGAAGCTCACGCGACGTTTGTGTACATCAGACGGCCGCATTGTAGGCATGACAGGGGGACTGCTGGGCAATAAGGAACCTGCCAAAGAGTGGCGAGACATTGAGGATCGTTGCAGAGATGACCTGCTCCTGCCCGAGCGTGTCAAGCTTGAGGATGTGGTCGACTGGCGGCGGTGAGCGTTCTTCAGAGTCTCAATCCGAGCAGAGTTGGGATGGCGCAGGTTGCGCCCCATACTGCCCTTTCTTGTGCTGTTCGTACCGCTACGATGCACTCTCACGTTGATATACTCTCCTTGGGCGTTGATGAGTGGATCTCGTGAAGCTCGATAAGGATCGTAACTGCTTTCTGATGGCGGCGGTGCAGCAAAGCTAGAGCTCGGGCGCAGATGTTCGTCGTTCATGATAGAATACTGTGACTGCGACCGTTGTGCGCTGCTGGGCATGGGAGGAGCGTCCTCGTTGAGTGGGCGGCTGTGATGATAATCACTGGCCGAGTAGCTGATATCATCTGCTCCTCCATCATAGCTCTCCAGTGTCTCCTCTTTATGTTTGAGCAAGGCTGCGTAGAACAGCTTCTCCTGGTTGAGTTCATTCTTGTCAAGGAGTTTTTGGATCAAGCTTTGCTCTGTTTCACTGTGCCACAGAGTACGCATGTTGCTGAGGATCTCACGATCAATGTCCTGGATCCGCTTGACTCTCCACTCGTCGATGCTCGGCGGCTTGCCCACCGCGGCCTCCTTGGTGCCATCGGGACCGTCCAAGCCAAATTCGGCATCAAACTTGTGCAGAAGAGGATGGTCCCAGACCTCGTCCATGGTCAGACGCTGCGCAGGGTTGGGTATGAAGATGCGTCCAAGCAGGTCCTGCGCTTCGTAGCTCAGATCCTTGGGCATGATATACCTGGCAGCTGTGATATCTCTAAAGAGTGCGCGGATATCGTTGTTATGGTCGTAGTTGAAAGGGGTGGTGCCAGTCAGCATGACATAGAGAATGACACCACAGCTCCAGACGTCTGCTTGAGGCCCGTCGTACGGCCTACTACTGACCACTTCTGGAGCAGCGTAGTGTGGGCTCCCGCAAGGCGTGCTTAGCAGTCGACCCTGGGGCTGCAGTGCAGCCATACCGAAGTCAATGAGCTTCACAGTCAGCTTCTCGCGATCGAGCAGGATGTTCTCTGGCTTCAAATCGCGGTGGCAGATGAGCAATCTGTGGCAATACAGCAGAGCTGATACAATCTGCCGGAAGATGTATACCGTCTCGTCCTCGGGAAGACCTTTGCGCTCATCTACATAATGGAAGAGTTCACCGCCTTTGACATACTCCATGATGAGATATCTGAAATGGGGTGTCAGCATATGAGATGGTACAACGAAGCCTCTCACGAACTCACAATTCATTTCTGTTTTCCCAGACATCGTACAGCTGTACAATATTAGGATGCTCCAGGAGTTTCATGACAGCGATTTCACGTTCGAGACCATATGGGATAGGCTTGTATCCGACAGCGGATAGACCAGGCGACAGCTTCGTACTCTCGATCAAGTTGGCCAGGCTTTGGGCGCGCGTGCTCTCGGCGACAGATCTCGTGATGATCTTTACAGCGCCATACTGGTCTCTGTGTCTGTGCCGGACGACGCGCACTCGCGAACAGCCTCCTTTGCCGATTGTCTTACCTAGCTGCCAATGCCCAATATATGTCTTGCGTCTTACGCTAGACGCGGTCGTCGAGGCGGTGGAAATGGCGGAATTGCGCTTGGAGTCGCGTGCATCATCACTGGCAATGCGGGAAATGTGCTTGTTCTTTGGCGATATTGGGTATTCATTGCTGCGGACTGTAAGGTTGCCATTGGGCTCCAAAGACTCATTGTGAGGGAGGCTGGAGGATGTCTCGCCCTTGACATACTTGCCGTGGCGCTGCGAAGGAGGCGGGTTGTTGATGCGATTCTTGAGCTCGAGCAAGGGCCGTCTCGCCGTCGGGCGGTTGGCGCGGTATCGATCAGCCATGGGCTCGGTCGGTCGCGGCTCCGTCAGTGCATGGGGGTGCAGGTCAGGTGTGTAGAGCAGCAGAAAAGGCTGTGGTGTAAGTCGTGCTTCGACGTGGTTGCTGTGTGAATGCTATCGGTGCTGTTCGCCCTCTATCCAAGTCGTTCTGCTTGATTCGAGCTGGCCTGGAGTCGGAATGGAAATCGAGAGGGGGAGGGAGGCTCGCGCGGACGGATAGTCGCTGTCAATGAATATGATGCTGTGGGCGGAGGGCGGACATCCAAGATGGGGCTGCGGGCGGGAACGAGAGCACGGCCGGCGGCGATGCCAACCGACGGGAATCCTGTTTGTTGATGTTGATGCTCTGTGGAGCAACTGAGCGGAGTCGACAACGACGGGGGGAAAACAACAACAACAACAACCACCACCACCACTGCAGAAGAACAAGAACAACAGCGACCACCACAACCACAATCACCACGACACCACGACACCACCGCCACCACCGCCACCAAGAACAACAACGACAATAGCGTCAAGTGCGAGTGTAGATGATGGTGCTGCTGCCCTCGCAATAAAGTCAACTTGAAGTGATCTGGTATGTCGGCGTCAGTGTGGCAAGAACATGTCCGACTTGTGTCCTGCCTGCCTGTCTGTCTCTCTGCCTGCCTGCCTGTTCGCTCGCTGCCTGCTGCCTGCACGTGAAGGCGGGAAAAGTGAAGTGAAGTGAAGCAGGTACAATGCGATAGCACGTGTTATTCGCGATGCCCGTGCCCGTGTGTGTGGTTTGCTGAATGCGTTCCACTTCCATTGGGGCAACGTGCCGTGCCATACCAATATGCCAGTGGAACTCGCAACTTCTTCTTACAGTACCTACTGGAGGTGTCTGCTTCACCTCAGTTGCACCTTCTCTATTTGTTTTCACGCTCATCAATAGGTAGGTACCTGGTAACCTCTCCTTCGCGCCTTCCTCGCTCTCTGCGCGTCCATGACGTGGTTTCTACTTCTCACATCGTCAGTAAGGCAAGTACAGTACACTCTCACTCACTTGCCTCACAGGATCGGAGTCTGGACCCATCCTGCAAATGAGGTGGAATGCCCATTCCATCCTCTCCATGAGCTAAGATATGGCATGCTGCGACGTGTCGTTACTGCGATCGCGCCTTGGCGAACTATGATGGATTCCAACGCAGCTGCTCTTGAAAGACGACCCAGAAGACATTCGTACGCCCTCATGAGTGCCATTGCAACGCTCTGCAGTCAGTCAATCAGTCACTCACTCATTCAATCACATGTACATGTACAAGGAAGGTCCAAACAAGACAATCCAGTCTGCATAGTCTGCATAGCCTGCATAGTCTGCATACCTCCGTCTGCCGGACCGAGATCGCGATGACGCCCAGAGATCGACACTGAAATCTCTCCCCGGAGAAAACTCCGCCGCGAACCCATATTTACGTACACGTCATGGTCGGATGAGCGTACCGGGATCCCGGTGTCTCTGGTTGAGGGCCTTCTGCAAAGTTCTGCAGCTGCAAGTGCTGTGGTGCTGGCTGGTGCTGTCCCGACTGATTGGTCCTCTGTGGGCATGCAACAAAGCAAGCAAGCAAGCAAGCAAGCAAGCAACTTCACAGACGCATCCTGAGGACAAAATCGTCTAATAAGGAAATGTACTCAAAAGGTGCCTGCCATAATTTCGGAGGTAAGACAGGACGTCCTACTGCTAAGCGGAGGAGGGACAAGTGTATACGACAAGATCAGAAAAGAAAGAAAACATTCCAAAAAGGACCATGCGAATCACATTTCGCGTCACACTGCTACTATACGAGCTTGTTTCAACCGGCCAAGTTTTAACGAGACCCACACTGGAACGACTGTATGTACCCTTGTCAGAGGGGTCTCGTTTTAAGTTTGAAGAACATCGAGAGATCGCAGATGAGACGGAAAAGTACAGGGTAGGTTTGACCCGACGTGTCACGTGATGACATGATTGGAGAGTCAAGAAGAAAAATCAACTCTGGGAACGCTTTGCGTCGGTGTTAACGATAATCCCAGGGTAAGACAAGGTACCTCCTGTGGTTACCCTTCCCAGCCTTCTGCCCCAGTTGCACCCAGCCAGCTGCAAGCTGCTGCTTCCACATGCCTCCTCCTGTCGAGCGCTCTCGCCATGAACCGACATCCTACTACTCATGGGCTTGCTCCCGCCCGTCAATATTGCTCCCCCAATGACAGGACGAATGTGCCCTCCCATTCATTATACCCAACGCCATGCTGTCCATGCCTGCCGGCTCTCGGATCTCCTCTGGTTTTGTGGTCGTAACATAATCGGTCGTCTTCGTACAATAAGGGCTGGTATTTATAAGGGAAAAAAAGACTCGCTTCAAGAACAGAACACTCTACGCTGAGCACAATGTTGTCGACATCATGTTGTCGACATCACTGGCTCTAAGCTGTCACTCTTGGGCGATGTCCCGTCGAGCTCCTTGACGTCTGTTGCGCCTGCTCGGCCACAACCTTTGACGAGGACGTGTCTCTGTGGGTAGATGATTAACGCATGTTCCATGGTAGGATGTAGGTATCAATGTGAGAGAGAGTACGAACCTTGAGAGCATCTTTTCGAGAAAAACTCTTGTCGCAGTGTCCACAAGGAAACGGCTTGACCGCCAGGTGAATTCGCTTATGTCGCTTCAAATCATGATTTCTGTTAAAGGATTGAGGGCACTGATCGCATCGGAATGGTCTGTCGTTTTGAGGGTTGGGGGCTTGATGCCCATACATGTGGTGCATCTGAGCGGCATGCCCGTTATTAAAATGAGGTATCATGCCGACGGGCACACCGCTCATCGAGTGGCCGGAGAGGACTGCTGCACCTCCCATGCCATGATAGCTGGGTGGCCGATACTGCTGCTGCTGGGCATACTGTGGCTGAGACTGGTGGTGGAGGGACGGTATGGGGCCTTGCTGGTTGACAGGCGACATCTTGCTCAATCCACCGCCGCTCATCGGGCTCTGCGCGACAGGCGAAGGCCCGGTCGAGTAGGACTGATGTGAATAGTAGGACGTCGTGGGCGTGGGAGGTGGCCGTGCAAACGAGTCTTGCGTGTGTACGGGCGATGCCTGCGTGACGGGAGCGGACATGGAGCTATAGTGTTGTGGCGCAGGCGCCGTTGATTGTGGCATGCCCATGCTCGAGGTGGTATAGTGGTGCATATCGTTGTAAGATGGCGGAGGGAGGGCTTCGCTTGCAGTGGGTGAGTTGCTCCCACGAATGATCGAGTTCAGGGACGGTGAGAACAAGCTGCGCGTCCCTTGATAGGACGACTGCTGCGGCGTTCCTGACGGCTGATATCCGTAAGGCGTGTTGTTCGATTGTGGTGGCCACATGCCATTCCCGTTGTTGGACGTATACGACTGCACTGCACCGTTGCTGTGGGGGACACTCGTTACGGGGCTGATGCCGTCCACAGAGCCGTTGCTGGGAGGGGTCAAGAGATTGCCCACACTAGTCAGAGTGGTTGCAGGAGATGAATGTTGGCTGTTGCTCATGTGAGAATAGCCGCCGGTATGGTACTTCTGACTGAGTGGTGGCGGTGGAAGCTCGAAAGCTGGGAGGTGTGAAGCGTTGGGCCGCCGAGCAGTGAAGCTAGTTGCCATATGGTCCTGTCCAGGTCCCATTGAAGGAGGGTATGCTACCGCTGCAGCCACGTTTGCGGTTTGTTGGTCGGTGAAGCCGAATGGCTGATTGTAATCCGCTGGCGGAGTCGGAAGCGGTTGGACGAATGGTGGTGATGAGTGGTAAGATGCCTTAACGTCCCGCCAGGAGTGACCTGGTGGAGTGTGAACGAAAGCCACGGAGGGTGGTTGCTGCGACGGCTTTTACGTCGAGTCGAGTGGTGGTGTTGGGTGTAGTCTGGCTGGAGATCGATAGTCGATCTGGTTGATGCTGCAGGATCCGAGTCGCTGGGTACGAGCAGGCTTTGTACTCAAGCCAGAGAGACCGACGACGTGGAAGAGAACGCCTTGGGCGACGGGTAGAGATGCTCGAGCTGGGGGCGATTGCGTGCCGATTGGGCTGCTTGTGACGCAGCTATATGCACGCAGCGCTCGATGTCGCCTAGGTGATGGTTTGCGAGAGCGTTCGGCGTTACCCAGTCCAAGACGTGGGAAATTGGGCTTACAGTTGGTGATAGATTGTACTGTCGGAGCGCCTCGTCGCCCGCGAACCGGGGAGGCGAGATCTGAAGTGACCCGAAAGTGTGGTCGTGCAGATGTTGCGTTACACCCTGGTGGTACAAGGGTGGACAGCGCTGGTATTCTTCGGGGGGGAGGGGGGAGGAAAGAGGTGTGGCTTTGTGGTTGTTAATCCCCGAGGGTCTCCAGAAGGGCGCGATCCTGGGAAGGGTCGATGGGGGTAGGCTCGCACAGGGGACTCAAGCTGTAACGCAGGAGCGGAAGGAGGTCGACGACGGCGGCTGCTGGCCAGGTACAGTAGTAGATGTGTCGTATGGGCGACCTAGAGCCAGATGGGCAGTCAACAGGGCGGCGGTGGATCCACCGTGAGAACGTCGGGCGGACGGTCGAGTAGCAGGAGCGAGAGGCCACGAGGTGAAGTCAGCTTTCAGGTGTGCGAGTGAAGGGGGCGTGGCGATCCTTTGTTTAGAGTGTGCCTTTGGCGCACGGAGGGCGAGACCGTCTGGCAGCCTCCGTCCTGCGGGCGCAGATGTATATGTACAGTGCGGGAAGCAGCCAGGCCAGCTAGCAGGGAGAGGAGAAGCTAGAGCAGTAGTGCGGCTGGGAGCATCTGCGCAGAAGATCCAGGCTTTGGCGTGGGCCGAGTTTCTCTCCAGACTACTGCGCAGTGACCACCACTCTCGTTCCCGCGCCCGCGCCCGCACAAAGTCAAGTCAGGCGAGACAAGACTGGACGGGCAGAGGGCGAGCCAGCCCAGCTCAGCAGTCTGTGAATGGTAAAATGGCCCAAGAGAGTATATACACAGGGAAACGGGCCGACGTGGGCGCGTGCGTGCAACGAATGCCACGAATGGCCGCCTGCCTACCTATCCACCTGCCTAGGCATCTACCCTACCTACCTCCTACAGTACCTGTGCGGCTGTACCGACCATACCGTCGACCGACCTACCAGCGTGTCGACGTCGTTTTCCTTCCCGTTTGTTGATGTGATGACCGACGGCCAGCACAGCACCATGTGTTCGGGGCGGGATGCCACTTACGGGCAGTCACTATTTGGAAGCCGCTGGGCGTCTGCTGGCCTGTTCTGGAAAGGAGGCAGCATCATCATCATCATCATCATCACACGCTTCATGCGAGTGCTTTGTTGTCAGCGAATTGTGCTGCTTTGTTGCTCCCTTTCCTGTTCCGAACAAAGCCAAGCGGATCTCACTCACACGCATCCCTGCTCCCTTGCTCCCCCTGCTCGCTCCCGAGGCCAGACGATTGCAGTAGAACGATTGGGCAGCACTAGTCTCTTTTGTCTCAGATGGCCTAGTTCTAGTCCGTGCGTCGCGTTCCGAGCTTCTGGCTCTCTCTGTTTCTTTTTGGGGCGGGCCAAGGGTTCAGCTTTGCGCCAAACACTTTGAGACTCGTTCCTTCTGTTTACCCGCAACGCGCTCGCGCTGCTCCGAGCCAGAGGCGTCACCTCATCATCACCCAGCTCCCGCACCGTTCGAAGTGCTACGGCACGGTACGTGTCGCTGCTGCTGTCGCCAGGATCAATGAATGCCATTGCACGATGATGATGATGATGATGATGATGATGGTGCAGCGCCTCCTCCGCAGTCTGCTCGCCAGCAACAAGCGAGCCTGTGCACCTGAACTGTGAACTGAATCGAAGCCTACGGTCGCGTGCGAGCGCAGCACTGGGTTTTCGCTGCTCCGCACTCCTCTGATCCTGCGAGAGCTACTTGTAGGAGCCATTCGAGCCCTGAGGAGGGGAGAGAACGTGACGCGCTCGGATCTGGCGTTGTGCTTCATCATGCCGCGTGCCAAAGCAATCTGCGATCACGGCAGCAAGGCTGCGGCGAAGAAGCAGGGGGTGTCGAGTTGGGATTCAGACAGCGGCCGCGCTACAAAGATAGACTTGCGGCAGGCGTCCCGGATCGGCGTAGCTTGGGATTGAGAGGCGCTCTCTCTCTCGTTCGGAGCTGCTTGGGTGCGATGCCACGTGAAAGTGCTGCAGTAGCAACCATTTCCTGTTCGAAGAGTGCATCGCTAGCGGAACATGTGTGACTCGATCGCTTGCAGTTTGACGCTCTGCGCTGGATCGGGCTCCCGACCGGTCATCGTGCAATCGAAGTTTACAGGCACATTGTTTACGAGCGCGTCAGTAGAGAGTGGGAGCCAGCGCCGTCTTTTTTTTTCGCAGCCGAATCGAGAGCTCCGAGAGAGCCAGCATGCTGGTCCTGCAAGAGAACCAGCATCCAATGCTTATATTATTACACCCATGCCATGGGCCAGGGCGCTCGAAGCGAGGCACACCAAGCCGCAGCTGTAGGGGGACTGGGGAGGTAGTAGCCTACTAGGCCTAGTACGTACAGTACATACAGCGTCGAGCAGCCGTTGTCCGGGTCTCCTCGCGGCGCTGTGGCCCACTCTATTCATTCATTCATTACTGATTCAGCTGTTGTGCACCAGTACATGTATAGGGAGGGCCTCTCTCTCCTGGTAGACCCTCAACCAGAATCCTGCCAGTTTTCCCCATTCTGTCCAACTCTGTCTTGCGGCCTGCTTGCTCGAAAGAGGTCCAAAGATTTGAAGGATTCGCTAGCCTGGCAGTTCGGAAACGGTATGCTCATCGCTCCAATCAGCAGCCGCAGTAAGCGAAAAGGAGCTTAGTACGTATGACTATGATGAGAACGGCTTGATGAGGGCACGACTCGGACCGGGCGGGCTGAGCCCGCCCCAGCGCTAGCATCTGATCTGGATAGCATTTTGTCATTTGGAGCATTATTATTAATATTTTCCGTCTCCGGGCAAGAATCGCCTGTTGCACGCGTTGTACGGCCCTCTCCTGAGAGCTTCTTCAATCAGATTCTCTGGAGGTGATGTATCTTCCATGTTTCACGACTTCGCTTGACAGCTCAGGCGGAGCATCATCATCACCTTGCCTCCTAGGTAAGGTAGGTAGGTACATTCGCATTTCCATACTTTCGTCGAGTACGGGCGTGCCGAGCGCTAGCATCGAAGTGTGGATGGGGCAGTGGAGCAGACCAACGACGACGCTGCTGCTCACTCCATCATTCATCTCAATGCTTCTTTCTGTCGTGGTCCGACAGCGGCGACAGGCCCTACCCACAAGCCACACGCCTTCTTCCCTTCCACGTCGTTCCCTGTCCACTCGGGCCCGCCAAGCTGGCGATGGCGCGTTTTAAGTTCGATCTCTCCACGCGTTGAGCTTCGCGAGCCGGGGTTGGAAGTTGGTCACGACTAGTCACTCACTACTTACTTCCAGTCCTCTAAACACCGCTCCAACAAACTGACATAGCCTTCGTACCTCGGAGTTAAAACTGCATAATGCCAGCGGGCACTACTACATCCCATGATCTGTCTATAAGAAATGCTATTGACAGGGACCCTAGACTCGGTCTAGAGCCAGCTAGTGCGTGATCACTCTGATGAATGCGCGTGTATTTTCATAGATTTGGCATTCGCAAACAGGGTACCTACCTATCAACCAGAAATAGCATGTGATACCTAGCAGGTACTATCACGATACTCTATGGGAGATATGAATGCCGGTGTGGTAGTAAAGTATCTTCTGATCTATACCAATCCTCCCCATCCCCACCCAACCACCTGCCCTAGAAGCTCCAAGATACTTTTGTGACACGTTTGCAGGAATCCCTCGTGCCAGCCTGCTAGCAGGAACTCCTCTCCTTATTCGCTAAGCATAAATTGCTAGAGTTCGTACTGGCTGCAAGCTGCGTACAGGCTACAGCATGTCAGGCCATGCGCACCCTAAAAGTCGCTGTAGTAGTACGTGAAAAGCGCGTCATGCTGCGTACTGCTCGGCTCCAGTCACTGCTCGTGTATCATTCTACCTCCTACTACCTCCTACCTCCTAGCCACAAGGCGCTCTGCCCTACAGACCGGACTTTCAAAAAGAAAAAAGACTTCCAAGCCATCCCACCGGCGCGGGAGCGGTCACTGCAGCCATCCTCTCCTGTCCTTCAATACTAGTCAGCCGCGCTAGCTAGTGCAGCTGGGCTCCCGCGTGGCAGCCATTCTCTTTTTTATTACTGCGCTTGGCTGAAAATGAGCAGCCATCGTCTGTGTCACCCCCGGTTATTACTGCTTTGCCCTATACAGCTCATAAAATCATATTGCTACAACTCCGTACAAGGTATATTATTCCAGATTCTGCGTGCCATCGCTACATTAGTTACCTTACTACTGCCATCAGCGCCTCCGCTTGGTATTGCCAAGAATTGCTCCGTCAGCCGAAGAGCGCATGTGCTGAGATTCGAGCTTTCGTCCTATGAACGTGATGATATAGGTGGTACAACAGTACAAGCCTCTGTTCTATGCGCCTGATGGAAACACACGCACACTGGGGTAGCATGGAAAACTTGCGGTCAATCAGACCATCGCTGTTCATACACAGCTACTCCTCGTGTGCCGAGGCTCACGTTTTGAATAAGGTACCTTTATGCATGGACTCTTTCACCGCCAATAACAAGGAGCAACTCGTATACCTTTCGGCAGGTGCGCTTCGAAGGGCAAAGCCGTCCGTGGTGGTCTGCTCGGTACCGAAGGAATTCTAGATTTGCATTTTTCACACATCCATCTTGTCAGAGAGTGATGCTTCCCATCCGCCTGCATGAAGCTGACCAGCAACCCCCGCCGGCACTCGCCTACGCCACGTCGCCACCCGTTTGCATCGAATGTCGAGCATGGACGTCCTCCTCGGTCATGCCATCTTGGTCCAATGAGAAATCGTGTTGTCCATCGTGGCGCCCCATGTTCGAATCTGTAACACCAAAATCATTTAAGGTAAGCTGTAGAATATCATAAGTCCTCCCCCACGCGAGTCTCGACGCCGTGTCGTAGGAGTATCTCGGGAGTGTTGTCTGTCCTTCATGCCCAGGAAACCATCGTCGATATTCGCCGCGGACCGTTGTGTTTAAGAGTGCATGTTTGCAATTCCGTGGAAGTGCCCTTGTTATATGAATTGCAAGGCGGCAAGAGGTGTGAAATGAAGAGGTGAGGTGTGTTTTGACTATGTACTGTACCAAACGCCAGCCCGCGCCTCCATCTCCATGTGGGCGTGATGGAGCAGATGGCTGCGGTCGGGTAGGATGGATGTACACCACAATCGCCATCTGGCCACTCTCAAACATGGCTTCTGGCGATCACAGCCACCAGATTGCTGCGACAAAGCACTGCCGGGTGGATGTATCTGCCTCAGGTACTCTAGTACTGTACCTTACTGCCACCAGCTGCTCTGCACGTCTGGCTTGGCATGCGTGGGTCATTGGTTCGGAAAATAGAAGGTTGTAGCTTCACTCACCCGACGGTCCGTAAACACTGCACTCAACCTACAGCCCAGCACGCAACATCATATCATGCTGGTGTCTCTCACCGTTGGCAAGGTCGACGCCGGCGTTGCTGTGCTCCTCACCGAGGACAAGCGACTGGTGAGCTCTCCCTCCACCTCCTCCACCACCACCTCCACCACCACTACCTCCTTCTCCTCACGCTCCTGTCCCATCACAGCGGACTCCTCTGTCCAGGTTGTCACCGCGTCGCGCTGTGCCTGACCCGTTGCCCCGCGTGTAGATCGAGTTCCCTTCGATCCTCCTGCCGCCCGACATCCAATCCGGCAGTATCGTCGATATCAATGTCGCGCGCAACCAACAAGCCGAATCTGTCGCCGACCAAAAGTTTTCCACGCTGCAGCGCGAGATAGTCGATGTATTTGGTTCCCAGTCCCCACAAGCGCCAGTGCTACGATGCAGGAACGCGACGCAGACGAGTCTGGTGCTCGAGTGGGACCCCGTAGAGCTCGCGACTGCCGAGTTTCGCAGCCTGAGCCTGTATAGGAATGGCACCAAGGCGGGCAACATCCCACGAGACAAGCTGAGCACGAAAATCAGTGGTCTGGCATTGGACACCGAGTATACCTTCCACCTCGTCCTGAGGACGAGCGCGGGTCAGTACACTTCAGAAAAGCTCCCTGTCAGGACCCATAAGATGACAGATCTGCACGGAATCACCGTCACGCCGGGTGTGATGCCTAGCCAGCTCAAGGACAGCCTCGCCGAGACTGTCAACAGGATGGGCGCAAAGATGATTGACACTGTTCGCATTGATACGACACATTTCGTGTGCACGGAAGCTCGAGGTCAGGCGTGGGAGAAGGCAAAGGAGCTGAACGTGCCCATCGTGGTGCCAGACTGGGTGAAGGGATGCGAACGCGAGGGCAGGCTAGTTGGTGTTCGAGGATACTATCTAGATGCGGACCCGAAGTTGAGACAGATGGGACCCAGTACACATCAGCAACGCGCCAGCGTGACTAGCATACCTGAGAGACTTCGCGACAGCCCGCGCATTGAGACCACGCCGCCAACACCAGAACGAACTAACGCGAGGCGAGACGAACGCAATCCGACGTCGTCGCCGCAGCCCTCTTCGCAGGAGAGTCTTCCCCGGGCAGACGGTGCATCTTCGGCGACTGGCACACCGATTCAGGAGAAACAGACCGAGTCTTCTGACGACGGATCAGACGATACCGAGACCGAAGAACCGGAACAGTCGCCACGAGAAAACGGGCGACCGGCTTCTACCGAAAGAGGAAGCAGCAAGGCGGCTCCGACTCCAGGTGACGAGCAGTTTTCTGAGGTAGAGCTTTAGTTGAGCATTTCAAGCGCCTTCCATGGCCATATTAGTGATCTCACAACCCGAATGGAGGGGTGTAGGTTGTGAGAGGCTGTGGCTGAGCTTTTGTAATCATTGAAGTTGCAATCCACACTGCAGTGTAAGACTTAATGCTTGGCACAGGGGACGTCTAGGTAATAGATAGACATTCCCGTCTCGAGTGTCTGGACGACAATGAACGCGCTACTCAGTGATCACTGTCCAAAAACACAAAATTTCAAGCTTCAGATTTCTCGTTATTCGCGCATTGATGAAAAGAAAACATAAGGTATCAACCACATGCGCCACGCCGACTTCAGTTCTCCACTTCAGAAAAGACCATTGGCAAGCAAGCCATGCTTTACCTATACATCACCCTCTTTCCGCTGCCCCGTGTAGAAAGCCAAGCCGTAGTCGTCGCTGCGAAAGGTAATTGTCGAACCTTTTGGGAAATAAAAGACCTGAAACAGAAAGGAGATGGATAGATAGATGGTCAGTCAGACTTTTTTTTTTGTTCTTGTTCATTGAGATTTCTCCAAAAAAAAGGCGGAAAAGAAACCAAAAAAAAAAGGAAAAAGAGGAAAAACTCACATCCCCCGGAGTAGCCTTGACCTCCTTTCCCGTAGCATGATCCCTGATGAAAAAACTTCCTTCAAGAATAATTTTCGTTTCGTGATATTTGTACGTATACACTAATTCTGTGCCTGTATCGCAACAAAAAAACCAAGAACAGTCAGGGCGGGAAATCGAATAATTCCATTCTTGAATCTCAAGTAATCTTGATTGAAAGAAGGGGTATATATCATACATACCTTTTTCCTGTCGATAAAAGCCCGCAGAAATGGGTGCGTCGGCGTCGAATTTGGTGTTGCGACAAGTGCTGACGACATCTCCCAAAAAGGCGTTGTTGTTGGCTATGTGTGGTGGTTTGTTGCTTTGAGCTTGGGGCTGGAAGAGTTGAAGAGGTCAGTAAAAGGTATTTCTTGACTTCTTTTTCCAAGAAAAAAGCAAAAAGCTGGTAGAGATGGGGATGGATATTGAAAAAGGGGGGAGAAGGTAAGCGCAGATAGTGAGTGAGTGAGTAAGTAATTAATACGTAAAACTGACCAGATATGTCATTGCCTCGAGTTTGGTTTCGGGCTCCATTTCTTTCGCTCGCCTGTACCTTAGGTATAGGCAGGTAGGTATAGGTCGGGTAGGTCGGTAAGCAGGCACAGGTAGCCAACACGTCCACTGACACTTGGGATTCAGATACGGGGGTATAAATCAGGTACTGGGCAAAAAAAAGAAAATCATACCTTAAATCCCTTCTTACCTCTCCTTATACCTACAGCCACACACATATCTTACTTAATACACACGGTATGTACGTACCTACTGTATCTCCAAGCTCCAAGCTCTCCCCTGGCCCCCGTAGCTCGTTCCCGGTCAGAATAAAATCCACGTGGGAGGTAAGCATGTCCTCTTCGAGCGAAAGGTATAATCCACCCCCTCGACACTAGGTTCTCCGCACGAGAAGAGATAAGGAGGCTCCGAAAGGATGAAGCGAGAGCAGAGCAGCAGGGCTGGGGGGGAAGTCGTGCAATATCCGGCGAAAGCGTCCCCGAATAATAATTGGACTTCCAACCTTAGTATGACCGCATTAGGAAATAAAAAGAGAAAAAGACCGACAGACTTCGCGCTTCTAGAGTCCTATACAAGCAAAAAGAACGTTGGACACGAATCCAACCACGACTCTATATTTCCTTTGTTTTTACAAATTCAGGCACAGTCGTGGCCCATAGTCGTCTATTCCTTCGACCTCACTCACCATTCGTCACATGAGAAGCAAGCCCCCGCCTACCAAAACACCTTACTCGCTGAGAACGCTTCACAGCATATATGCCGAAACCCCAAGAATGTGTCGCCGTGAACAATGATTCGCGTGCCGGACCAGGACGCAACGCCATACAACCGGAAAAGATATGCCATGACCCACAAAACGTCGCAAGGCAGTATCACAATCAACGATTTGCGCCAGTCCGAAAATGTAAAGAGCGAAAAGCCTCGCGGTGCAAGTACTTAGCCGAGGAGAACTAAAAGAAATCACGTTAGACCAGCAATCATCCCTGGTATGGTCGAGCAAGACTTACCTTCCCACTAAAGAAGAATCACGTTAGTTAGTCATCATCTCTGGTAGAGTCGAGAAAAACGTACCTTCCAATCCCACATCACTCCAACCCAGCTGATGTGCCCACGAACAGTGTACGCCATATCAATCTTGCCCAGCGCCATCTCCGGATTGCGATCCCTCAACTGCCTCTTATCGAGCCTACCTGACCCATCGGCACCTCCGGGGGAACTGAGGTTACCGTCCAGGTCCATGAGGCTAAAGACCATGCCTCTTCGACCAGGCTCAGACATGCGAACCTCCGCCGCCGTGCGTTCCAGTGGAGTGTCCCTGTCTCTGACCTGATGTAGGTCAGCAGTCGCCACTAGTCTCCGCTTTTCAGGAGGCGTGGCCTCGTAGCTATCTCTGCGACGCCACACCTCTTCGGAAAGCGCAACACATTTGTCAATGATGCCGATGCGCATCAGTGAGCCCATGATTTCCCATCGCTGTCGGATCCAGTCACGATCTTCGCTCTCAATTGCTTGGCAGCCCGCAATCATGAGCGGGTAGATGTGCACGAGTAGCATCCTGCTATTCAGTGGTACCGTTGCCAAGTATTGCAGGACGCGTTGCGCATACTGCTCATCTGTCAGGGGCGTGGGCAATTCGGGCACGGATTGGTGCAAGTGCAGCATGGTGGCATAGCGATATGCCTCTGCTGTTTGCAAAGCGTGTCGCACATCAGTCAAAGGGTCCTCAGGCCGCTCGATGTACGCTGGTGGTTCCCACTGTTCCAGGGATTCCATCAAGTCCCTAGCTTGACTGATGATTCCAATCGGATTCCGCTGCGACCTGCACACTTTGCGCACGAGGTTGGCAACATGCCCAATCAGTGGAAAAAGTGTTCCTGCGCAACCCATCAATGGATCTAATCGAGCATCTATGCCCATACCCAAATTGATGCCGAACCCGGGCGCACTGTGGCCAATCGCCAACTCGGGCGTCTCGTTTGGTGGCCACAGAGCATACTTGAAATCAATGCTGTCGTTGGCATCCACTGCTGTGACTCGAGCGATCACATCCATGTAGACCCATGCATTGCACAGGAACTTGAGCCGCGCAAGGTCTTCGCCAACATGAGGCGTCCTGTGGTGATCGTCCAGTGCCTTCTTCACAAGTGCAGCAGCGCCATTGATGTGCGCATTCCCCGTCTTCACATGGCTCTCCCATGCCTCAACAAAGCCCAGTGCGAGCGCAGTCGCGATGGCGGCGTGATTGAGCATGGTGTTGTCTCTCAATCCTTCGCGAATATTCTGCATGGCAACCGTCTTGTGATGTGCACCTACATATACTAGGCTCGGTGTATCTTGCGCCCCGTGGAATGCAGCCAGGGCGAGAAGTGCATGATGCAGACCGGTCGATTGTTTTGCAAGCGGCATGATCAATCTGCGCCATGGGTTCTCGGTAGGTCCATCAATGACTGATAGCACTCCGCATGTCTGCTGGTTGAATCGATCCATTAACATGTCCTCACTATCGAACGGCAGATCTGGTTGGCCCCATAGGTTGGATCCGGTACCATTCCACATGCCGTTGAAGTCAATGCAATTCGGCGAGGATCCCTGAGGACCTGGGGTCTGTAAGCGAGAAGGCCACATAAATGTATCCATATCTATAGGCTGTATGGGACCGATCAGATCGATGTCGTTGAAGATGCCATGTTCTTGCATGATGGGATCATTGGTCCCGGCTGAAAAAAGGGGTAGTTGGAAGTTCTCCGGCATGGAAAATGGGACAAAATCGGCCTGCGAGGCATTCAGGTTGTGGCCGTCTTGCAGCATCATTTCTGTCAACGTCGGCGACGGCCCTCGACCATGTACAGGGGATAGAGAGCGGGTGCGATAGACGAAAGCTGACTCGGGATTGAAGAGGATTGGTTGACCATTTGCATTGCCGTCATCGGGACTAGCGTTCTCGATCGTCTGCTGCGATTCTGGGCTCAGCTCGAGGTCTTCAGCGGGTACAAAACCACTGTCGGCTCGACTGTGGTAATCGCTCGACAAAAGATTTGACCCACGCTGGGGATCTTGGGACTGAATCAGTTCGTTCTCGTGCTTGAAGCCTCGTCGCGGGGCCTTTCGACGCGGCATTTGGGCCTCGTGAGGATCCGAAAGTGGCTTATCTAATATGTTAGGTGGTTCCGCCGTAGGTGTTGTCGATAGTGATGACAGAGCCGAGGCTTCTTGCGTTGGTGAGACGCGAGACGTGGCTGTGAATGTGTAAGTCTGGGCACATTGAGATTCCACTGTTGTACACCGTGCTACCATGCAGCCCTTTGCCAATATGGACGTACCCTGCTTTTGACTGGTGATGCTGGACTTTATCTGATGGCCGCCATAATCGCGCCACTGGAACACTTTCTTGTAGCCGCCGCACACGACGCCCCTCTTCGAACAGTTCATACACCCCGGCTTCTCTTCGCCACATTTGAGCCGCTTCGCTTTGCACGTAGAGCAACCTGGCACAATCTTTTATCAGTATTTTCGTCGAATTGCAAGTGCGAATCGTAAAGGTGTGGGCGCAGCGCAGGAAAGCAGATGCATCATCGTATATGTGATAGGAAGAGAGGAAGAGAGGAGGCAAGAGAACAGAGAGACAAAGAGAGAGAGAGAAAATGGCAGTATGTAGTCGTGATGTAAGGGTGCAAGTGCGGTCGCAATTACCATTCCGACTCTTCGTCTGCTTGGGCTTGTCGACTTTAGCACCCTTGACAGCGTCTGGACCAGCATCAACCTCTGCGGCGGCAGCAGCGGCAGCGGTTTTCTTAGGCACTGCCTTCTTTACCCCATCTTTCTTGCTGAGGCTTCGGGCGTGCTTGGAGCGGCGCGCAGGCTGCTCGGCGGGCTGCGGCGGATTTACGGGCGAGGTGTCTTCGCTCAGAATAACAGACGGCGATGGGAAGGGAAGCGGGCTGCCGTCGGCCATTTCAAGTCGAAGGCGTGCCGCGAGAGACGACAGTCAGCTCAGACAGACAGCGGCTCATCCTCCTGCTGCGATGAGGCTCGTCGGAGTCAGGACATGTCTTTGCGCAGTGCGGCGCGGCGAGGATGGGGAGGTGAGATGTGGCGGTGGTGGTGGGTAGTGATGGGTGGTGGGTGGTGGGTGGTAGAGGCAGTGGCCGTGGCCGTGGTGGACTGGTGGTGTCGTGACTCGTGGACGATTTTATTTCGAGGACCCCTCCGCACCAAAGCTTAAGGTGGGGTGAACGTGGATAAGATAGTGGGCGACGGGGTCAGGCAGGCTGGCACATGCAGAACAACGAATGAGTCCAGGTAGGCAGGGACATGTAGGAAGGAGGTAGGTGGTAGGAGGTAGTAGTGGTAGAAGGAGCGATCATGGCATGGCACACAGAAAGCGCAAGCTAGCAGAACCTATCGCGCTCCACCTCATACCTAATGGCAATGTGCCGTGACGAGGCACTGACGAGCGCAGTAGTGGCCGAGAAACCACGTGCCTGCCTCAGGTACCTATCAATCGCCTAAGTTAGGGCGGGGAGTGGGACTTGCTAGGAAGTAGCAGAAAGAGCATGAGCACAATCCAATAGCCTCCTATAGCCGGGAGAACTTCTTCCACTGCACTACCTGACCTTACATGTACCTACCTCCTACCTAGTAGGCTAGTACATGTACATGTATCTCCCTTACTCTACTAACCTTACCTCCTACTGCACTGCTCCATCACCATTACATACCTACATGTACCTGCTGCCTGTCTGCCTGTCTGCGCCACGCCACTCCGCGCCACACTCTACTGTACTCCACCCGTGCGCGTGCCACTCCCGACTGTCTGTTGCGGAGACCCGCATGGGGAATCCCATCAGGTTCTTCTCTGGTCTGGAACTTCGGCAGGGACACACACACACACACACACACACCATGTCACGCGTTTGCCAGCGCTGGGACCGCACCGAGAAAGAACTCTTATTACATCGTCTTGTATGTACCTCCTAGTGGGTACGTACATGTTATCCATTGTAGAGCCCCCTTCCACCACCCCCTTCATCACCTCGTTCCCGTCACCGCATCGGGCGGCTCGACGGGCTGACGGGAGGCACAGCACCCGCAAGCCGTCGACCACTACTCCTGTACGACTTGTACACCTCTCTCACCGCTGATCTGGCCGGCCCGCGATACGACGATACGCTTCATATCATCATGGGATAATGCACAATCAAGGCCAATCGACCACTGGAGACCCTCCCTTCACAGCGCTCGCCAACCTTCCCAGCCAAGTCGCCACGTACACACTGCTGCCGCCTGAGTAGGTAGAGGCTGTCCGCCCTGCGCTCTCACCTGTTGAGAAGTTGAGAACTATCGGATCCGCTGGCAAGGACTCGACCGGCCGTTCCGCTACCGTATCGACATGGCTCCTGCCTTACCTTTGCTTCTGACCGCATTGAGTGGACGCCCTTTGTGCAAGAAACGAAATGGTTCAATACAGCGCATGTGGTCAGGTTCTCGTATGTTTCGGCATCTTGTTCGGCCATCTGTCAGGCCCTTCGGTCGCTCGCGTATCCCACATCGTCGGCGGCAACGTAATAACATCGGCTGCTACTGCACAACTACCTGTACATTGGGACTGCGCAAGCGTCACGCGATAGCTTATCTGACGACGAATGCACTAGCTGTGGGATCCACGACAGTTGCCGTGCTACTTCCGATGCTGCTGGCAGGCAAGATCCTCGCTCTATAGCTGCTGCTACGAACACACTACTCTCTAAACGTGCTGTTCCAGCTCGAGATCAAGGACAAGGTTCGGTATCTGCGTGCCAGCCGGCATGCTGTACGTGAAACTCCACAGATCAAATTCGCTAGATAAGAAGGTCAGCTGCACGATGCGGACAATAATGCTTCACGCTGTAGACGCGATGGAAAGTCACAACTTACTTGACTGGGGCGCAGGATCCCCCAACGATTCCGCAGAAGCTCACGTTTGCTTCTGGCACAACCGTCCCGGATATCTTGACGTTGATACCCGACACATCAGCCCACGAGCGGATGTCACTTGTCCCAGACAATCCATTGGGACTGACGTGTAACACGAATTTGCTCGTGTCATTACCCTTGGGAAAGGTAAGATTCAATCGTCGGGCACTGACTTCGGCGTGTAGTGCCTCCATCTGGGGATATAGCGTGAGAAAACCAATGGTGCCGTCCTCACGCAGCCACTGAGCCACGGCGGGGTTAAAATGAGCGAGGTTTCTCGCCGGTCCTCCTTGAACGTTCATATCGAAGCTCTCGGCACCAATTGTCAGGTTGGTCGAGATCCACGACGTGACATTGCGAGGGACGTAATCATATGCGTCGGAAAGCGCAGAAGCCTGGAAAATTCTGCCTTCTTCACCTGGGTCATCGAACTCGGTCATTGATCTGAGCACTTTGTCGCTCAGCAGTCCCGAATCCAAATGGAATGGGGACAAGATCGCCACCAGAGGACCAATCTCATAGTCGTCATTGTGAGCAATGGCCCATGGCTTGAAGTTATTCCCAAACGGCGAAGCGTCCAAGCCCACGAGACTCCAGATCCAAAGAGCCATGATGGACATGTAGCGAGACTCATCATACCCATAAGCTCGGTCCCACGGCCCAGACAACTGCCGGAGATTTGCGTTGTAGAGCTGGCCGAACTGAGTCCAGGTGCTCGTGATCATCCGAGGAGCATTGACCCGTAGAGTCGAAGTCGACGGAAGGTATTTGACAGCGACAGTCAAGCCTAACAGCGACACCCCCGTATACGTGGGGCTATTGAACTCACTCAGACTGCCTCCGGTCTCGTCGAACAGGTCAATAATCTGCTGGGCCCACACCTCGCCTTCGGCTGTCAATGTCGCATTGTTCATCCGTGGTCCAATCCACGCTGATACGGCTGCCTTCATAATGGCAGCATTCGAATACGCTGGATAGAGGTTGTCATTGTCGATGCCGCCCACACGATAGGAGTCTCCAATCGCGTTCAGATGAAGACTGTCGAGCATGGCCAGTTGCAGCCATTCCGGAAGAAGAGTGTGATATTCTTCGAGGCACATTATGAAAGCCATGCCTATGAAACCTCTCCAATCTGGGGGAATCGGGGAGAAAGGTATCAATCAGCATACGGTCTAGGGTATCAAACCTCTGATCAATGCTTGAGAGGAGTGTATATGTTTGGTATTACAACACACAAGAAGAAAGGCATACTCGGATCCCACGTATTGTACATCACAGCTGGATACTTCTCCGTCCCCGGATATGGCTGTTCCGCATACGTTTGATACGTCCCAAACCATTGCTCGCTCGCGTTCGTGAATTGAGGTGCGATGATGTTCCCAAGGATTTTGATCGCCTGTTCGACGTCGTCCCCATCGTTCTCGTTGCGTGCGAGCAAACCGGTCGCATACCACGAAGACGAGCGCGTGTCGTGCAGGAGTGCCGTGTCGAATCTGTAGAGATACCCCGCTTGTCGGTCGTATAATTGGTCCATGAAGGTCAGGGATTGTCGAAGCAGGTCTTGAGCATAGTCGTCGCTAGGTCTTGCTATTGTGATCGGTTCTGCTGCCGCACATATCGATGGTAAGCAAGACAGAGCTGCCACTGCTGCTGCTGCTGCGGTCCCGGAAGAAGTGAGCTTCATGATGTCGGTAGCGCTGTAGCGGCGTCGTTGTCCACAGAATAAGATTGAAAAGAAAGAAAGAAATAAGATTGTGGAGAGGGGAAAGGTTGTTGGTTAAATGGCCCTGGATGGTGTCTACCGTAATTTCATATTTATTCCGTGTCTGCAGAGCCCACGGAACCGGCAGTGATGATAGACTTGCCATTGTGGAGTGGTTGATTAGCAGGTCAAGGCGTGAGCTCGCCTATTTGTACATAGTAAGTGCGGAGCTTGCAGACGCTATCGGCGTATGATAGCGTTAGAGTAGCAGCTTGCAGATTGACAGGACAATTACGGTTCAAATCAACAGACTGGGAAGAGTGAAGAAAGTGAAGAAGAGGGAAAGGACGGTCCATGCGGCGCGATAGCAGGACGTACTGCTAGAGTTGTGCTGTTACCTGCAGTCACTACTTTCCAGACTCGGGCATTTTTCGACAGCTGCAGCAAAATCAACCTCATGGATGTAGACAGCATTGCTCAATGCGGAAGATATGATCGCGTGCAAGGTTGTTCGAAGTGATCGAGCTGGACGAGGTCTGCCTGCAGAGGAAGTCGGAATGGTAGTACGAGACTCTCTGGTCTACTACAGCAGGAATAGGGTCTGGTCATTGTGTATCGGCTTCGAGACTGACTCTACGTAAGCCTCTGCACACTCCTCGTAAGTCCAGTGGTGTTGTTGCGCAGAAGACGGTGGCCTGAGAGGATGGAGGAATTGGACGTCCAGTTTTCGAGGTCCTGCTGAAGATGAAGCAGGCGCACAGAGACATTGTGGCGATGAGGAGGGGTTTCCTCCGCTGCGCAGGCTTGATGATTGTCCATTTGGAGGAGTTGGAGAGGAATGGTATTATTGATGATATGATGAAGAACAAGTGTTGGGGCCAGACTCCTAAGACATGGAGAGTGTGTTCCAGGGCAGCTTTCCCGTGTGTCTTGCCGGTGTGGGTAGTGCGGCAGCTCCGGGTGCTGCGGCAGTTGCGGAAGCCCTTCACATGCACCCGACCTGACCTGGGCTTGCTGGGATGGGCTAAGCTTGCGGTTGGTGCTGTCATGCCGAATCTACTGCTTTGTCGTTCATCAACAGCCGAGGTCGATCTCCCCACACTTTTTCACGTTCCTCACGGCTCAAGCACTACCATTCTCTCTCAGTGCGCGGCAGCAGCAGCAGCAGGGGCCGCAGTATGGTCCCTCCCCTTGCTATATGTGCGATATCATCTCAATGCACCCTACATTACAGAGGATGAGGAGGAGGAGGAGCAGGAGGAAGAGGGAGAGTAGGAGGAGGAGGCCTGTCCCGTCCAACCGACGGTATTGTATACAAAGTTGATCGTGGGCAGGGGATGATCGGAGCGGATGCGATGACGGCGGGCGGGCGGGCAGCCATCAATGTGAATGAATGCGCCGCGTCCTTCTCCCCTCCTCGGCATAAGGTACCTACAGTAAGGTAGGTTAGCTTGGGTCAGGTCAGGTCAGGTCATGTCAGGTTAGGTCAGGTCAGGTTAGGTGATGAGCAGCAGCAGCTGGTGAGAGACAGACTCGAGACGAAGCTTCCAGGTGCAATGCTGTTGTGACGTATAATAACCACTGCTCCATTTGTGCGCCTCCCCTCTGCACTTCATCATCATCATCTTCTCCTCTTCGTACTTCCACCACCTCCTCCTCCTTCCCGACCTTTGTTCTACCAGCATTGATCTGAGTAGCGTCCATTCGAGTACAGAAACCACCGCGCGTCTGAAGAGTCCCCCCCATCTCCTCATATCGCCCATCATGCCTACGCCCGTCAACACCGACCAGATCCTGAAGGATGTCAACATCCTCGGCAGGCTCGACGACCAGCGGCGGCGAGTGCTCAGCAAAGAGGCCATCATCTTCCTCGCCGTGCTCCACCGCACCTTCAACGCTACACGCAAGTCGCTTCTCGAGAGGCGCCAGGTTCGCCAGCAAGAGCTTGACAATGGCCATCAACTCGACTTCCTCCCCGAGACCAAGCACATCCGCGACAACAAGACCTGGAGAGCTGCTCCACCCGCGCCTGGAATGGCTGACAGACGCTTGGAAATTACTGGGCCCGTTGACCGAAAGATGGTTGTAAACGCATTGAACTCGGATGTATGGACATATATGGCCGATTTCGAGGGTCCGTTTGGTATCCTCTCTTCACTGCCATTCCTGCTGCTGACTTGTCCTAGACGCCAGTGCTCCCACGTGGGACAACATGATCAATGGCCAGGTCAACCTGTATGATGCCATTCGCAAACAAATTGACTTCAAGCAAGGCGAGAAGGAGTACAAGCTGCGTACAGACCGCACACTTCCAACCCTCATTGCTCGTGCCCGTGGTTGGCATCTCGAGGAGAAGCACTTTACCGTTGATGGAGAGCCAATGTCTGGTTCGCTGTTCGACTTTGGATTATACTTCTTCAACAATGCCCATGAGTTGGTGAAGCGTGGCGCTGGTCCATACTTCTATCTGCCCAAGATGGAGTCCCACCTCGAAGCACGTCTCTGGAACGATGTCTTCAACCTTTCCCAGGACTATATTGGCATGCCGCGTGGCACCATTCGTGGAACCGTCCTCATTGAGACCATTACAGCCGCATTTGAGATGGACGAGATCATCTACGAGCTCCGCGACCACTCTTCTGGCCTGAACTGTGGTCGATGGGATTACATCTTCTCCGTGATCAAGCGCTTCCGCCAAAATCCCGCCTTTGTCCTCCCCGATCGATCGGCCGTGACCATGACCGTACCATTCATGGACGCTTATGTTCGCCTGCTCATCAAAACTTGCCACTCCCGTGGTGTCCACGCCATGGGTGGCATGGCAGCCCAAATTCCCATCAAGAACGACGAGAAGGCTAACGCAGCGGTCATGGACCAGGTTCGTGCTGACAAGCTTCGTGAGGTCCGTGCTGGCCACGATGGCACCTGGGTTGCTCACCCAGGTCTCGCACCTATCGCGGGTGCCGTCTTCAACGAGCACATGCCCACACCTAACCAAATCTACCGAAGACGCGAGGACGTCGAAGTCAATGCCAATGATCTGCTGAACATGAATGTTCCTGGCAAAGTCACCGAGGACGGTATTCGTAAGAACTTGAACATTGGCTTGGGCTATATGGAGGGTTGGCTTCGTGGTGTCGGATGTGTTCCAATCAACTTCCTCATGGAGGACGCAGCGACCGCCGAGGTATCGCGATCGCAGCTGTGGCAGTGGTGCAGACATGGCGTGTCCACTGCAGAAGGCAAGAAGGTCGACAAGCAGTATGCATTGAAGCTCCTGTACGAGCAGGCAGCGGAACTCGAAAAGAATGGACCAAAGGGCAACAAGTATAACTTGGCCGCCAAGTACTTTGCCACGCAAGTCACTGGCGAGGAGTATGCAGAGTTCTTGACATCGTAAGTTGGAGTCTCTACTCGAGATGTTCTCGTGGAAGAAAAGTGCTAACATGATTTGACAGATTGTTGTATAACGAAATCACGAACCAGGGTGACAAAATTGCTGCCGCCAAGTTGTAAATTTATGCAAATTTCTTATTGATTTATGAAGCCATGTAGATGCGTCCACCAGATAGTGTATTGAATCACCTACAGCTTCTTTGTGATTACTACGTCAGATTTGCTCGCTACCATACCTCTCGAAGAGATGTTGTGCAGAGTGTCCCGTTTTCGAGTTGTGAGGCTGTATATGACTGTTCACCAACTCCAGCAGGACGTATGTACTACAGCAGGAAGGAACGCCCGTTGGTCGAATACTGCATTAGCATTTCTTCCACGAAAAGACGGCGAAAAGTGCGCATATGTATGCCAAAAGACAGAAGAGCCAAGACGCGAAAAAGAGTCTATCGATGCGTTGCTGATATCATGTTCTGCCAAATGCCTGTTGGTTATCACCTCTGCTGGAGTACAATGGTCTCCATATATCATGAATTCGTTAGCCAAATACCTCAGTGCCCATCCTTCCACCAAGTTCTATTTCCTCTACCACCAGTTACTCGAACGCTTGTGGTTGTATTTCTTCTCGCCCGGCAATTTGGCCTCAATGACTTCCTGCATGGTGAGATTCTGCCAGATCTCGAGCGGCAGCCATCCAATCCTCGCTCTGTCACCGAAGCCGCCAAACCAGTAGATATGGTCTACCACCAATTGTGCATAGTGGCTTTGGTGGATGTCATTTCCCGGCTGCCAATAGATCGAGTCGGGATGGCTTCGGAGGAAGCACGCTTGAATCTTCCCATCTTGGAGCCTCTCTGCAGAGATTGTCTCCAAGTGCCCATGCAGCGAGAAGCGCGGCAGAGCGGCGGGGGTGTGTGGTGTGGGAATCTCGTCTTCATCTTGTGTTTTCCACATCCAGCTCGTGAACGTGTCAAGCATCGAGTATGTATTCTTTTGTATCGGCCACCATCGAATACTGAGAGATATGTTGGAACCGTGATTATAATTCTTATATGGCGTCGCAATATCCAGCGCGAGCAGCACGGGATTGCCGCTGTGAGGGTCGCAGTCGGCGTAGTACTCCATGAGGCCTATGGGCGAGCCGTCCATGCCCTCGGGTCGGTTTTCGGATGCGGAGACATCTTTGTTGCTGGTGGTGCTGGGGAAGACGGTCACGAGATCGCCAACGGTCGTCAAATGGAGAATCTTTCGTGCTTGAGCTACGGACTCTCGCACTGTCGGGAAGTGGAAGTCGTCGCTCGACGAAGCGTCCGGGTTGGCGAAGACGTGCTGTGGCGTAATCTGTCCGACGGAGCTGGCAGCAGACAGAGCAGCGGTGGCGACGAGAAGGCTGGCAGTCTTCATCGTAGGCGGTGCAGGCTTACTTGCTTGTATACTGAATGAGAATATATATATGAGAGTCTTTCGACGTCTGCCTGTCTACAAAGTACTATGATATGGTAAACAGAGGCCTCCAGGTTCACTTCACGACAGGGTCTGGAGACGCAAGTTGAAGTCTGCCTATCGACGACATGTGACCTCGTACATTAGTCATGCCAAGACCCCCCAGCACCAGACCCAAATTCCGCAGACGCCATCATCACTTCACATCGACTTCGAACACCACCGCCATCAACGCAATCCGTGAGTCCACTCCCGCCGCATCGACTGCACCTTCGCAAACGCAACTGCCGCCCTCTCGCTCGCTCGCACGTACGGAACGGCCTTCACGAAACGCACACCCCGACTGACATCCGCATTTTTGCCACCCACAGAACAGACAATTTCCCGTGAACAGCACATCCAACCGCAATCATGGGTAAGGTGCACGGCTCTCTCGCTCGTGCCGGAAAGGTCAAGTCGCAGACTCCAAAGGTACGTGTGCCACAAATGCTGCTCTGCTGCTACTGCGTTGCGGAGCGAGAGCATGGAGAAAACAAAAACAGCCGCAGACCCTCAGGAGAAGAGGCTGACGTATGTTTCATCAGGTCGAGCCCCAGGAGAAGAAGAAGGTCCCCAAGGGCCGCGCGAAGAAGCGCATCCAATACACTCGCCGCTTCGTCAACGTCACCATGACCGGCGGAAAGAGGAAGATGAACCCCAACCCAACCTCATAGGCGACTCATACCACACATGACAACACCACCACACATGATGACTGGACGGAAGGAAGATGGTCTTTTTGCGTGATGGGGTTTGGAGAAGCGCGAGGCAAAAACGAGAAGCGCAGAACACGACATGGAAATGAGGCAACGGCGTTTTTCCCTTTTTTTGAGGCAGAACTGGGCTGGATGTCTCGAGAGTTGCGTTCCTCTCATCTCCTCAAACCCGATCGTTTGGGAGGAGAGGTGCTAGCTTGAAGAAGGAAGTCGAGCACACAACATGAAAATGGTGAAAGGCTTCTGGTTCTGTATACTCCCGTAGTAGCTTGAACTGCGCAAGGCTTCTCACGCACATACTGTGGTTTGGCTCCAACTACCAATATTGTGACCACAGCGCCCATTGTGCTGCATGCGATCCTTGCAAAGGCCAATGTCTTCCAGGAAACCATGCCTATGTAACTGGTATCTCCAAAAGCAGGGTCGCCTGTTTCTGGAGCTTCCTACCAGAACAGGTTATGTCACATCCGTCATCGGGTATCAACTACATGGGCTACCATTTGGTGGACGGCACGACGAACAAATTACGCCGGATTGGGTTGCCACTCTGTGTATACGTCGATTGATCTTGCATATGGCTCAAGTTTAGCAGGTCTTGCTGCTCAACGACAAACATTACGTAGCCAGAAGCCATCAATCCCAGAATCCGCCACGGTCCCCGGAAGTGCTATTCCATCGTCGTCAATGGTCCTCGATGTCCCTCATCCTCATCCTCATCCTTGACCTCGCCCAAAACGTGGCCGTGCACCGCCAATTGCTTCTTGTGTTTGATGTCCCTCTCCTGTCGATCCATGTCCAGTATCCTCATCCTCGAAGCCTCTACTGCATCTGGCTCAGTGTAGAGAATATACAGCTTCAACGCTCGACCCTGCCCATCGTTATTCTCCACCATATTTACCCCGACCAACGAATAGCCCACTGGAAGGGTGATAATAGTACATACGTTATTCTGTTCGCAGATCTCAGCAAGTGATTGGGGGCCCGTTATTGCTATCGTGTCAGAGTTTAGGGTATCAGAACTGTCAGAACTCTTTTTAGCGCTGTGCTTGACATCCGATGAAACGCGACGAGAAGAGAGTGCTGCCTGTACGAGGTGATTGTCAGATTCCAGGCGACGTAGCGGGTTTACCTTGCCCAATGAAGTACAGTCCGCCTGCTCGCATTCCTGCTCGCCTGTAGCTGTGATCCTCGATGCCGTCATCTCGCTATCGGTCCCTTCAAATTCGTTCAACAGCGTACTGATCTCGTTACTCGGTGCGTGATGGCCCATTTCTAAGACCGTGGCCTTCGGCTGGTCGGCATCGCCAGAATTAGTCGTGATGACGGACACGTCGTGTGTGCCGGACTTCTTGGCCTTCTTCTTTTTCTTCTTGCTCTTCTTCGAAGGATCAACCGCATCGCCGTCAAGCGACGGATCGTTTGCGGCAACATCCAGAACGCTGGCGCTCTCGGCCGCGGAGACGGGTAACTGTACAGAGTGAGTACATGGATCATGAAGAGCTGCTGCGTGTGCAATCACCTCGTCTGCCGGCTGTGAGTCGATAGAGAGGGCAGCATCAGCCTTATGATCGCCCTCAGCATCTACAGAGGCTTGAAGATCAGTCCCAGTCGAGAAAATATTAGTTAATCCGGTGAAGCGACGCAGAATGGATGGACCGGCGGGAGAGTCAACACTCGCTGCCGCAACTATCTCCGGGCTGTCGCTGACTACGTCGTCACGACGTACTTCCGTTGCGGCGGGTTCATGGAGCTCCACGGCATCCGTACATTCTGATGGAGACTTCAGCATCTCTGAACACACATCGGTCTCCGCGATGACCTCGGGTTGCTCAGTGATTGAAGCTGGCCTTAAACTGGTCGTGACCTTACGCGTTGGCAGCTGGTCTGGCTTTGGGAGTTCTGCCGAGCTCACACGCGACGTGGCGCGAGAGTTGCCTTTGCTTGCCTTTGCTTTCTTTGCCTTCTTCGGCTTGCTGAACTGGCTGTACGATTCGGTCTGCGCGGGTCCCTTTGCTTTAGCCTCTTCCTTCGCTCTAGCTTCTTTTCTAGATTGGGGTTCTCCACTAGCAGCCTGGCCGAGTCCAGGCGAGCTGGGGGTATTGGGAGCGGTCACAAAATACGCGGAGGGTCGGTCCGAACTCCCAGAGGCCGTACGCTGACGAGCGATTTTCATACGCGGGTCACTGTTACTCGCAGTGGTTGTTGGAGGGCTCGAGGTGTCAAGCTGTGGCAATGTGATCAAAATTTCCGGCTTGGTCGTGGGTAAAGTCGCGGCGTCGACACTGCCGTAGTCCTTGTTTAATGACTGGGTTTCCGCTTGAGCTTGAGTAGCAACATCAGCACTCTCGACATGTTCAGCGGCGGATTTTTCGTCAAACGTGGACTCCAGTGTTGGTTGCAAGGGTGTCTGATCCTCGATGGCTGCAGCAGTATCAGATACGATCTCAGCATCGGTGTGTGCGCGCGGCCCATCGTCCGAGATGACACTCGCGGTGTGGAAGCTGTCATCAACATGTTCCTCCTCAGGCCTGCTCTTAGCATCGGCAGTCTTTGTTTTTGAAGTTTCACTGCTCGCCGGCATCGGCTTCACTTCGCTCTCAGGAGCTGTCAAGCTCGTCTGTACGGTATGTTCAAGGAGCATGCCTTGCGCAGCTTGAAGCGAGTCCGGAACTCCGGACCGCAGGGAGTCAGAACGCTTCATCGGCGTAGTATTACTGAGGACCACAGGTTCAGCACACGAGCTGGCATCATCAGGTATGGACCTGAGAGCCAGACGACTATTCTGGGCATCTTCTTCGGATGGTTTGCTGACACTGTCTTCGTGACGGCCAGTGTTCTTAGCGTTGTTCTTTTTGCTGTTGTTGCCAGGTCTCTTTCTGCTCTTAGGTGTCCCAGGTACAGCCGCTGTTACTGGTTCGTTGGTGTTGGTAGACGTCACCTCTTTGCGGATAGGCTCCGTGGCCCGTGATGACGAGTGTTCGTGATGGGCTGCCGTTGGTGCCTGAACAGGTAGCGGGGGGTTGATAGCTGAGGTCTGAATGTATTGCATCGAGGAAGGCACGGTATTCTTCAGATCGCCAGGTGATATCCCCCAGGCTGAGCGAGGTTGAAAATCTTTATGGGCAGGGTCCCAAAATTCCCGGGCAACTGAAACAGAGATCGGTTGCTCGCGGAACAGCAACGACGGCTGCTCGATACAATTTCGAGCGCCATCTGCTGTAATGAAAGTAATGTATGTGCGAGAGTAGACGCCTTTGAGACTCTGCGTTACAAATGGTCCATGGACCTCGCCAACTGGTCCGAACTGGGAAAAGCAAGCAACGATATCAGCGTGTGAAGCACTTTCACCGATACCGAAAGCTATCAACTTCTTTGCGTACAAGCACTTCGGCCCAATCGATGTCTTAGTGCAGCCGAATTCGGGAAGTGGTATTCCAGACTGTCCGCTGGCCGTGCTGAAAGCTGATGGATCGCGGTTGTCAGCATGACTGGGAGCGACTGTGTATTGTCCGGCAGGATTCAACGACGGCATGCTGGTGAGTCGCTGCATGTTTCCAGACCCTGCTAGAGCCTGAGAGGTACGACGAGGATCGTGCAGGATCTGTGTAGGTCCGTGTGGAAAGTGCTCTGGATGGTGGGAATATGGCGTTGTGTTCTCGTCATGCTTCGACGACCTTGAAGAGCCGTACATTTGGGTATGTCGGTTATTGGCGCTGAAATGGCGATCGTCAAATTGCTTGCTAAAAGCGACAATCTCATTCGAAGTGCCTGATGGATGTCGCCTCCAAAAGTGATGAGCTTCGTCAATGCTGGATTGACCCACGCTATTGCGTCCTCGGCCACCTCGACCGCGGCCTCTACTGAGGGGAAATGTGCCACCCTTGCCTCCATACGATGCATTGCTCTCACGTCGCTTGGTTTGCGATCGCTCTGATTCTGGGTCATAGCTTCCATGACCTGCCTGGTTGACAAACTTGGCTGTATTTAGAGTACGCTCACTAACCTGCGGCGGTCCATACCCGTATGGAGATCGATTTGGTGCGAACGCATTATGATCATTCATCTGCATGCGATGAGAATGATGTGACTGAAAACCCGGAGGTGCCTGCGTATGGTTGAAGTCTGACTGTGGCTGGGGAAGATTGCCAGGGGCAAGGGATTGAAACGTGGATGGACCACGGGTCGCAAATTGTGGCATCATGCTGACTGGGGGCATTTGCGTGTGTTGTCGAGACTGCTGATGTGTTTTACTGGATGCGAATCTGGAATAATGAGTAGCCTGCGGTGGTTCGGAGTCTGTAGGATTCCGAGAATAATTGTGCGTGCCCGCAGGGCCACGAGCGTTGTGGGAAAGCACACGCGAAGGCGTTGGCTGGGTCTGACCACTGTAGCTGCGACGATGCGAGGCGGACTCGAGGGTCGCCGTTGACTGCACGGGTGTGTTCATATTGCTCGAGCTAAAGACTGTGGCTGTCGGCTTAAGTACTTTGGTCGGGATTGTGGAGGTTGGGGTGGTCTCCTTCCGCGAATGCAACCGTGACCTGTCGTCGGGCTGCGCGACTTGCGGCTGTGAGGCCTGGTCCAATTCGAGAACACCTGCTGTGTTCGTCGCGACTGAAGCAGCAGGGAGCGATGGCGAAGCAGATGAGGCATTGTACTGCTGTGAATTACGGAGGTCGTGCTGGATGGCTGCAACAACCACGTCGAGAAATTCGCTGCCGTACAGCTCGATCTCTGAAGCCTCGAAAAAGGTGTGTGCGCGCGCTGCTGGATTCAACAGGTGAACACTGAAGGTGGGATCGTTGAGGTAATCTGGGCCCTTCTGCTCGAACCACTCTTTCTGGACGTGCGGAACACGATTTTGGGAGTTATTCAGTGCGATGCACAGCCAAACCTGCTTGAGGAACCTGAAACCCTGCACTTGAATCTCGATTGCAGGAAACTGTTCGCGAAGGAAAGCCTCTTCGCTATCCTGGGTTGCATTCTGAGGAAACTGCCAGGGCATGATCGCACCCCATCGCTTGGAAGCCTCTTCGAACAGAAGCGCGGAGTAGGGTAGGATGTCGTCGAAACGGTTGCTGGAGGCGATGACTGGGCGGTGTTCGTCGGCCATGATTGCGACTGGCCAGTGCCGACCAGCGTGTCAAGCTCAGGGCGATGGTAACTGGCAGCGAGCGTGGTTGCGCTGAGGGCGGATCAGAGTGAAAGGGAGCGAAGGTTCTGGTCGTGAGCACACCTGGGCCTGTTGAAGGATGGATGTGGGTGAGTGGGTGAGAGTGGGAGGGTGGTGATTGTGGTGTGTGTGTGTGAGAGAGAGAAATGTGGGTGGGGTGTTGCGAATTGTTTGCGCAATGGCAAGTGCGCCGGACAGCTTGGGGAAGGCGACGCCCACTCTTCAGCCTGCTTCACTTCACCCGCGGAGTCGGAGCCGTCAATTGGCGTGGCAACTGGCGCGGCACGACCACCTAGCACCTGAACAAGAACAGATCATGGATCACTTCAGGCGCTGCGGGTGCCGCATCTTCAGGCTTTTGAAATGCTGGAGCGGTGACTACAACGAACGCGCCCGTTTGTGTGCGTGTGCATTATCAGCGGGTACGCGCTATGCTGCAGAAAGAGGCAGGAAATGAAGGCGAGCTTACATGAACGACATTGGACGCGCACTCGGTCTGCACGTCTGGAACAGTTGCCATCCTCAGCGGCCGGTGACATACGATATCAGCATCGGCATCAGCATCTCCTCGAAACCATTGCCCAGCACCATGTCCTTGTGTGCGAATGGCATCACCATACAGCGCTGCTACAGGACTGTCCTCTGCTCATTTCAATTCATTCGGAGTAGAGCTCATTCTCTGGTCTTGAATAGGGGGGCCTGATACCCAGTCCCAAATGCGTCTCCAATCCGTACCCGCAATGTAATTCCGACCGACTATACGCACTTCACTTGCTTTCTGGGGTCTGCTTTATGAGCTTCAAAATCTCACTCTCATTCTCTCCCGCAACTGTGTCATGTCAGTACGATGCCATGAAAACTGAGTCAAACACGCGCTCGCCAAATGTACGCACCAGCTTTGCCACTGTTCCAATCCACGATCACTGGGCGCAGGAACGAGTCTTCGCTCTTCTTGAACTTCCGCAGTGCATCACTGGTGCCTGTGGCGTCCTTGATCACGCTGCCCGCATGCGATGGACCTATGTAGTCCAGGATGCTGCTCAATTGATCGGCCGTTGGTGGACCCTCCTGCACCTCTACATGCCATTATCAGCAACTGCTCTCTATTCGTGTGGTATGTTCCCGGATCTTGCTCAAGCTCTTACTGACTCCCATCAGTACCACCCTATATCGGCCTCGTCACGTACCGAGCTCGAAATCGGTTCGCTCCTGCTTGCTCTGCTTGCTGTGATCACTGGCTTGGTCCTCTGTAGCATGTGCTACGCTGGCAGCATTGAGCTGCTTGAGCAATGTGTGAACGCGCGTCGATGTTGGAAGTTTGGGGTTATGGAAGAGAGTCACGACGTCCTTGACGCCAGCCTGCCCTGTTGTCAGCGCCGTCCAACTGCGATCTGTAATAGTAAGATATGCAACGCATGCCATCGCACGCGCATGGCGGAGAAGACCATCGATACCATACCTCCTTGAATAGATTCTTGAACAAGCCCATGATGCCTGTGGTGAAACTTCTTTGTCTATCCGATGTGTTCGCATGTGAAGCATTCGCACAGGGTAAGTAGAGGTAGTCTCGTTAAGACTTCCTGTACGTACCTGGTACGCACGAGACGAGGTACTGCCGAGCTGCGCTAGGGACTACCTTATAATCCACGGTGGGATACCGCATCGACCTTCATGTCCACGGTGGAGAGCATTCAGAGCACAATCACCGCATACAGGTACCAGCAGATTATAATAGGATAGGGAAGGTTTGAGGTAGAACAATCCGAGATATAACTTCCGGTCCCGCTTATTGTAGGTTGTTGAAGCATCGATAGAACCCATCACAGAGCACCCCTTAGGGATATTCAGCTTTTTATATGCTGTTATCACTCGCGTGGACTGTGGATATAAGCACCGTGCTTATAAGCTTATATCTGGTGCTAGCCGAATTGGGTGCGTCTTCAACTTCTTGGAGGTATTCCTATACCTTTCTATAGCGTGCATAGACATTATAAGAGGTTCTACCCTACAAGATCTGGAGTACCTGTATTACGAGAGTCTACGTCGTTGGCAGCGTGACGATATGATCTTGTGCACCACTGCAATATACAATTTGAGATCAGCTGCCTTACTGCAACATACATTTTGAGATCAGCTGCCTCACTGACAAGGCGCCGACCCTCGAACATGCTCTATCTGGACTGTACATGTTGGAACCATGTAACATAGGTACCTAGCATGCCCTCGAACATGCTCTATCTGGGCTGTACATATTGAAATCTAGGCTTTAACCATGTAACATTGGCACCTAGCATTTTATCAGGCAATATGAGTTTAATTGGTATGGAACGATCTCCAAACCTTGCGAAGCGCAGCGTAGGTCAGGTGCAGGGGGGAGTAGAGGCCAATCAATCTGGCTTAGTGGTATACCTTGTAGGTGGCCAGAGAATTCGTGTCGAAATCGCACGGTTTGATTGGTGCAATCCTTCGTACTGGTTACATGGGCAAGGTATTCTTCTTAGTACTGTACCTAATAGGCTAATATAGAGCCTACCGCCTAGAGGTATACATAGGTACGGTGGTACCTACTACCTTACCTCCCCCCATCTTTTCCTTCTAGATATGTTATACCTTTAACACCTTGGAAGTCAATACTGATTCATTGATTGGTGCTGTTTATTACTGCTCAATTAGGCGATAGTATAGTATTGGTATAGTTCAAATATGTGCATCACTCGACGACGTAGTACTACGCCTAGTCTTTGCTGCTGCTTTTTTCTAAGGTATCCCGACGGCACTACAATAACGTAAAATCGTCTTCGGAATTCGTCTGGTACCTACACTCCGCCCTCTGCTGAACACTCGTGGCAGAATCGTGTCCGAGCCCCCCCCGGAATCCGGATTTCTTCCTTAATAGTCTTTTGGTAGGGACGTGAACCAGCAGGATGTTACCTGTAGTCCTGTGTGGACGGCAACGACAGCCTTTTCACTTCCCTGCAGCGACCAAAACGGCAGCAACGTAGGCACGGCGTCAATTTCAACGACTTACATGAAGACGGGAATTACGACGTTCCCCTAGTCCAGGCTGTGATATTCGTAGCGGCCGGCTCCAAGATTACATTACCAAACATCGATACAAGAATCTTGGCCAATTGTCACCACTGAATCGGCATTTCCTCTTACGCTAACAGTGCGGTACCAGAGTCTATACGGGTTTCCGTTGTGGTTTGCTGGTTTTTTTTACAACAACCAGCGATATTTCGGGAATCAATCATTCGTATCCGTGTTTCATGTTGCCTAGTGCACCCCCGTATCGGCTCTAAGCCCGCTTGCTTCGTAGGACTATGTTTGAACCACATACCACAATATCGCCCAATTGAGTAAGGTAGTGATAAACAGCACCAATCAATAAATCAGTATTAACTTGGTATCAAAGGTATAACATATCCAGAAGGAAAAAATGGGGGTAGGACCTTCCCCATGTAACCAACATTTCACCCATGTTACCTGATATCCAACATGCCACCTGTGTCACATGGTTTCAACAAACTGTATCAGGTCTCTAGAGAAGGTATAGGAGCAAATGCCCTCTCCCTCTTCTTCTTCTTCTTCTCCTCTCTCTCTCTCTGGTAGGCCCAAGAAAAAAAAAATAATAACACATATTCCTTGTATCCAGCAGCAGCAGCAGCAGCAGCAGCAGCAGCAGCCCTCTCTCTCTCAAACCAAACAAACAAACAAACAAACAGAAACCCACCAAAGCAATCAGCCTATCTAGGTATTCATCATCATCATCATAATCATGGCGAAAATCATGTCCCTGTACGCCATCGCTCTGCTACTTGCAGCGTCAACCGTTACCGCCCAGCTACCTGGAGACGACTGGAGGTGGTGCGACAGCGGAACATCAGGCACCGGTTACTGCGAGAGCAGACGCTGGCACACATATTGGTATGTGAAGAATCACATAATTCTTTTCTTTTTTTTTCCTTTCAACCCCACCAAACCATCAAACCAAACCAAAAGCAGAAACCCCCCAAAAAATAAGAAGAAAAAAAAAAGAACATAGTAGTAGTCAAGGTAGTCAAATTTACTAACCCTTTCAACAGCTGTTCCGCCGAACCCGCCAGCTCGGGACCATTCCAAACACCCAGACAAATCAAGGCCACGTCCGGTACCGCATGTCAAGAAGATCCCAATTTTTCTGGTACCTATCTCGGTACGGTCTATTGTGCGGCGTAGTCTTTTTTTTTTTTCTTTCTTTTTTTTTTTTAATAATATAAAAAAAGAAAGGAAGATATTGTTCGTAGAGGAGAGAGAGAGAGAGAGAGAGTGTGTGTGTGTCGCTTTTTGTACCATGACAACAAATACCAAAACCACGTCAGACTTTTTGTGTCCATAGGTACCTGACTGTTGCTTCACATAGTGCTACATATATACAATGCGATAAGTGCTGTTCAAGACCCTTATGCTGTGCATCGTACCAAATACAGTCCTTGTACATTTACCCAATACTTTGATGCTGGTGATCTTTCCCGATTATTATGAAGCCAGCTTGCAGTCAAACACCCTCTTGCGCTGAGCTGTTTTCTTTTTGTTACCATTACCTCTTCTGGAAAATGCAGTCCAAGTACGTGACAAAGGCCTCGGCTCTCACAAGCGTCTGCGGTGCCACCCACAGCGATCAATCGCGTACAGGAGAGCTTGTGCCCTTCTTCTTCTTGCCACGCTTCTTCCGCTTCTTCTTGTCGCCATTCGAGGTCCCATTAGCGTGATCTTGCGCGGCAACATCATTTGCACTGTCTGCGGCGCCATCATCGCCTGCCATTTGTTGCTCACCGCCTTGTCTTGACGTGAGAGGTGAGACGTTGCCGTCCTGCGAGCCCGAACCATCTTCGCTAGAGGAAGTTGTCTCCAACACAGTCTTCTTCATACCGCCTATCTCAATGGTCGACTCCGTGATGGACCCCGAACGAGCTTGTAGCCGCTTTTTACCTCGGGCAGGGCCGTTGGCAGTACTACTGAGTTCGCCAACATGGTCATCCTCTTCTTCTTTTTGTTGTGCGCCAACGACCATTTTCCCAGGCAGGATAAGTGGCTCTAGTTCAGGAAGTGACGTTTGTTGGCTCTCTTCATGTGCTTCACGACTATCCCCAATTTCAGCCTGTTGCTGCGCATCTCGGCCAACGGCACTTGTAGGCGTGTCTTGGAAAACAGGCACAGGCGAAGCGTTCTCCTGTGCCAGCCTGTTCGCCTCCTGGACACTCAACCGAGTCTCAGGGGAGCTCAGCCGACGCTGTGGAGGAGCACTCATTGTACCATACACAGCTGCGGCCCCTCCAGAGGCACCCCGTGGCCGGCCAGATTTCAACGCCTCCACGGCATCATCGACGTGAGGATGACTAGGATCAAGTTTGTGAGGCTCTTCGTGAACGACGCCAGTCATAACCGGCTTGTTCTCCGGTATCGTGGTGACGCCAGGCTTGATCGCTATGTTGGTGAATTTTGTGGACTTTGGATGGCTCGCTGCGTTACTAGGTCCGAGGTGCTTCAGATGTTCTTTCAGATCAGACGGATTGCTGCGTACCGCCACAGGTCGTGGTTTGTCGCGGGCCAGCTTGCCGTCGGACGCCGTACTGCTCTTCCTACGCATCATGAACGTAGTCTGACCGTTCGTGAGGCTGGGGTTCCGGGGTCGATCGCTATCCTTCTTTCCTAGCAGAGGGCGAGTCTCGTCGAACTCTTTACCATCTTCATCGTCCTCCACCACATCATCTTGCTCTGCTATGCGGCCACGGAAGCGAGTTTTCGGAGCGGGAGCCATTCGGCGGATAGCCTTGTGCACGTCCACAAAAACATCGGACTCGTCGATGATCTCTTCTCCAATGAGCTCCTCGATCACGTCTTCCAAGGTGACCACACCCGTAGCACCCTTGTCTTGACCTGGAAAGTCGGACACAAGCACCATATGGCTCTTGCCTTCCTGAAAGAAATTAATGATGTCAAGACATGAAGTATGTGGCGCAGTCTCTGGTAGTGTTGCTAGTGCGAAGTCGCGCACCCGCTTGCAGTCTTCAGGATCGTACGTGATCAAGATTTTGACCAGAAGCATGCCGATAAAATTCCTCGAGTTATCAGGCGTGTAAATCGGTATGCGAGAATAGCCTTGACTGAGGATAATGTCCATCATTCGCTCGTCGAGGACCGTGTCCACACTCATCGTGAAGACATCTTCCATGGGAGTCATAATGTCTCCCACAGGCTTATCCTTCAGGTCCAGCACACTGTTGATGATGGTCACCTCATCTTCCATCAATTGCTCGCCAGCACCACCGCCGAGTGTCTTGTGCAGGGTGACCAGAGTCTTGAGGCCTGCCTTTTTGTACATGGTACCGTGCTCTTCACCCAGCAGGTAGTCGAGCAGTTTCGCAGTGGGCCAAGCAATGGGAGACATAATCCACATGAGAGCGAGCACGGCAGGCGCCATAAAAGCTCCAATGGAAAGGCCATAACGAACACACACGGATTGGGGAGCAACCTCGCCAAAAATGACTACACAAGCGTCAGTATTGTCTCAATGTACTTGTTCTCCCAGCTGTAACAGCCAGTTCTACCCACCAATAAGCACAGTACTACTCACAACCGCCGGCCATCCTCCGCCCAAACTGCGGTCCAGAACAATGGGTAGGGTCTCGTTGGTGATTACATTGCTGAGTAACAAAGTTACCAAGACCCAATGCTTGCCCTTGTTCAACAGCTTGAGCACCTTGGCGGCGTGCTTCTTCTCACTGCCCTCTCCACTCGTTGCAATGACCTGCAGATACGTCTCGTCTTGGCCCATCAAGGCAATCGTCAGACCCGCAAACACGCCGCCGAGCAGCACCAACAAGACGGCCACGGAGAGATAGATCCACAGCGTGGGGTCTCGCGCGTCCTTGGGCATGTCGTCGTCGTCATGCTGCTGGTATGTGGAGATGGCGTTACCGCCGAACAGATGGAGGGAAAGAGGCGCGGCGCTCGCGAGCGGCATCAGACACAGGCGTGCGGCGGTCAGAACAGCCGGCCTCAGCGTCGCCAGCGCGCTGTTCGTGCGACGTGGTGTGGTGGTTCCATGGCGATGGAAGGGCTGAAGTCGTGCGGCTCCGGCTCTGCTCGACATTGAAAGTTCCGCCGTGCTGTCTCCGGGGGAAGAGACACGGTGTCTGGGGAAGCACTCAGTTGTTGTAGAGCAGATGCAGTGGAGGTGGATGAGGGTTCAATGGTGGTGGTTGGGGTTGGACCGGGTGTGCTTTGACGACATAATCGAGGTCATGCACCGACGCGTTCATGTGGGACGGGAGGCGGGCCGACGGAGGTGGATCCGCTGAACTCAATTCATTTAACTGCGTCCCGAGGTCGTCATGCGGCTTCACTACATGTACCTCCTAAGGTACCAAGTACATACTTCACTTCTCCCGCGTAAGCCGTATACATGTACGTATACCTCCTATCACTAGGAAGTACCCTAGGGCGGTACAGAGTGGTCCCAATAGACAAGGAGATATCAAATGACGCATGCTGGTTATATGTACATACTTTTTACAACCCTATGTTTGTACAGATCGCTACCTATACAGCGGTGAGTGGCGATGGTAGCGCGTTGAAAGAACAACCCTAAGCATGCAAAACCACAAGGTGTGCAGACAGAACTGAGGTTCGTCTGAATTCTGTCTGACAGCCAGATCATAAACCGCCATTTTCGGCTCAGACGCGCAACGCTAATGCAGTTCTTTCGCCCAAAAGCTTGCTGGATATGACAGATGCTAAAACGCATGGAGCATCCACCATCACTTTACGCTCTCTGTTGTCGTCGTTTCGGATTCGTCGTGTTCTTCTTTGGTGTCGTCTGTTTGTTGCTGTCTCCATTGATCCACTTGAGCAGCTCTTCAACGCTACGTTGATCTGGGCCACCCTGGCTCGGGGTTGCTGGTGCTTGCAGCGCCTCTGGGGTGGCTTGACCAGCGGGAGGCACTTGCCTCGTGCCGCTCAGCTGCACTCTCGGCGCGCGGCCATTTCGTAGCAGAATTTTACGGTTCTGCATCAGGTTGGCCTGCTTTGCTTGACTGACGGCATTGTGTGTCAACGTCTCGAGCCAGTTCTCAGCCTCCTTTGTATTTTGATTGTCAGGCCCCAGAGTGGTCTTGAAGATGCTATAGCTCTCCCGCATCTTGGTCACTGCAGACTTGGAGTCCTGATCTAAAGCCAGGGCCTGTGCAAGCTGGAACTGAAGGGTAGCAGTGTTGATAGACTGCTTGCCTGAGACCTCCTCACAGATATCGAGTGACGCCTCGAACCACAGCCGGGACTCGTGGAAAGACTTCAACGATTGCAGCATCACCGCCGCGTTGTTGATCGTGGTGATGGAGTCGGGATGACGAATGCCGTAGACGATTTTCCAGAGGTTCAGTGCGTGGCGGACATAGGCAAGAGCATCCTTCGTATTGCCAATCGCGTGCTCAAACAAGCTGAGATTGAGGTAGGCCAGGATGGTCTCTGCGTCGTCGATGCCAAGCGTCCTTTCTGACACAATGACTGCCTTTTTAGCCAGTTCGGCAGCTGCTTGCTTCTCTTCAAGTCCATAATACAGAGTTGAGAGAGCATAGTAGACACGAGCGACTTCGGGATGCAATATTCCGTATATCTGCTCATGAAGGCTCAAGCTCTCGAGAAGCAGCTCTTGTCCGAGCTCCTTTTGGTCTTGTTGTAAACTCATGCGACCTGCATCGAGCGCCTCCTCGGCCAAAATGCTCTTGGGGGATGCTTCCTTCACCAGAGGGACAATGTTCATCACATTTTCAGGGTGGAATGTAACGGCCGGGCTGACTGGTGCTGTGACCTGAGCGCGGGCTTGAGGAGTCTCTGTTTGATGCTTCTTCTTCTTGTTCTTCTTGCTGCTCGAAGTACCATTGGCATGAGGCTCTGCAAGTGAATCTGCGGAAGCCTTCTCCTGCAGTTTGGGCTGTGCGGCAGCAGCATCTTGCGTAAAGACGTATGCCTTGGCCTCCAGCTGGAGTCCGAGCTTCTTGGATATTTCGCGCACAAGTTGCAGCTCTTTGCCACTCTGCACAAGATCGCCCTCGATGTCATAGCGATAGCGTAATGAGATTTGGCGTCTAATCTCTTGATCGAGGCCCTCGGGTGTCTCTTGCTCATACCCGAACGAGACTTCGGGGTAGAGTGCCTTGAGCTCCCGGTCAACTTCAGGCTGAGGCTGGGAGTTGAGCTTTGTTCCGACGAGACAATTTAACAGGTGTGCAATGCAGCTCTGTGCAAAGCACGGCGTCAAATCACGCAGATACTTGTTCGCGATATGCTTGAACGCACGGCTGACCATTTCTTGGTGTGTGAGCTGTTGCAATGCCGCCAATCTCTTGTCGGATTTCTCGGACGCCAAACGTGCAACGTCACCGAGATATCTGATGTTGACACCCCGTCGATGCATCTCGCGCACCAAGCTGTGGCCGTCCATTGGAAAGCCCACATCTCCCTCCTGCAGGTCGTGCACAAGTCGCGGTAGCACATCCGCCGTCAGGTGCTCGCAAACCGCACGGACGAGTTTTTCGTCCTGTGCCCACTCATTCTTCTCCTCCTCGGTCTGTGGCTGCTGTCCACTGAACACATCGGGGTTGAGCGAGAACGTGAAGGCAGACATGTCAACAGTTTCCTGCTTGTTCATCTCTACGCTCCCACCAGCAGCGTCTCCCTCCGCATCACCGTTGGTCAGCCCTTTAGACTGGTCATCGGATGCGCCTGCTGCGGCTTGCTCTTTCTCGGCACGCTTCTTCTCGAGCTCTTTTCCGATGAAGGCTCTCATCTGCTTGATCCTGTAAGATTCGACGAGTTCGGGCCGCATCACAGTCATGCGGTGCGGATAGCGCTTTTCGTCGGTCTGGTCATCACCGCGATGGCGCTCGAGCCAAGAAATATCAAGAGGTGTAACTCGGTAGAGGTCCAGAACGTATTTCCTGCCGTCGGTGCCTAACAGTCCCTTGGTCTCGACGCTGGCCTCGAGGTCGTGCCTCTTCAACTCTTTGTCCCATACAGCGTGTTTCTTGACTCGCATGGCCTTGCTCAAATCGCTGAAAGGCCGTGCAAATCCCTCGTGAGTTGCAATGATGTCCTTGCCCTCAACTCCGCCATAGTCAATCTGGTGCTCTCCTGGTTCTCTCTGTTTGAAAATACCAGGCACGATACTCTGGCCCACAACACGCTTGCCAAGGTAATCCACCACCACAGTCCCGGGCGTGAACAGTCCATTGATGTCCAGTTGATTCACAGCCTTCACCCCTTGGACGTCCTTACCAGTCGCGACCCTAGCAGCCTCATCGCCACCGTCGCTGGCAAATGTACCTACGCCATCTGCGCCGAAACTGTAGAAAACGTTATTGTAAACATAAATCTGCGCATCTTTGGCTTCTGTGGGATTGAGTGGCTGGATTTCACCACGCGCGACTAGACACGCACCGCGCACTGCAGCCTCGTTGTAATCTGCGAAGAGTTTGCTCGTCAGCCGTTCGCGGAAGACACGATCCTGCACTGTCTCCTTTGGTAGCTCGCGAGTCGATTGAAACTCCTCGTTCCAGTCACGAAGTGTCTCAGCGTTCTCTGCACCACCAAGCAAAAAGGCCTCTTGCGTCCGAGTAAGGTCTGCCTGGTGTTGATGCACTGAAGTGGCAGAAACAAGCCATGGCGCAGCAGGAATGCTATTGCTGAGAGCATACGACGCCAATGGGTCTCGCTCTCCGTTGTATTCCTGCAGCAGCCTGAAGTTGTTGTCAAAGGAAGGCGAAAGTTGAGACAGTAGGCTGATCAGAGAGTGCGCGGAGGCGCTCTTCGGGGTGGTTCGAGGCGCGGGATCGAACTTGTTGTTGGTCGACCTGTTTAAGTAGAAGCCGGAGACGTGTGCGGTAATGTAGTGCTGCTCCCCCTCGTTCGTGACGACCTGGAGGTAGAGCAGGTGTCCGCGGTTGCGCAAATGGTAGGGAGGCGGATTCCAGGCGGAGAGAGAGACGCTCTTCACCGTCTTGGGCGCGGGTCTGCGAGTTCGCTGAAGCAGCGTTGCAACAGAGCCAGGCGAGTTCAGATCGTAGCCGGTAATGGGGTTGCTAGAATCCTGCTCAGTCTTGTCTGCCGGCAGCTCGATGCTATCGCACAGGCTGATTCCCGCATCGATGCCCGTGACCAGATCGGTACGATCGCCCGCGGCTCCAATGAGCTCGCGCACTCTCACGATGTGCATACGAGCCTGAGCCTCCGTGTACGGATCCTCCACCAGTTTGCAAACTGGATCTGCACTGATTCCCTCCACCTCGTGCAGCTCCACAAAGTCATTGATGCGCTTCCCTTGATGCTCGAGGTGGAAGCAAGAGTACTGGAAAGTATGCGGCGTATCAACGATCGATTGTCTAATGTCCTGCACCTGCTCTTGACTCGAGACCATGACCTGCGTCTCGCCCGGAGCGTGCGGCAGCTTGATCGTGAGCTGGAAGACGTTTTCAGCGGGCGCTGCCTCTCCATCTCCATCAGCCTTGGCGGAGGAGGAGGCATGCTCCCCATTGCCATTGCCATTGCCATTGCCATTAGTCAATGCACCGTTGGTTTCGGAGGTCGCGGGAGTGTGGGCGTCGGCGTCGCTGGGCTTTGTCGAGTCCTGCTGCGATCCTGTTACGGTCAGTAAGTGATGCTTTCGTCCATGGTGATGAGCAGGCAATTGCTCGCACTGGAGGGTGCTGTAGATGCCGTGCCATTGGGGAAGACGACATACCGTTTATTGAGGCATCATTGACAGCCATGCTTCTCCCGATCTGCAGCTTGCTTGCAGCGTGGCACACGAGCGATCAGCAGAAGCAGAGGAGAAGAGAGGAGGGGAGATGGATGGGGAGGGACAAGAGAGGAACGAGCGCTACCAAACGGATTTGACAAGAAGGAACTAATGGTACAAAAAGACGCAGCGGCGTCGAATGGGGGAATGTAGGGCTGTACTGTACTCCGACAAGGTGATGGAAGTGCACACAGCAGTCAAATAGTCATCAGCTTCGAGTTTTTAAATGCTAGCTCGACTTTACACCTCCCGTCTCCGTCTGTACTTCTCCCCCCGAGACTCCGACCCTGTCCGATCCCCGCCGATACACCTCCGTGTCTCCGCAGCTTTCTTGGAACTACTGAACTGAATCAACATCACATCACAGTCGTCTGGGCTACTACTGACCTGCCACACGCTTGACCATCTTTCCCTGAAGACAAGAGACGAGCCAGTGTCCCCAATCGCTCTTCCGGTTCTCGACATTACCGTGTGTGTGATAGATGGAGAGGTTCTGAGTTCGGGCATGGTGTTGGACGTGCTCGGCGGAATTGATAGGAGGTACGATGCTGACAAGAAAAACTGCCCGTGCCCGCGAGCGCACTTATATTGTACTTTTGTGCTCCATTTTCACACGATGGCTGATGATGCCAATCAGAGGAGTGGTCCTCTCGAACCTGGACCCAGTATCTCCGTATATACCTACGTGCTCTTCATAGATCATTTCGCTCATATCGTTCCAAGATCATTGCCCTGCACGGGTATCATAAAGCCCACATCGCCTATCCATCGTCAGCAGTGAGTCGCTCCACCCTTAGAGTCATGACTCTATCCCAACCAATCCTAATAAATCTTCCCAGCGCATGCCAGAAGTGTCGTCCGGCCTCGTGCTCTCGTATCCTGCCCAACAGCTCGGCCACTTCCTCTCTCACGTCAAGCCTGGGATGAAAAAGCCCCATGCCAATGTAAAGCAGCCCCGAGTTTTGCCCACTGCCAGTCGCTGTCACCTTATTCTCCCAGACACCATTGACGACCACTGATAGTAGTTGACTGATCTCCTGCTCACTCCGAGCCGCAGCACATATGGCCAGGTATATCTGCGCGCTCTGTTCATGGCCAAGTCGCAGCTTGGCCAGCTGATCGTGCAAGTGCTGCAGGTCAAGGTGCTTAATCGGACGATGCACGTAGAGTGCTGCAAGATCTTGCACAAAATTATAGTAGCTGCGCGTATTGCGCCAACCTTCGATTCGTGTCGAGTTGGCTGCCAGCTCGTTGGTTTTGCTCAAAGCTGTTGGCCACACGTAGCCATGGCCGGTGATTCCTGGGGAAGCTCGGTCTGATTTTCCGTCATTTGGACTAATTGGCGAACCGTCTGATCCCATCAATATCGCCTTTGCGTTCTCGGGATTGTGTATGTGGAGAGCACTGGCGCCATACACAGTCTCCTCAAAGCTCGAAGCCAACCTCGTGAATTTTACAATCCACTTCCTAAATTTGGCACGGATAGCATGCTCGCCGTGTCTCTCGCTGATAGCAACAAGCACACTTTGAATAAAAGCTCCGTCTCCAGTGGCATCGCTATTCAAGTTCTGGCTGGGAGCAGCATTACCGCCCAAACCTGCGGACAAGCTTGCACTAGCGGTCATGAAAGATGCAATACCTCCTCCACTTCCGCTCGAAGCAATCGTTCCTGGTTGGTGGGTGTTTTGATGGAAGAATGCCACGCCTTCCGTCAATGGTGCCTGCTCAATGCGGTTCGATATCTTCATACGTCCTGTGCCAAGATCACACATCAAGTCCCACCATTCAGCATGGTGTGTGAACATGGGGTTAGTCACGCCAGCAATGAAACCTGGCACTCTCAGTAAGTCCTCGATTTTGGTCAAGTCAGTATAAGGGAAAGCGTGTCGCGTGAAGCCGCGGAGAAGACCACCAGAAGCTAAAGCACAAGCGGCAAGAACAGCTTCTGCTACGTCCGAGCTGGGCAGCTTATCTCCCAAGAAGATGACACGCTTCTGTGTCAGAAGGGCATTGAGGAGCACGATAATGGGATGAGTGGTAGGGCCAGACGTGGTGAGATGAGGATGAGTCGGGTTAAAAGGGACGACCTGCACAGCATGTGGAGTGCTGAATGTGGTGATCAATTTAATCAAGCTGAAGTCACCCACTGTCTCTGGGCTGACTGCGGTTGGGATCTTGACTGGCACTGGCACGTTGGCATAGTGGACCACGCTTTCGAACTCATGGGTGTCTCGTGGTAGCCCGTAACGAGTTCTCGATTGGAGCTGGTGCGTGCTCGACGGCTCCGGTGGTGATAACGTTGCATCGGGGTCCTTACTGGCAGCCATTCGCTGCGCGATCATGGCCTCGAACTTTTCTAGAAACATGTCCTTGGCGTCTGAGGCCTGTAATATGTATTTCTCCAAGAAGTTCAGTCGGGGCAGCAAAGACAAGTCCATATCATTGACGGCTTCGTATAAGGAAGCCAGCGTCTCGGCCTGAGGACGAGCAAAGTACTGCTCGAGTGCCAGCAACAGGAGAGGCTTATATATATGCAAGAAAGAGTGCCGAGTACAAATGGCCATGGCCTTGACTATGGCGCCGCGAGGCACGGACGGATCGAGCTTGGTGTTGACCAAGTTTAGCACGTATACTAATGGAGGTCCGTCGAGGGTGACGTCGTCAGAATTATCGTCGTCGTTGTCCAGGTCATCCCCATACTCCTCGTCTGCATTGTCGTCGTCCTCGGCACCTGCTTCTGCTTGCTCGTCATCGGAGCCGGTGCCACCTCGTCGCCGTCTGCGATGCCTGCGCCTTCTCTCCCGCTCTTCTTCGTCCTGGCCAGCGTCTTTGTGAAGGAAAAAGGTGGTCCAGTCTTGCGAGCGCTTGTCCACCTGATCGGGCAACATCAACTCCGCCAGCATGTGCTCATCACCTCCTACCGGTGCGGGATATTGCTGCTCCATGATACTCCCTCGATCGATGTCGAAGGAAGCAACCAGGATGTACTCGACATGTTTCTCGCTGCTATCCGAGGGGTACTGCGACTTGACCGGCTTTGCTGCATTGCGTGGAGCACGCTTCTGGGGAGGGCGGAGATGGTGCTGTTGTTGCGCGGTAGACTGCAGCGAGGCCGAGTGAGTGGAGTAGTGGCCGGTGCTGGTGCTCTGGTACGAGGCATTCGAGCGACTGTGTTGGTGCTTGACGGTCGAATTGGCGGTGGTGCTGGACGGGAACGAGTTCAGCTTGCGCGACGAGTAGCTGCCGGTGCTGTTGGTGTTGGATCGCACAGGCAGAGCCGCTGCCATCTTGGTGCCTCAGGTCCTGCGGCTTCTGATCGTTGGGTCTTCGGTCAGGTGCTGTCGCAATCCTCAAAAGGTACTACAGCAGTGCCTAGGAGCTTCTAGCAGCCACGCATCGCGTCCTGTCGTTAACGCGTGCCCGCGTCTCACCAACGAGTGCGCCGTGGCAGGAGGAGAAGGAGCGAGGTTCAATACATGCATGTACCAGGTAGGTAGGTTGTAGCTACCTCCCTGCGCGCAAATATAAAGGTAATGTATCTATCTGTACGAATTAATACCTAACGAAGGCCACCACAGGACTCAGGTACACAGACCGAGGGAGGGAACCACAGGGCACAGTGCACAGGCCATTGGTCTGCCCCACCTAGCCCGGCCCGCCGGCGTCAATCTGTAAACTTTAAACTCTATCGCCGTTGCCGGGGATGCGCACTTGTTGTTCTGTTTACGCACTACCTCCGTACCACCCGTACGTAGCTTATGCTACGCTGTCTACACACCACACTGCACACTCCCGACTCCAAACCCCCGACCCCAGAAATGGCCTCATCGAATCCCAACAGACTCTCTGCCCAGCTCTCGCCCTTTGAATCCCCCTCCGGCAGGCAGTCGCCGTTCCGCAGGCAGAACAGCCAGTCGCCAGGAACGGCCATCCGCACAGGAACTCCAGCTTCGTCGCCCACCAAAGCGTCTTCATCATCCTTCTCCCACGTCAAGACTAGCTCGCTGTCGCCAGAGAAGTCCAATCCGTTCACGCGGCGGCCGAGCCAGATCAATCACAGCCATGCTGCCGACCGGCCGACAAGCCCTTTTGCACGTCCCACCAGCAGCCTGAGCATTGTATCGACGCCGTCGCGCAAGTGGAGCAATGGCAGTCTCAAGAGCCCCGTGGCACTGCAAGACGTGGATACGCCCACAGTTGCGTCACCGTCTCCCTTTGATGGCGCCAGGGACTTGTCGGGCGGTCACAGTGTGGCTGACGACTCACCATTCTCTCCGACTCCTGTGCAGGCACTCAGTCGAGATAACCTACGGCCAGCCATGCAGCGCAACATCACATCTTCCACGACAGCGACCATCAAGCCACCCACATTCACGTCGCAAGCGAAGTCGGCTACACCAAGGCTCAACGATGTAAGAGGCGGCACTTACAATCATTTACCCCAACCACTACTTCACAGTATGCGAGAGTCATTCGAAGTGCTCGACAGTAACAATACCGGAACGGTCAACTCTGCAGCCGTTGCAGACATGCTAGCCCAGCTCGGTCTCGACAACAATCCGGCAGCACTGACCGACTTCTTCCCTCCCACCGGCGCAGCACAACTGAATCTAGCACGATATCTGGACGTCCTGTCCGGGCCTTTGAGCGACCTCTCAGAGCCAGACGAACTCCAAGCGGCATTCGAAGCCTTTGACGTCGACGACAGTGGCCAAATCGACGTCGCTGTCCTACGCGACGCACTACTCCATACTGCCAGCCAGCCCGGCGATGACATGGTGCGAATGAGCGAGCGCGAAGTCGACGGCGTGCTGCGCGAGTTTGCGGGCCGAAGAGCCTTTGGCGCCAAAGGCATGCACGCGGGAAAGCCCCGGGGAGAAGTCTTTCGATATCGAGACTTTATGGCGAATGTCAGTGCAGGGGGTGGAGCGAGGATGAGTGAAGCGGAAGCAGCAATGGCAGCGTAATGTGGACAATAGAAACAATCTTGATCTGATATAGTTATCAGATTGGGGCTGATTTTTGCTCTCTGTAGTGTTTACGGGTCGAAGTTTCTCGCCATGGGACCACCGCTGAAGGTGGCTGATGTAACTACGGCCTGGACTATGCGGTTATGAATACGGTATCAGGATAGAATTGGATGGCAGTGCACGCTTCAGCGAACGGCGATTTGTTATAGGAATAGGTACATGTAGCGGAGCGGACTAATGATTGCACCGCTTCCCGCCAAGTTCATTTCGACGACTTCAGCGAGCAGTAGCAGCAAATTTTCCAAGTTTGAATCATACCTGAAAGTACATGTATCTGAGTCCTCTAAGCGTCTAAGGTACAGTAGGTAATGTATCTAGGGATGAGGTCGCAAATATCTTATATGTACCGAAAGCAAGTCATGCCTGTTCAATAGTAACACAAGGCCTTCACCAGAACATACCTCCCTACCTTATTGCTATAGTACCTTACATGTATGTGTACCTTATGGAGTAGTATATACACAAAGGACAATTCCGCTGCTGCTCATCATCCTCGCACTGCGGATACCTACTAGGTAAGCGTACATCTCTCTCGAGGAGTGAGGCGTAGCGAAAAAACAGGTATCTTGAGGTGTATGACAAAAGTCTAACATTTCCGATGCTGTTGCGTTTGCCTGTCAGCAGTGTAGGTAGTATATGTAGCCTGAAATCCGCATTTTCACCGCCTTTCTTCACACATGTAGCTTGAAGCATACACACTTGGTTCTGCCCTGCTGCAGTCTATTTGCAGGTACCTCCTATGCATTTGCTTCTATCAGGCGCCGCAATCGCTCAATCTCGCGAGCAACACGAAAAACAATGTGAACATCGACAAGGAAGTGTTGTATAATAAATTCAGACCGAATTTTCATACATCAGCCCACGGAGCAGGCTGAAAAGACTGAAACGTTTTGCTGGAGCTAGTAGCTTCTTGCAGTGTTTCAACAAGAGCAGGGAGCGCCTGCTCCAATGGCAGTGCGCTGCGCACGCCATCGATACCGTCACCTTCCGCCGGCAAATGCTGGAAGAATGCCTCCTCTCCTCTGATGCCTCCCATATTGATGGCTGCGATGCGCTTGCCGTGCTCCTTTGCCCGCTTGATGAGTCTCCATGCCGAGTACGTCGCGAGCGATGATCCCAGCACGAGAACGCTGCTGGCCTCGTCCACGGCTTCTTCGGCAGCCACTTTCACAGCATTAGGGATGGATTCCCCAAACATGATGACTGCAGGCTTGAGGATCCCCGCATTCGATCCTGCGGCCCATGCGCCGTCGTCATCAGTTTTGATGATCTTGTCCTTGGGTGTGTCTGCCAGGCATTTGGGACACGGTGGATATCGGAAGGTGCTATACTCTACTCCGGGCACATCGACATCGCCATCCGGGTTGGTCTTCAATCCCAACTTTCGACGTCGTGTGGGATCCTCTGTCGTCAGAGCACCACTGTCGAGCATTTCTTGCAAGAATTGCGCCCATTTGGGATTCATTCTGGCGAGATCGTGCTGGAAAGCATCTCGGGGATATTCGGACCTGCAAGTGAGGCAGACGCAGCTCCGGAGATATCCATGGAGCTCCAATGTGGGCAGTTTCGGATGCGCCTTGGGATGGAAACTGTCCACGTTCTGCGTGATTACTTTTGAAATGTAACCTAGATCGGCCAGAGCGCCAACAGCATAGTGAGCCTGGTTGGGCTGACTCCTATGTAAAGTCGTCCAGCCTAGGAACGATCTCGCCCAATATCGTTTTCGTGCCTCATGGCTAGCGGCAAACTCGTGAAAGTAGATCTATGCGACATCAGCTCGTGGCGTGTGGTGGCAGCGTGGTCTTCAGCAGATGAGCAGAGTGGACAAGGCGCATGCGAGGGTGCAAAGTCCAAATGGGGCTGGTACATACTGGCCGGTACCTATTCGCACAATGCAGTGTAAGTCTCATTTCATAATGCTGTCCTGGAAGAACAGGTGATGTGATGTGGCGGGGGGCACAGCAGCGCCCTGAGCTCATCATGATTGGACACAGCCCTTACGTTTTGTTCAGGGTGTATGTTCCCTGCGAGCCCCTATAATCTGCCAGTCCTGAGGCCACCGATATGCCCGCACCCGACAGGATGACCGTCTTGTCGCCGCCATGTCCGCGCTGGGCCAAGAAGTTCCGCAATGCTCTCGTGGCGCCGGCAATGGTAGAGGCAGCGGCGGGTGCAATGGTGGGCAGAGGCAGCGGCTGCGTGTAGGGGATACGCATCAACGGCATACCGTCCTTGCTTTCACCTCATATCAGACTCTTGGCACCGCTGCATGTCCAGAGCATGTGAAATGATGAATGAATGACTGTAAAATAACATGAATGAGTGGCAGCTGTGTGCCAGTGTGCCAGAGAGCGCCAGAACACCCAGACAGGAGCCCCAGAGGACGACGGCGACGGGAGATGTCGTCACCCGGGGCTCAATAAGGTTTAGCGGGCCATGTGGTTTTAAGACTTTGAGTGGACCGACCTCCCCGTCGCAACTTCCAATGTCGAGAGTGTCACAGTGATGCAAGAGCGATCCCAGGCGCGCGGAACAGCCGACTGCATTTCGTCTTGTCTCGTCTTGTCTCGTCTCGTCTCGTCTCTTCTCGCGTCGCTGTCGGTGGTTGCATCCTGAAGCACCACCACTGGACGCATGTGCCTTTCCTGAAATTCCTCTTGTGGAAAAAAATCGAAATGCAATGCCGGACGGCGATCCCAATTCACGGCATATCGCACCAGGATCATGCGTGCCGGACCGCGATTCAATAATCCAATTCCAACCCGCGAGCCAACCCAACATCGCTCCTTCCTCTCCCACGTTTTATAGCTACCTGACCTGACCTGACCTGACCTGTACCTCCACCTCCTTCCTGCATCGCCAGCCCAGCCCGGCCCAGCCCATCTCAGCTGATCATCTCGCATCCTGTTCACGTGCTGATTAAGGTTGGCAAGTAATGTCCCAGGATGCTCAATGCCGCCGCCTTAGTTCTATCGCGGCTGGCACTCCGAAAGCTTCCCCAGCGATTCATAGGTACGTATGAGATACGGCAGGGCCGGGCAGGCGGTCGGCAGCAGTGGACGCTGTCAGGGGCTTTATCGGGGTGCTCGCGCATCAAATCAGTCTGCCATGTGGATGGCCCACTACAGCGCGCGGAGTGGCGGTTCGCCGTAGTTCCACCGCGTAGATCTATCGCCGCAGTCCTCTGTCGATTGTGCTGTTTGAGCCTGAGGGGAGGTAGGCTGTTCCCACACGCTGCGTCGGGGTTATAATTAGCGAAATGCGCGACGATTCTTCTGGAGATGCGCCAGTCTCCTCTGGCGCTCGCAGGACTCGGGCGCTGCCACGCTCTGAGGTCCTTTATGGCTACCTACATACCTTACAGGACCTACCTATTACATGACCGGTGGCCCTAGTAAAGCTTCCAGGACGCATTCGCCAGCCCGTGGCTCATCATAAGGCAACGCACGACCGCTCGCACTCCCTCACCTCCAGGCTCCATCTCGACGTTGTCGCCATGATGCTGAACGGCCGGCCGAGAGCGCCTCTCCATTCCAATGCCTACACCGGGCCCGGAATCAACGAAGTCGTTCGCCCAGCTCCAGAGTCACGAAGTGAGTGTCAACTGGCTTTCGTTCATGCCTCCCTCTGTCCCGTCCATCTACCTACCTGCCCATCATCAGCGGAATGTGCCTACCTCATCGTCGACTGGGCTGACAAACTGTGCAGGAGCGGCCAGCCAAGATGCATCGAAGCGCAAGCAGGTGCAGGCAGCCATCGCTGCCGCTTCTCAGAAGCCGTTGCCGCGTCCGCCACAATTAGAAGATTCTCAGAAGCCGCTGCCACGTTCATCACGAAAGCGCCCGACCTCACTCGCCTTGAGTACCACCAATGGCCGCTCAGTACTTCCCAGCCCACTTCTGAAGCAAAGAATATGTTCCGCACGCTCGTCCAGCGACACGTCTGCCACACTTCAGATTGCTGCGCCTGACCGGCGAGAACCATTGCCTCCAACCCCGACCACGCCAATCGCCAGTCTCGTCATGGGCAACGCCCACTCCGGCAGTCCGTCTCCTGACGACGATGCGTCAATGCGCAGTGTTGTCCATGTCCGGCGAGACTCCAGGCTGCTGTCCAGGAAAGGCTCTTCCAACCTGTTCAAGCGCATCGATAGCCGGAGCCCGTTACCGCGAGATGTCACTGCCAGCGTCATGTCCATGATACACCGAGACGGCGCAAAGAAGGACCACAGTGGCCTCGAAGATGACGGCTTAGTGGGTGTCACAATGGATCATTTCTCCAAAAGACCCGATCCGCACGGCAACCACTATCCAGGACGCCCTTCTGGCACCAGAATGGTGCCCTCTACCACCACGATAATGATAACGGAAAACCGTACAAATTCGCCTCCGAGTGCATCCGAGCCAGTGCGAGACTTTAGTGCACCTGACAGTGAACCAAACGACCACACGACGGACTTCCCTTGCATCGAAGAGCCTCAGCCTGACCCAGAAAAGGAGTTGCTGGAAAACATCTCACCTACCATTCCTGCTCCCTCGCCTCTGCCAGAGGACAGTCCGCACAAGTACGGCTTGCGAGACTCTGCAAATACGCCCCCAGTGCCGCATGCAACCCAAGACATTCAGCTGCCGAAGGCAAGGCGCAAGAGTAGTGGTCTGGAGATCTTCAAGGTCCGTTCCCGTCTGACCATCGTTATAGCAGGGGGCATCACGCTGACAGCAGAAACAGGAGGCTCAGACTCTGCAACAAGCTCAATCCTTCCTCAATGGGCTGAGTACAGCTCGTCGTCGCGCAGAGTCTGTTGCAGCGACTCGCACCGATACAACGAATGACTCTTGGTGCAATATTGCCGCACATGACTCTAGACCAGCCTCGCCGCTTCCACATCTGCGACCTACAACGGTGTCCCAGGACGGCGAAGATCGCAGAAGGGGGCATAATTTCAAATCATCGGGCTTCGCATACACTCGACCTCTTACTCTGGCCCAGATCAAGTGCTACCGCGGCCACGCCAAGTTGCTGCTCAGTAGAAATAGGCACGCGCCTGTTGAATGCGCCGTATGCCACATCGATGACCAAGCCGAACACTTCAGCTGCAGTTGGTGCGCGCTGCGAATGTGCAAGTATTGCAGAAATGACTTGGCAGAGCGCGGCATCTGTGCTCTGAAGGAGAGGATTAAGATTGCCGAAATGGGCAACAGAGTCGACTCTGTTCACGGTAGCTCGGATGAGAGCTTACAGGACTTGGGGAAGGTCACGTCCAAATCTACGTGATCAGCATGATGCACGATCGACTCTACCAACAGTTGAACCGTCGGAGAGGACACTGTGAGACGACGCGCAGACTCCTGGACTGGGGCGTGAATAGCATTTTACCAAGTTGTAAAGCGCTGGCGTATACATATGTTACGTCTCCGAAAGCCTTCAAGTATCCACCCTGTTTAAACATCTCCAGTACGAGTCTCTCGTCTTGGCAGAGGTGAGTGAATGAACTCCCTTCGCGCCCCACTTCCGTTCTTGGCGTCTGACTTTGTCTGTAAGCCCGCCGAAATCACTTTTCCGAGGCGAAGCAATCATGCACTGCTACTGCATTCGGCCACCTCAATACAACGACAGCCCACAGATGGGAGCGGCGGGGAACCAGGGAGCATGTAGCTTGAGTGTGCTCACTGATGAACGTCAGTGACGCCAACTACTTCATATCCTGGCAATGCATGTAGGCACTTCTGCCAGTTGATTGAGTTTAGATTTGCGCCGGCTTGTGTCAGTTTCTTTCAGGTCGGTCCAACGTTCGAAGCAGCCTCAAGCTATAGAGCGAGGAGACTTTGTGTACTATAGTTGCTCGTAAAGGAGTACTGTACACTCAACTAGTGTCTGTTCCGCGCATCACGGATGTTGTTGTTGTTGTTGTTGCTGTTGTAGCATTTAGTTGGAAGTTAGGACAATACATGTACCTACATGTACATACTCCGTCCTTCAGTCGTGATCGGGGTGGGGTAGCAGAAGAAGCCATCGCGAGTTTGGAGCGGAGGTGAAATACCTGGCACCAGCCAACCAGGTAGGATTACCGTGGACGGAAGGGAGCGGGCCGAGACGAGAGTCGAGCTACTGTGGAAGCCGAGTAGAGTGCACGCCCGCCTCAAGTCATTGCGCAACGCACCATTAGCAATCTACCTACTAGCAAAAGTCAATGCTCGCTGCACCTTTTTGGGAAAGTTGTAGTAGCTTGTAAGCAAGACATGGCTCCTCCCGCTGCTACCACCACAAGTCGACTGCCCCCGGCACCAGGACGAGCCGCCAGCGAAAGAGCACGCCCTCAGTCCATGTTCCAAGTGTCGACGGACGACATGAGACGCCTCCAGCAGATTGGGGCGGGCAAAATGGGCCCCGCCGATCGCGACAGGGACAGAGAGCAAGCAGGAGGTGAAGACACAACGAGGCAGTCCAAGCGCCGTAGCCTGCTTCCGCAGTCATTCATGCGCAAGATATCGAGCGACAGCAAGGAGGGGCCCATCAGAGCGGACACACTCAACAGTGGCAGTGACAGCGGCACGCAGTCCGAAGACAGAGCAGCGATGCCACCTCCGCCCAGGCCACGGCCGACATCCATGATGCGACCACCAAGCACCATTAGCGCTCGTAAGGAGCCTCCTGCACACTCTCGACTTCCCTCGAGGGACAGCGTGGTAGGACCGCCCAAGAGCAGTAGTTCCAACGCGAAGCCAGCGTCAGCGTCTGCAATGACGCTCGGCACTGGTCAGACGGGAATCAAGCGGGCAAACTCGACTAGACAGCCCCAATCGCCAGGTCCGCGGACCAGTAGTCAACAAGCACCCAACAATACTGGAACTGCAGATAGTGGCGGGTCAGCCACGGTCCAGAAGAGGTCACCCACCTCGACGGCCCAGAAGAGGTCATCAGCGGTCATGACGAAACCACTCGCTCTCAATACTGCCCTTCCCCCCAGCGCTCAGACACAACCTTCGCCAACATCTCCAACGAGATCCAATCAGAAGTCACGAATGCTTGCCCCTGCGAAGCCAGCATTCAATACGTACCAGCAGCACTACAGTCCAGCCAAATCAGCTTTACCAAAACCTGGAATACCGACTACTCGCCCAACATCAAAACCTGTCGCTGGCGCAGACGAGGCCAATATCATGAATTTCGATGTGGCGCTCGAGCAGATTGAACTTCTGCAGCTCTCCCTGATGCACCAAGTAGCTCTGCATACATTGAGATCATATGAAGCGAGCGCAAAACAGAAGCTGGGAAAGATGCACACTAAGCTCCAGAGTGACTACCAGTCTATTCGAGCTCAAGAGCAAAAGCATCGTCGATTAGCCAACCTCGACGCATTGGAGACATGGTGCCCCGACGCAGCGCTTCTTGCGGAACACCTGCAAACTCTCGGCCGCGTCGTTTCCGATCTCCGGACGCATACAGACCATACAAGTAGATACTCAGAGCTGGTGAAAGTCTTTGAAGAGTGGACCGTGGGCGCAGATTCTTTTATCATGACTAGAGCACCAGGAGCAATTTGCCCGGAGGCATTGCCAGAATCGTGGCGCTCACAGCATACCTCACTTGCCCTGAATCTGAGGTCGATACAGCGAGATATCAGCATGTTGCCTCCTCTACCTCCGGCTGACTCTTCTGCGGATCCCTCTAGCCTGCATGTAATGATGGAAAGCTGTTCTTCACTAGTCGATACCATGGTCCGGGAGCTGGAAATGATGAGTAAAATACACAAAGAAGTTCTTCGGCAGAGCAAAGATCGAATAGACCAACAGATCAGCGTCCTGGTGTCAACTGCTGCAAGACAAGGTCCAGACAAAGAAAATTGGTCGCCAACCTGGCAGATATAGGAATAGCACTTGACGATGTACAACATCTTGCCCCGTGTACGCAGCCGACTCGGACTGCCGTACCAGATGTGAGATCTGGATTGATCCCGAGCAAGATGAGCGCAATACCCAGGACCTACATTCCTTGCAGTAATTCATCGTGGTGGCTTTTGACGCTCTCTACTGACATTGGAGCGCGATGGGCTGGAAAGCAGGCATTGGCTATGAGCTTGGGCGAGGGACAAGTCGGAATGCAGCAAACAGCAATGCTTGTATTGGAACTCCGGCTCAGCGTGAGCTTTAAGTCATTTATCATTTATGGCAACCGCCTGAGTCTATCATTCGTGCTCTTTTTTTTCCATCCCAAAAATCGCAATTTACAGAATTCATTCCAAGTGCGGTGACATGTTCGCAAGAAGAGAAAGTCCTGCTCTCCCTTACCACTGAATCGGCTCTCCAAACCGATCATAAAACTTCCCACTATCTTCCTTGCCCCATTTCTCAATCAACGGCACCAGCCCCCTCACGCTCTCTTCCGCACTAATCGCCCCTTCTTCCTTCCACTTCACCAACCTCGTCTCCACCCGACCAGGATGACACAATACAAACGTGACATCGGGCACATCCACCGCGAGCGATCTCACCAACATATTCTGCGCAGCTTTACTCGCCCGATACGCATAACTCGCCCCAGCTGCCGAATAGGGCATTTGGTTATTTCCTATACTCCCCATTCGCGAGCTCATGACAATGACTTTTCCTTTGGCGCGCTGGACATGTGGTAGTAGAGCGCGCAGTAGCAGGAATGTCCCTGCGGCGTTGATGGAAAATGTTTGTGTCAAGGTGGAGAGATTCATGATTTCTAGGGACTCGCATGCGGAGATTATCTTGCTGGTGGGCGTTTGTGCTGCTTCTTCTTCTGGTACTAGGCCTCGGACACCTGCGCAGTGGAGAATGAGATCGATGGGCTCGTGTTCATCTTCTTCTTCTTCTTCTTTTCCTTCTCTGAGGGCGGTTTGGAGGGATTTGATGGATGATTCATCGCTCACGTCTACTTTGTAGAATCGGACTTGTTTTGATGGAAGAAGATGAAGATTCGGGATGGGGTCTTTGTCGATTGCGATGATTTTGTTATTATTGTTTCCGGGCTGGTTGAGATATGCTTGGACGAATGCTGCGCCGAGACCACTGGCGGCGCCTGTTATTAGGATTGTGGGCATTGTGTTAAATGGGCTATGGAGAACATTGGAGGTAGATACGCCTTGTCTAAGGTATGTAGATAGGTTCTGTTGGCTTGGCGATTCTGACGACAGCCCGCTCTGCCGCGTTGGCATGTCTGTCCAGTCTTGCCAATGAGGACGACCTTTCACAGTGGACGGGAGTCTATGCACTTCATTCGAAACTCGACTTCCTCATGTTCTCGGAGCTCACAAGGGCCAGTCGTAAGTAGACTGCTCTTCTTCGCCAGTTATCCACTTGCGAATGTGTACAAGCAACACGGATATTCTACCGGTCGATACCGGGACGAATTTGCGCTTCGCCGGTTATACATAGGTCCTACCAGAGACTCTCTTCCGACTTCATACTGCTGTACCACGAGATACTGCATCTCTGCCTCGATAGACAGAGGCAAGATAGTCGAGCTATCAACTGCTCACACTTAGCAGACTGGAACTGCGTAACAGCCTTATAATGATTGTTATCGAGAGAAATCCTGCATTGTCACGCTCGAGTAAAAGACTCGGACTTCAGAGTAGAGCCGGTCTGTAACAAGATTTAGCAGAGTGTCCTGTCCTGCAGAAATACCCTTTTTCTAGCGTCCAGAGATGGAATCTGTATTAGGAGGTATTGTTATGTACTTATTGGGAACGCCCGCTGGCCTCTTCGCAATTCTATAGAGGGCCCTCCTCAGTACACGTATTGGGAAGCCAGGCAGTCAAAATCTGTACGAGAGTCAAGGGACAGGACGATCTGAAAGGACGATTCGGAATGACTAAGCACGTATGGTAGGCATCCGGATAACTAAGCTTCGGCGCGGATCAACGTAAGCTCCGGCTGAACATCACTTATATACATATATATTAACTACCTACGTAAAGCACTATTCAACACTATATAATCTACTACTTTATAGCCTACAAAGTGCGTTTAACAATCTCTAGTTCCGTTACTCTTAGTCTCGACTATACGGGGCCCGTTACTCTTAGTCTCGACTACAGGGGGCCCGTTATATAACTCTAAGTCGTTAGATTCACTATATATAATACCGCGGCCGCGGCCTCGGCCGTACGGCCGTCTACGTCTACGTCCGCGTCTACGGCTACGGCTACGTACTAGCTTAGTAGTATTAACCGCTACTAACTTATTACTTTCGGCTATCTATAGTGCGTCGGCTACAATAGTACGCTACTAAGCCGCGAATTCGGAGCGTAACGCGACGGTAGTAGCCTTCTTAGCTAATACTATATCTTTACTAGCTACCTCCGTACTCGTTATAAGCCTATTAGTCGTCTTATTGCCGCGCTTCGGCAACCGTAGCTATAGTAGATACTAAGACGGCTTTATAGGTACCGTAAATAGAATCGCTTCCGGTAGTAAACGGTCGCGTTAAGTAGTCTGTATACTAGTTAAGTAAACGGCTTCGAACGCTTCGAGCTTGTCTACGTAGGTATTATAGTCCGCGGCCTATAGTAATAGTAAGCAACTTAACTAGCGTAGTATAGAAGCCTATATACGATTATAACTGTCCGCGCGTTATAGTAATGCCTCCTATAGTCTATCTATCGCGGCGTTGTATTGATTCTGCTAGTTTAGTGTCTACTAGACGGCGTTACTAGCGTAAACGGAACGATTGCGTATAAAGTAACGAGGGTATAGTATACTATAAGCAATCGCCTTCCGTTCAATTACCGTAGGTAGTAGTATATAAGTATATAGTAGTCTGTATTGTTTAACTTTACTACAATCTATATAGTAATCGCGTATTGGATACGGCTCTACCGTTACTACCGAGCGCGTATAATTAGCCTTGTCTACTGTACGTTTAATGCCGAGAGCGTTATACTATAAAACTAGTAGCCTGTCGATTGTCTATATCGTTACTTAGCTATTAAGTTACGCGAAATAACCGAGATTATTAGCCGCTATAGCCTATAGGGGTAACCTAATATACGTGTTTTCTTCTAACCGTTCCAAATTATTAAATAGCTTATCTAGATACTGCTTAATACCTTTAACATACTGTTCTAGTAACAAGTACGGCGGTAGATACCCCTTTATACTACGATTGCCGCCTTCTGCGCGCTATAACGAGCGAGCCCTATTATTCGGTAAATGCTTAACATAATACGTTACTAGTCACTACTTAATAACGACGTAGGTATTACAGAAATATTCGGTATCCTCCGTAGTTAATCCGTCGAGAATAGCCGCCTCGAGTTTATCGGCGGCTTCGGCTATATCCGCTTGTAGCTACGGCTATATAAGCGCTTTTAATTCTATCTTCTGCTCGGTAGTATAGCCTAGTTTGCGAGCTCGAATACGTCTTAGCGCGTCGATTCGTACGGTCGATTCGTCGTTAGCAGCTATAATAGTAGCTTAGCGTACCTTACTGTCGGCGGCCTCGGTACGTACTACGTATACGGCACCCTTATTAATACGCTTATAAAGGTTTTGAGCCGCGTACTATTAACAGAATTGCTAAATATAGTACTGAAATAGTAACTCCGGAATAGCTGTAATAAGGCCGGCTCCGGTATCTAAGATAATTACTTTATTAAGTCGATAGTTACGTAGATAGTTATTGAATACGACAAGTAGTATAAACAGCTAATCCTCTTTACTCTCTAACTTTATTAGTAAATAATATATTGGAAATAACCGTCCGGTATTAGTAACTCCTATAAATACACCGAGTAATAGACCGGCACGATTAGTACTAAACGTAGCGTCTATCTAAAAGCTGTAATCTAGTACGAATCGCGTAGTAAAGCGCGCTATACGTTGCTGCTAGTAAACAAGCTGCTTAAGTAATGCCCGTATAGTACTACTAGTCTATAGATTAGTAGTAAACGACTAACGGCCTTTATATTCGAATCTAGAAGTAACGAGAATGCTAAGCAACGTATTAATAACGGTATCGGCGTCGCCGGAGCTACTGAACGTATTACTCTTAGCTAGGTTATAGTAACGTTTACGATTGAGTTAGAGTTCGTAAAGCAAGAGCTATCGGTATATAGTGCTGTATAATTCGTTTATAAGTCGATACTACGCAGCCTATACTACGGCTTTACCGAAGCTAGGTATACGTATCTTGTAGATAGCGTAAACGGACGGATTTGGCGCTAATTCGTATATATAGTCGAGTGAATTAACAATTAGCTACTACTATTTAACCGTCGTACCTTACCTTACTTATACGTAACCTAGTTAGTAGTTCTAACTATACCCCCGCTATCGTACGTTTCTCGCGTTACGGACGCGTAGAGTAAGTAATTCGTCGTCGCTATTACCTATATAATCGTCGAAACCGTCGTTGTTTCTAGTAATAGTTCTATAGTAAATATACTTATATATAGCTTAGTTAATATTACTAGACGTACAGACAACCGCAAATCCTTTACTAAACGCGTAATCCTATAGCCTAGCCTTATAATAGTCTGGATTTCGGAATATCTTACCGGTACGTAGATACTTATAATAGCGTAGATCTATAGTATCGATAAACTCGCGGACAGCCGGTATACGGCTCTCGGCAAGTAGTAAATACGGAATCTACGTCGGACGGGGCCGCGGTACCGGTAGTTCTACGTAGAAGATAGATAGTAAGTAAAACTTAACCTTCTTGCCGCTATATCCTTTGTCGACGGTTACTTCTATAGCGGCCGGCTCCGGCTGCTACTATAAGGCAGGGTGTTTAGGCAGTAATAACTTAGCGCCGGCGTTACCGGCGTTATCGTCGACTAAAGTATCGTCGATTGTAATAGTATTAGAGGTACGCTTGCCTTAGTATAGCTATATCCGTATACTAATCGGATCGTCCGGCGCGTCCGGCGTAGGTAACTTATTAAGTATACTAGTGTTATTCTACGCTAGATTGTAACTGTCCTCCTCTTAATTAGTAGATCGATTAGGGAATAGCTCTTCTAATATCTTAATATAGCGGAAGCCGCTCGGTAGTATTTCAAATAGTAAAGATAGATCTAGTAGCCGGAAGCTCGTATCGGTATCGTTATCGTCGACAAATAAGATGTTATTTAGGCCGTTCGGGTCGTTCGTAGCCGTCGTTTCGTAGTTCGTTATAGTACTTGTAAGCTAAGAGCCGTATCTCGTACGTTTGTAGGCCGAATCTAGTAATTTTCGTAGTATAGTGTTAGTATAAGTGTATAGAAGCAATTGGAGAGGTATATATATACGTATCGGTACGTCGAAGTAAAGATATTCAGTATTGTAGGTATTGTAGGTATCGTAGGAAAAGTCTATATAGCAAGTAAGGTTAACCGGAACTACGTTACTCCGCGCCGAGCTATGAGTCACATACTGCGCTGTGACTTATACGTACTTAGTCATCCGGATGCCCACCACACGTGCTTAGTCATTCCGAATCGTCCTTTGAGATCGTCCTGTCCCTTAACTCTCGCAAAATCTGTGAAGTTCAAGCTCGGACTCCGTTTCTAGGGCTAGACTGTTTTTCGGCAATACACTACCCTCGTGCGACGATATACCGTGAAGTAGTACGAGGTACCCTAAATAGAATATGCCTCGCTATACAGATCAGCGCGTTCTGGGACGATTTCTTGCTTAGTCGAGGAGGAATTCTGCTCCAAGTCCTCAAAAATTCATACGAAGCTGTATGGCCCGCCAAATCACTTCGTAACGGCAGTAGAGAGTCGCGAGCTGCATGAGTCTGCCGACGTCTTCTCTGTGGAAGGTCCAGCATATCGAGAATGCTGGACGAGGCGTGATTGCGAGCCGAGCAATCGCTCAGGGCACCGTGGTGCATGACAGCGGTCCACCGAGCGTACACGTCGTCTTCAAGCAGTACAGCAAGGAGACGTGTGCGCAGTGCTTCCTCTGGGATCGCGGCCGCGCTTTGCCGGTGCGCGATGCGGACATCGGCAAGGCCTTTTGCTCGACGCTCTGTAGGCAGTCATGGATACAGCAGCATGGAGATATTGGCGTCGAAGCGTGGCGGGTGTTGACAGCGTTCATGCGCAGCGGCAAAGGCAACGGCAAGATCAAGAGCGATGGAGGTGGTGTTGATGCGCGGATGAAGGGGGATGGCGACGGCGACGGTGACAAGAGCAGGCGGCCTTGTGCCGTTGACATTCGTGCAGCGTGGCAGAGCGCGGCGGCGGAGGCCAAGATGCTGCTCCGGAGCAGGACGACAGCGGCGAAAGGCGATATGACCAAGCAGGAACGCCAAGCGGTGCAAGCGATACTGCATAACACGCGGCAGACCAGGGATTATGAAAAGCTCAGCTATTTTCTCTGCGGCCTCCTATTCGACCATGCTGCTACAGCCGAAGCACGAGCCGGCTTGCTCAGCCTTGCCATGGACGACACCCCGTACAACACCCACCAGGAGCTCGAAGACAGCTGCATGGCTTTCCTCCAGCTCACGTCGATCATGCCGCTCAGTCTCGTGCCACACTTGACAGCCGACCTCTGTCTCAATCTTGTTCGAGCTGATAATCACAACGCCTTCGGTATTCGCGGTGGTGGCGAGGACAGCGAGGAGTATATGGGCTATGGCGTCTACCCGTCTGCCTCCTACTTCAACCACTCGTGCGACGCCAATATTCACAAGAAGCGCACGGGTAGATCCTGGACATTCCATGCGGCCCAAGACATCCAGCCTGGCGATGAATTGTGCATCACGTATCTCGGTGGCGATGAGAAAGACCTCAATCTTCCAGCTCGTCGTGGCAGGCTGGAAGAAGTCTGGGGCTTCGTCTGCCATTGTGCACGATGTAAGAAGGAGGTTGCATCTTGATTGCGATATCACATCGGAAGCTCCGAATCTGTAAGCGAGCTATGCAAGTTCAATGTCTTGTCTTCTCGGCTTCGGCAAGCCGCAAAACCTCTCTGCGGCATCATACCACCTTGAGGTGTTACACCACTCCGTTCGAATCGACCGCAAAGAGATGCCAAGACAATTGGTCTTGTCTACATGGGACGACTTGTAACCGAAGTACCAAGGTAACGTACCTAGGTAGTTCTTACAGTGTACTGTCAGTAGCCTCATCTTGGCGAGACCACCAGCCCGAATCTTCCGGAGCATCTGAAAAAACTCCTCAATTGTATTTCTTGCTCGTCTTGCAGTGCCTCATCCTTCTTGACAAGTACCAATTGGAAGAGGAGGGACGAATCCATTGCAACGATGTTAGCGGCTCTCAATACAACAAACATCGTGGCTGCGTTGGCTGGGACATATGCGTTGGTCAATACCAGCTCGTAAAACTCACACCTATTCCTCAAGAGTCTGTGGTGGCAACTAATCTGTCTACAGAACCCTCAACGGCGTTCCAGTCCCAGACCGTGCCTATGGAGAGAATCCGATTGGTCTCTTGACATACACGAGCTCTGGCTTCATGAGCGCAACCATCGCAGCAAGTGAGCGTAGCAGTTCATACATCACGACTGTCATCCACTAATATATATATCTCACAGCCGAGGAAGAACTTCGTCCTGCAAACTTGACGTTTCCCTACAACGAGTCGGATCCCGTTGAAGACTGGGCGCTCGTGGGAAAACATACTCTGGCATATGCTGGACCGTGGAGCATCTCGCCCGACATTCCAGCTTCCAACACCTCAGGCCGATTGATTCATGGCCCTCTGTGGGTTGCAAATGTACCGTCTTGGGTCGACAGTCAACAACGCCGGAACTATACCGTTTTCACAAGCACCTCCGGCGATGGATTCCCGGCGGGAACGAAGCTGTTGAGGATTGATTCCCGCAGAGACGGCGGTAACGCGGGTGTGTTGTGGTGGAGGAGCGTTGAGTAAGGTAGATTAGGGAATATGAATTGGCATTAGTGAAAGTGGCGAAAGTCCGAGGCCGGACTGGGGAGAGAGAGATAAGGTCGTTCTAACGAACATTGAGGGCGAGGGTTCCTACCTGTATATGCTCTGTATCAATTCAGAACCAGAACTTGCCGAGATGTCACCACCTGACTGAAATGCTACTGCCTTACGACTTGCCTTCCATAAGTTCTTTCCAGGGTTGTTTGATTCTGCCAGCTGATGCAGAACCGGGCTGTGCCCTTTCGCATGCAGTTCTTACCCCTGGATGATACGCTGCTGTCACGCTGATTGTACACTCACGTTCCACGTTCTCTTCTGTATGACGGCTAGGTTGCTAATTTGTTGATTACTCCGTGACCTGCACGATGCATCGCCACGGACGGCAGTCCACATGACCTAGGGACTTTCACGCCGTGAAAAAGTCTCCAGTGCAAGCGGGGAAACAATACAACCCAATCGCGTTATGAACAGAAGGTCGGTCGGCTGATCTACTAGTAGGTACAGCTCGCACTCCGATCTGGGGACCCGAAGTATTCCCGTGTTATTCATCATATACGATCAAAATCCGCCATGACTCATCCACATCCCAGCTGTCACGGTTCAATCGTGAAAAGTCTCGTTCCGAGATATCCCGGCTGGCACAATTGGCTAGCGCGTGAGACTTTTAAGAACCTTCGGGTGTTAAGAGAGATCTCAAGGTTGAGAGTTCGGTAAGGATCAATCCACTGCTGATTCACATATATCAATTTCTAACGTGTGTACAGAGCCTCTCGTCGGGAGTTAAGCCAGATCATTCTGAGTACAGCATTTCTTTTGCATAATTTTGCATCGGAGATTTTGTTTGTACAAGATACAGATAGAGACGATATTTTGACCACTTGCTTTGCCTGAAGGAAATCTTTTTGGGGAAATTTCGGCTTCTCGTCTACTGATTTTCGTGGTCCTATTCCGCTCTATGTATACTCCAGGCCTACCAACGCTTGTCGTTCCGAGATGTGAACACGTCTTTGAGATGCGATAGCCTCTACTGATCATACCGACAGGAGATACATGTCTACAGGTAATGAGGTATGTAGAGGTAGGACAGGGACCGATATGTCAGTAGTAGAGCGCGTGTCTAGCGCGTCGCACTGTGACATCACCATCTTCCATTCACGATTCTGCAGTGAACCAAGGCTTCATGCTTGTCACCACTGCACTCACCAGAATGGGATAATAGACCATGGGAGTGACGGGCCTGTGGCAGATACTGCAGCCATGCGCTCGGCCCATCAAGATCGAAACTCTCAACCGTAAACGTCTGGCCGTCGATGCGTCCATCTGGATCTACCAGTTCCTCAAAGCTGTCCGCGATAAAGAAGGCAATGCACTGCGCAACTCGCACGTGGTGGGCTTCTTCCGCCGCATCTGCAAGCTGCTCTTCTTCGGCATCAAGCCGGTCTTTGTCTTCGATGGAGGCGCACCAGCGCTGAAGCGCCAGACGATCCGCGCCCGAAAGAGTCGACGGGAGGGTCGCAGAGAGGATGCCGTGCGGACAGCGGGAAAGCTGCTGGCGGTGCAGATGCAGCGAGCTGCGGAAGAGGAAGACGAGCGAAGGAAGCGCCAAGAGCAGCAGCAGCGAGGCTCTGCACGAGATAACAATGGCGAGGAAGAAGTGCCCGACGAAGGGCTGGTGTACGTCGACGAGCTGAATATGTCAGCCCAAGAGAGACAGCAGAACCGGAAGTTTCGCAAGAAGGATGCGTATCATTTGCCTGACCTGGACGTGAGTATGAGTGAAATGGGCGGTCCGAACGATCCTCGTGTGATGTCGCTGGAAGACCTGCAAGCATATGCAGCACAATTCAATACTGGAGAGGAGCTGTCCGTGTACGACTTCAGCAAAATTGACTATGACAGCGCTTTCTTCATGAGTCTGCCGCCCTCGGATAGGTACAATATCTTGAATGCGGCCAGATTAAGGAGTCGACTGAGAATGGGACACTCCAAGGAACAGCTGGATGTCATGTTTCCCGATCGCATGGCTTTCAGCAAGTTCCAGATTGAGCGGGTGGCAGAGAGGAACGACTTAACGCAGCGGCTGATGCACTTAAATGAGAGCGGTGGCGCCGAGTATGGTGGAAACCGTATCGCGGGTGAGAAGGGGCGCGAATATGTCCTCATCAAGAACGATGGCGTGGAAGGCGGATGGGCGTTGGGTGTAATTGACGATGAAGGGAAGCAAGAGAAGCCGATCGATCTTGATGCTCCTGGTCCCACCAAGACAGAGGACGAGGAGTGGGAAGACGAAGTCGATTTCGAAGACGTGCCTGTAGAAGGGCTAAACAGACTACCGAGGCAGAAAACAGGAACAGAGGGAGCACTGGACGCGTTGCAAGAACAAAGGAGAGAACTGTACAAGTCTAGAGGAGCTCGCGAGAGAGCGATGGGCGATACCTTTAGACGACCGACACAGCGCAAGCCGAAGAAGAAAGCTGCCAAGCGAGACGAAAACTCACTCTTTGTGCAGAGCAGTGATGAGGAAGTGGTCGAGGACGAGTGGGAAGAAAATGCGACCGACAAGAAACCTGTCGGAAGCGACGAGCAATATTCAGATGACGAGGACCTGCGTCGAGCCATTGCATTATCCATGCAGAAAGACGGCAGCGGCAGCGACCAAGCTGGGAGTGGTCCAGAAGACGATGATATGCTCGAAGATTTCCAGCAGTCTGCCACGGAGGAAGCACGTCCTGTTCCTAGAGGTAGCGCGCGAGACATTGCGCACATTCTCAACAAGCGTGCACAACACGCTGCACCAGATAGTCGCGAAATCACTTCCTTTGGCGTTCCGACACAAAAGCCCGATAGCAGTGACGATGAGGATATGATGGACTTGCAAGCCGCGCTCGCCGAAAGTCGAAGATCCAAGCGGAAGACAACTCCGCCCCGCCGCCGGGCTCCAGCAGAAAACTCCGCGAAAGAAGTTGCCAAAAAAGCTGGTTTCAATGGCCCTCTGCCCTTTGAAAAGCTTGATCTGGGCACTTCTCTGCTGGGGAAGAAGAAAATGCAACAGCGAACGGAAGAGGCAGCCGGCGGGTTCGAGAACCCAGCCCTGAGCGAGAAAGCTAAGAAAGCCGAGCCCCTGCCGCCGTGGTTCTCTGGAGACGTCGAAAAGGATTTTCGTGCCCAAAAAGCAATCGAAGCAGGCGATAGACAGAAGGCGAGGGAGTACGACCAGCAATTCAAATTTCACGATCGCGGGGCCACGCTGAAGCGTGGACGGCCGAATGAAATCATCGATCTTGAAGCGGAAGACGAGATGCCGTTGCAGAAAGAGGGGGAGGTCATTGATCTCGATGCAGAAGGTTCCTGTATTTCGACTCCTGCTGGCAGCCAGTCGGTTTTGGGTGGTGAGACCGGTGAGTCTCGCGCCGGACCAGTACTGCTGGATAAGGAAATCTTGGAGAATGATACTGCTGTCGCCACCAGATATATGACCGGCATGGAAACGGCGAATGAACAGACCGCCAGACCGGCATCAACAGATCATCTTTCTGAAGAACCAAATGCCGAGCTTGAAACAAGACTGGCGGTCAAGAATAGTGTAGATACAGCTCAAGATCGGGACACAAAATATAGCACAGGGGAAGCCGTGACGTCCACGCCACCAAAGGTTCCTCTCACAGACGACGTCTTCGACACTGAGATCGAGCCATCCCCGGCACTCGAAATAGTCTCGGGCCGAGAAAGGCCTAAGGATTCTCTGAATGCCAGTGGGGCTACTGAACCCGCCAGAAATGCGACCAGAGGAGAGAACTCTGACGAAGAAATGCTTGAGTGGAGCGAAAGCGATGGTGAAGACACGGCCCCACATACTGTGAGCAACTCAACAAAGCAACAGGGCACAAGTGCAAAATCGCCACAGGAGATGCAGGCGGCAGAGCAAGATGCGAGATCTCCTTCCGTCGAGTTCGAAGATGTGGAAATGAACCAAGCTGCCACGACGACTACTGGCCTGACAGCCAACGACTTCGGAGACATTGGCATTCCGGAAATGACAAATTTTGACGACCTACCAGCTGAGAATGAAGAGACCGACGAAGCACAGCCCGCTTCTATGCGTCAACCGATCTCCGAGGGCGACGAGGAATTTGACGACTTCTCTGACCCGGAAGACGCCGAGATGCTGCGTAACCTCACCATCGAAGCCGAAGAACATGCTCGATTCGCCAGTACCCTCAACAACAAATCACAGGCTCAAAATGTCGCCGAGTACGAGCGGGAGCTGAAACAACTTCGCAACCAACAAAAGAAAGATCGTCGAGATGCAGATGAAGTCACACAGACGATGATTCAAGAGTGTCAAGCTCTGCTTCGCCTCTTCGGCCTTCCCTACGTGACAGCACCAATGGAAGCCGAAGCACAGTGCGCCGAGCTCGTGCATCTCGGTCTTGTCGATGGTATTGTGACTGACGATTCGGATTGTTTTCTCTTCGGGGGCACCCGCATCTACAAGAACATGTTCAATCAAGCTAAATTTGTCGAGTGCTATCTGACATCTGACCTCGAAAAGGAGTTTGGACTCACACGCCAGAAACTCATCGCGGTAGCGAACCTGCTGGGGAGTGATTATACTGAAGGTGTCCCAGGAGTGGGACCTGTGACTGCTTTGGAGATCATCAGTGAGTTTCCGGATTTGGAGGAGTTCAAGGAATGGTGGACCGCTGTGCAGATGAATGAGAGACCCAAGTCCGAAGACGCGGGCAATTCCTTCCGAAAGAAGTTTCGACGGAATGCATCTAAACTGTTCTTGCCACACGGCTTTCCTGACAAACGAGTCGAGATGGCATACTTGGAACCCGAAGTCGATGCCGATTCACAGGCATTCCAATGGGGCGTGCCGGACCTGGACAAGCTGAGATCCTTCTTGATGGCGACCATTGGCTGGACGCAGGAAAGGACCGACGAGGTTCTCGTTCCTGTGATCAAGGACATGAACCGCAGACTTGATGAGGGCACGCAAGCCAATATTACTGCATTTTTCGAGGGAGGCGTGGGGATTGGTGCTGCAGGAACCAACAGTAGAGGCGAAGCTTTTGCGCCTCGAAAGAGAGTCGATCCCAGCAAAAGGATGGGCACTGCATTGACGAAAATGGCCGAGAAGGCGAAAGGAAAGAGGAGTGGCGCGGTGCAAGCCAGCGAAGTGGAAGATGGCGATGCGGAGACAGAACAAGCGGGAACTTCTGATATGAGCACAGCGACGGCAAAGAGGCGCAAGACTGCTGCGTCTACGCGACCAAGTACTGGGAGCGATGAGGATGGGAGCGACTTCAATGGGCCTGTCAAGAAACGAGGCACACGAAAAGCTCCTGTGAAGCGAGTGGGGAGAAGAAAGGCGACGACGTGAGTATATGTAGTGATATAGTGATATATCGGACGATTACCTTGGCATTTCCAAAGTGGATAAAGACAGAGCGCGTAAAGACCTTACCTTATGTAAACAGACACGCGTGGACGCGTCTCCCCCGCGATGGCCGCCTTGGTTGCCGTCGCAACAGGCGATCCTGGACAGGGCCGCGTGACGCACGAACTGCATCAGCCTTTCCCACTGCCAGTACTTTCCAGTTATCTACAGTAACGAACGACATTATTTTATTCACTTACAGTCCTGCTATTCATGCCCACTGCTGCACCTCACGTCCTGGAGCCACCACGACGACAGCGTGCACCGCGCTTCAAGCCGCTCAACACGCTCCAATCGTCTCGCACGCCGGAATTCGCACGCTGCTCTCCACACCTTACTGGCCCGCTGGACGGCTTGCTAGACACCCCGCATATACACGAAAGTGGTAGTGATATGGTCCGCGAGCGCAGTCCCAGTCGGACATCATCCGGCCACTACCTATTGCCTCAGAAGCACGATCGACAGCCTTTGGCCAAGTGAGAATCGCCGCAAGAGCTCTGTGTCTGCACAATCCTAATCTCGGTGCGCAGTACATCCGCTAAGATGCAGTCGCCCGGACCAAATAGACGCCCCGATGATGAACGGCTTGCGAAGCCTGGGATAGACAGCCCGGAGTTTGGCAAGGCGAGTCCCCTGAGAAATCCGCTGAAGAAAGCGGCGCCGAGTGTGTTCGTGCCCAAGAGCCGACCTGCGCCGACCCGCACAACGAATACTGGGAATCGCATGCCCAGCGGTGCAGGTGGTGCTGCTGCTGCCCACCAAAGCACGTCAAGCACCAGCGAATTTCAGCATCGGAGCCTATCAGGATCCACGACCGTCCCAATACCCACCAATAATCCGTTGCGAACGATTCCTCCAGCACCACGCCCGACGTTCTCTGCTGCCGTCGCAAGCGTCAATCCATACCAAACATATGTCCCGCCACGCCAGGTGATCGATTTGACACGGCCACAGCCACGGGCCCCCTCCCAGCGAATCGAATTGTCGGATAGTGACTCTGACTCTGACGATCGATTTGACCCAGATGCACAAATTCGAGCCAATGCAGGACAGTTTGGCGCCCCTGATCCATACATGTATCTCGATTCTAATACGGCCAACGAGGATATGAAGAAGCTTCTGGAAGCTGCATTCGATGACGACAGTGAGAAGGGCAAGACGCGATTGCGATCGCGGGTCAAGAAGGTGGTTCAGCAGCGAAACGACAGCAGTCAGACTAAGAGCTTGGTGGACAAACTCGCTGCACTGGATGTAAAGGACGTCAAGACTTCGGAGCAGGAGGAAGACGAGGACGAAGAGGAAGATGGCACTGTGGACGGTCTGACGGTGAAGCTACTGCCACATCAGGTCGAGGGCGTCTCTTGGATGATTGACAAAGAGATTGGCAAGACCAAGACGAGAGGTGTACTGCCCAAGGGGGGCATTTTGGCAGATGACATGGGTCTTGGTAAGACAGTGCAATCGCTGACGCTGATCCTAACGAACCCTCGGCCAGCGCTGGACGCGAAGCCAGAACACAAAGGGCAGAAGCTGCCCAGTAAGGAGGTCGGCCATGCCACGTTAGTAGTGGCGCCTTTGGCTCTGATCAAGCAGTGGGAGGGAGAGCTCAAGAGCAAGGTTCACAGGAGTCACGCCCTGAGGGTTCTGGTCCACCATGGTCCTAGTCGCGCAAAGAACAGTGCAGAACTGAAAAAGTATGACGTGGTGATCACAACTTACCAGACGCTCACTTCGGAGCATGCGGGATCAGACATGACGAAGGAGAATGGAAGACGAGTGGGCTGCTTTGGCGTGCACTGGTATCGTCTGATGCTTGATGAGGCGCACAGCATCAAGAATCGGAGTGCCAAATCAACTCAGGCATGCTGCGCCTTGAATGCGTGGTATAGATGGTGCCTGACTGGCACCCCGATGCAGAATAATCTGGACGAGCTGCAATCACTCATCAAGTTCCTGCGCATCAAGCCATACTGCGAATTGCCAAAATGGAAAGAATCCATCACTCAGCCCATGAAGAATGGTCGAGGCGGACTTGCGATGCAGAGGCTCAATGTCTTTCTCAAGGCTTTCATGAAGCGTCGCACCAAGGACATTCTGAAGAAAGACGGGGCACTAAATTTTGGTGGCAAGTCGAACGAAGAGGGGGGCGCAACCAATGGCGGCATGCAAATTGTGAAGCGTGAGGTTCTGACGGTGCAGTGCGACTTCGACCCTGTGGAAAAGCAGTATTATGACCGCTTGCAGGCTCGCGCCGATAAGCGTTTGGAACAAATGGAAAGGTCAGGCCAGAATGACTACATTGGTGCTCTCGTCCTGCTGTTGCGGTTGCGGCAGATGTGCGACCATCCACAGCTGATCGAGCGGGCCATGTACAAAGACAAGGATGCAATCACCACGGGAATGCCAGCAGCTTCGAAAGCAAAAGATGGCGGAGATGCAATGGACGCTCTGACGGCACTGATGGGAGGTGTCACCGTGGAGGCAAAGAATTGCGATGTCTGTCAGATTAAGCTGTCTGCTTCAGAGGCACGAGAAGGTGCTGTCCGGTGTGGCGAGTGTGAGGGCGACCTGTTGGCCTTGAAAGAAGCTCAAGATGGCAAGAAACCGAAGCAGTCAAATGGCAAGCGCGTGAAGAAGCCGACTAAGGCCGCGGAAGACGTCGAGCACCAGCCACGGCGGGCTCGAAACCGCAAAGTGATCGTCGATAGCGATGATGAGGACGAGCCAGGAGAGTGGATCGGCGAAGGTCCTGAGCGAAAGATCGATCTCGGCTCAGATGACGAGGACGCTGATGGGGGCGGAGAGTCATTGAACACACTCGACTCGGAGCGCAGTGAGGATGATGATAGTGAAATTGAGGACTCTCCGTCACGCGCTCGCAAGTTGAAGGTAGTAAATTCGGACGATGAAACAGAGGAGTCGATTGCAGATGGAGACGAAGAAGACGACGACACCGACGTGAGCAGCGAGGAAGAAGACAATGATTCGGACTCGGATCAGAGTGGTGTCCTTGAAGGTATGGGCAGCATGGGCCGGTCGGAACATGCGCCTTCGACCAAGATTCGCCAGCTGCTCCGCATTCTGCACACGGAAAGTCCCAACCACAAGACAATTGTCTTCTCGCAATTCACGACCATGCTTGACCTCATCGAACCGCATCTCGAACACGCTGGCATACGATTCGTTCGCTATGACGGAAGCATGCGACCAGATGCTCGTGAACAATCGCTCAAGTCGCTTCGCAACGACAAGAGAACGCGAGTGTTGCTCTGCTCGCTCAAGTGCGGGTCACTTGGACTCAACCTGACAGTAGCGTCCCGGGTAGTGATTGTCGAGCCATTCTGGAATCCTTTCGTGGAGGAGCAAGCCATCGACCGTGTGCACCGGCTCAACCAGACTGTGGACGTCAAAGTCTTCCGGCTCACCATCCGTGATAGCGTGGAGGAGAGGATCCTGGAATTGCAGGAGAAGAAGAGGGAGCTTGCCAGTGCCGCTATAGAAGGCGGTAAGGGCATGGGCAACCTCAGCATGAAGGACATTCTGGGTTTGTTCAAGCATGATGCTGAGACCGACGAACATGCAAACGACCGAGAGTATTGGGCCAAGTTTGGCGGCGAAGAGACATTATTGAATAGGCCCAACAACAGTAGCAATAGCACCACGACATGGGAACGAGCGGACCGGCTAGTAGCAAAGGCGCCGGTACGGAAGAGAGTGCAGGAGAGTGAATTGTATGGCAGGAGATGGTGACCGGCGAAACGATAATCATTGATATATGATAGACTTTGTACCTTCTTGTGAACCATGTTGCTGGGACTCTGGGGTTCCAGGTCCCATCGGAGCTCCGGTAGAATTATTCTCCTTCGACTTTTGCTTTATTGGACATCCACAAAAAAAGTTGCTGCCTTTCTTTCTACCACAACTTCCTGCAGCCCTGACGCCCATTTTCCGATCATGGCTCCCAACAGAGGACACAATCGTGCCGCCGAATTTGATGAATTCTTGCAGACGGGCGCAAAAGGTACTGCCTACCTTCTCCGCGCGCGACACGACGCAACGCCGCCTGAGTGCTAAAACCCTCTCGCAGATTTTGATCCGGAAGAAGATAACTACCACTTCTCCGACGACAGTGACGGTCCCTCTGCATCTGACGCTGCGGACAATGAAGATGCCGGCCGCGAACACTATGCGAGTGTGGGAAAGAGCAGTCTGCGCCGGCCCAAGGAGGTGGCTTTGGGCCCGCAGTATCGAGGTGCTCGAGTGACGAGGGCGCATCTGGAGGCTGATAGCGAGGATGACGAGGATGAGGACGACGACGACGACGACGAAGTGGACAGTAAAGAGGACGAAGATGAGGACGGCGAGCAAGATACCGACGAGACGGACGTGAGCGATGGAGAAGCGGCCGCTGAGGATGCTGGCGCAGCAATGAAGGAACTTGCAGCAGCCCGACGGGATGAGCAACGAAAAGCCATATCAACCACACTGTCCGAAGCTGGCAAGCTTGATGCCGAGAAGGGTCGAGCGGTCAAGAAGCAACGGGCAACGTTCGATGCACAACTGAACGCCCGAATGAAGCTGCAGAAAGCTCTCGTGGCAACAAACACGCTGGTCGGGATTCCAGCGCAGCAGCTGGAAACGGAGAAGAAAGATGCGCATGATGCGCTCAACGCAGCTGAGACTGCTGCCTTGAACCTGTGGAATACCCTTACCACATTCCGAGAGCATCTGACCGCTGCGAAGACGGGCACCAAACGCAAGCGCACCTCGCACACAGCCGACACACCCACCGAGCATCTCTGGTCGCACTTCCAGACCCAGGAAGCTGAAAGCCGCCCGATTCGTGACACCGTGCTGAAAAAGTGGTCACACAAGACGCAAAGCCAAATTGCCCAGACCACCCATGCCGGTCGACTCCAACAACACACGACACCAACCAGCGTCGTCGATGTCATCCAACAACAACTCTCCGACCCAACCCGTCTCCTCCAACGCGCACACGCCCCACGATCATGCGCCCCGCTTCAAGCCTCGCAAAGAATTCCCCTGGACGACAAAATCTACGACGACGCCGATTTCTACGGCCTGCTCCTCAAAGAACTCTTGGAACAAAAATCCGCAGACTCGGTCGCCGCGTCGGCGGCCATCGATGTCGGATATCAGATGCGCAGGGAGAATCGCACCAAGAAACATGTCGATACGAAAGCGAGCAAGGGTCGCAAGTTGAGATATACGGTGCATGAGAAGTTGCAAAATTACATGGCTCCCGAAGAGAATCCCAGAGCTGGTGGTGGTGGTAGTGTATGGGGACAGAGACAGGCGGATGAATTGTTTTCGAGTCTGTTTGGCCAACGAGTGGCGCTGTTTGAGCAGGATGAAGAGGAGGAGGGTCTTCATGATGAGGATAACGAGGTGGTGGATGATGGCGTGATGCTGTTTGGCAGGTGATTCTGTTTTCCCTATGCTGTTTGGCAGGTGATTCTTTTTTCCCTACCTAGACAAAGGCATGAATGATCCATACATAACTGCTCGAGCCAAGATCGGATTTCACTATACATCAGCAGACTAAAAGAAAACTGTTGGGTTCTGATAGATGAGGATGAGGAGCAAAACTCCCAAGGTGAGAGATACGCGAGTTAGATAGATCTGTCTGTTTGTCTTGTCTGTCTGCCTGGAGCATTACCATTATCCTTTCCTTTCTTCCTTCATTGCGAGCATCCCATGACGAGAACAGAACAAACATTGATTGACCTTCACGCGTTCCGATCGCTTCTCGAAAGAGGTTTGATTCCAAATTCAGATTGCGCTCAAATTTCATTGCAATTCACCATCGCGCACATGTGGTATATTCTTGATCACGTGCAAAACTCAGCTGTTGACCAGGGCCATTTTAGGTATCCAATATCACCATGGACACGGCTCTCTATGCCATGTTTCTTCTTTTGGTGTTCTCTTCTTCGTTGTGTTGTTGATGCGCTTCATTATTCCATTCCATACACTCATATCTCTTCATGATCAGTGCCTGGCCGCGTAGGGGCTCAGCCCTTCATCGTACAAAATGACATTGACATCAACTCTTCCGCACTTGGTCTCTTTTCATGCTCAAGTTCGAACGTCCGAGCCAAGAATTCTCTGGCGGCCTCGCTGGCGTCTTCGGGCAGGTCGGGCTTGGCGTTATCTGCATTGCTGCCGCTTGCGCCAATCTTGAAAATGGCCTGGAGTTGTGTACAGTTGGGATGTGGGTGACTGCCCGTCATCATCTCGACTATCAGGCAGCCGAGAGACCAGATGTCGGCTTTCTTGGTGTACGCAGTTTGACGCACGACTTCGGGTGCCATCCAGAACACGGAACCTTGAAGCGAAACTCGTGGTCCTCCGCGCTTATGTGGACCTGGATTGAGAAGTGTCGATGCCTCTACACGCTTACTAATACCAAAGTCAGAAATCTTGACTGTGCCCTTGTTATCCACCAAGATGTTTGCGCCTTTGATGTCTCTGTGGATGATATCCTTGGAATGCAAGTAATTCAGGCCTTGCAGGATCTGCCTCACGAAATTTGATACGAGGCCCTCTGGAAGGGACCCGTAATTCGTAAGCATAGTTGCCACTGACCCACCAGCGACATACTCGAGGAAAATGTTGAGATGAGTCTCGTCGCTGTTAGATCCGAGATACCGCACAATATTTTCGTGCTTCAAGTCCTTGAGGAGAGTGATTTCGTGCTTGAGGGCTTCAATCATGTTGTTCTTCTTGGCGTCCATGGTGCTGCCCGCTTTGCTAGGCATCTCGACTTGCTTGACCGCCATCAGTTCCGCAGTGACGGCATGCAGAGCAAGAAATACGGTTCCAAAAGATCCCTGGCCAATCATCGCGCCCTTGAGGTATTTGAGGTCGTCCCAACTGTCACTTTCCAGATGTGCAATGAGTTCTTCATCTGGCTCTTCGCCATCCTCGGCGATATATCTTGACAGCCGGGAATTGAAACTGTCGGTACCACCTTCCGTCGCGGCTGGGCTGCTGCCAGACTCGTCAAAGTACGATGTGACTGTATTGCCTTCAGGGTCAGTCACTGCAAGATTACTCGTCGTGGTGTCTGACCCACTGTCTCCGTTGAACGATATGTAGCTCTTCCTGTTCGGTTCTAGCGGCGATTCCTCGTCGAGCGGCGCCAGGACACTACTAGCTACAGATTCACGATGTGAGTCTGACCTTCCGAGGCGTACTACGCTCAACGGACGAAGACCGTTCTTCTGCGCTAGCCCCGCCTCCTTCAACCACGTGTCAGCAATGGTGGGAAGGGGCGGCGCATCCTTGAGACTGCTGGCGATACTGAAGTTACTCGCAGTGCTTAACGTTCTCAGAGCGCGACTCATTCTTTTACTCCTCCGTATCGACATTCGTACAGTGCGGTCCATGGCTTCTCTGTCCACTTCGGGGAAGTAGGACTGTAGGTCTTGCGTAATCAACTCGGTGGGCGGCCTGGCTCCATAGAAGTCTTTGAGCTTTCTCGCACGAGCCGACGCGGTGGACATTGTGCTTTGATTGCGTTTGATTGCCGAGCCTGATCCAGAATCGCTATTGGTCGCAAAGTAGTCATTGCGCTCGGCCTGGCTGGCAGGACTCATGGGATAAGTGACTGCTGCCAGAGGCTCTCCCGTCAGCTTCTCGAGCTTCAGGTGACTCTTCGATTTGAAGGGCGTTTGCACTTCGATGGCCGGAGGTTCGGGATGCTGCTGCTCTGCTATTCGCGCTGCATGCCGTAGTTGTTCTCCATTCGGCTCGCCAGCATGAATCTTTCGCAGTATCAGTCTACCGCGCTCCGTGCGCACTCCATCGTTACACAATTTGCACAACTCAGCCTCTCCCAGCCTGCGGCAGAATTCCGGTTTGGGATCTGTGCCATCGAGCACGTAAAAGCAATATGATCTAAAGTGGTTTTCGTTCAGGTTGCCTTTGCGGAGCGTGGCTCGAATGATATCTTCGGCGGTGCGAAATGTTTTGATGTCAATGACTTTGCCTTGGCCGCTCTCAAAGATGACACGAATATAAGGCTTTTCACTGGGTAACGATCGGGGTTGCAGAGTATCGAGTGAAGGCGATGCTCTGACGTGAGATTGAAATCGTGCCGTTTGTGGCGTCTCAAGTGGTGTACGTGTGGGAGCTGTGTAATGGCGGGCGGGGAGAGGTGCTTGGCTGTTGGCATATGACGGCCCAGCGTCTTTGCGAGCATTTTCCATGGGACTGGGAGCGCCATTGCGCCTAGCCCGGTTTTCCTGGTCAACCAATGGCGAGTTCGGGCGGGATGAGGACTTGCCCAGATGGGCGGCATATGCCATGTCAGCACTATTGAATTGTCGTGATATCCGTTTGTCTGCTCGTGATGTTGTTCCCGATCGAGCCGAGAGGAGAGGCCTGGGCGATGCAGATGAAGGGGGTGTCAGCTGCTGATTACCGTCTAGAGCGGCGAGAGAGTGCTATACCCCATGTTAGCCTCGTCGTGTCCGACGCACATGCAGTTCCCACATGCTTCTTACCCTGTTCATGTTACGCTTGCTGGTTCGCTTGTACACATTACTCCGAAAAAGCTTGGCATGGGCATTGATGCGAACGCGATCTCCAATCTTCTTGATGCCCATCTCCTTGAGAGTGGCCTGGTCCAAGTCCATGAGGTTTTCGCCAGTGATGTTGTTCTTGCGAAACGTGTCCACATACTGCGCGCAATTGATGCTCTTCAGCCATTCGCCCACACGCTCCTCGTCCCAGTGTATAACGGAGCCGGCAGCGTCCTTGTACGATTCGGAGAACTCGGACTCGGTAGGCGAGGTGAAGACGCCATGGCCATTGAGCTGGGCACGGTACTGGGAGGGGGCCATGGTGCTGGTGAGTGATGGTGCCGGGTAGGGCGATCGTGAGGCCAGTGCCGTCATAATGAGAAGGTATCGAGCAAGCAAGCAAGCAGGCAGGCAGGCAAGCAAGCAGGTAGGCAAGCTTGCAAGCGAGCAGCCTGTACTCCCGCGCAGTGGACAATGAGCGCGTGTGGCGACCTGACTGCTTGTGTCACAAAGAAGGTCGATGCTGTGGAAGACGAGGCGTTCAGGTGGGTGCAGGTAGGCAGGCAGGTAGGTAGGTAGGTAGGTAGATTCAAGGTCGCATCGTTGTCGCTCGATCGTGTCGGCCGTGAAGGTATGTCATGGGCCGTGGCCAGCGCGGCACGGTTGGGAAAGGAAGGGTATAGGATCGAGCGTGGTGGGTGGTGGAAGCGCGAGGAAGGTAGGTATCGTCGTTCGTAGCCGGAACCAGAGGCAGTACCAGTACCAGTACCAGTACCAGTGCCTGTGCCTGTGTCTTTGGTACGGAGGTAGCTGGAGTACAGAGTTGGTATCGACAAACTTTCCGGTTGCCTGTGCAGGCTGAGCACGCTGAAAGGAGCGTGAGTGAGTGAGGGAGAGTTGGGCTGGGCTGGGCTGGACAACAAAGACAGCGACAGCAACAGCGACAGTGACCGACAGCGCGCAGTCGGCGTGCCAGGGCGTGGGTGGTTATGAGGGCGGCCGGGCAGGCCGTCGTGTCTCGCTGTAGGAAGAGTTCAGTGTTTCAGCAGTGCTCTAACTGCTCCGAGCGCTGACTTCACGCGACCAGGGTATGGGTATGGCAGAACATGCAGAACACGAACACGCCACACTCGAAGGTCGCACGCCCACACGCACGTGGAAGCACGGAGAATGGGGGGGAAATGGAGGGAAGGGAAGGGAAGGGAAGGGAAAAGGGGTGGTGGTGGTGGTGGTAGTGAGGGTGGTGGTGGAGGAGGAGGAGGAGGAGGACAGAGAGTGGCGACGAGAGGCTGCTGCTGGTACCTCCTACAGCACACACACACGGTAGATACTACCACCACCACTCACCACCACTGTCGCCAATTGCACTTTTACTAGTAAAAGTGCCAGTACCCTACTGCTACCACCTCCTGCCTCCTAGGAGGCACTCGCTAGCCAGACTCGGACCATGTAAGAGGGAACGCTAGCTGCTACTCGTGCGCTGCAGTCCGTGAGCAGCGAAACGTCAGACGTCTGTGCGAGCGTTTCAGGTTGATCCTGCCATGATCTCATTGGTCAACGTCGGCTCACCGGCTGCAACCACTGCAGCCCTTCTCGCGTGTGTCAGACGTGGGCACATGACATCCAGCTGCTGATCCTGTGATAGGTTAGGCGGACCGAGGAATGGAAACAAAACATCATACCGCACATTCCACAATTCTTTCATGTGTGAGAAGCCGATCCTGCGTGTGTGCTGCTGCGAGAACATGCATGTCGATATCATCGTATATGGAGGTACGTGTTGCTACGAGAGAGGGAGACAGAGAGCGGAAGGTCATACACACAGTTCACTCCCCTCTACACCTGAGGCACGCCTGCAAGCCTGGTCTCGATCATTGTCCAACGCCTCACAAACACGTCTCGGGAACCATGACTGTGATGACACTCGACATGGGATAAATGTTTCTCGCACTCGCAGCCAAGCAGGGCAGGGCAGTACAAGGCAGGGCAGGAAGTCCTGGAATATTATATCCAACCACCATCACAAAAATCGCTCGTGGAGTTGGCTTGATTTCTAATGCTGATGTGTGAGTATCCTTGTCGTCCTCCGGTGCCACATACTGAAACTGTCACCTCACCATCGCGTGGCGATGCACATATCGTGTCCCCCCGGGAACATCGCTGTGGTCTTTGGCAGCTTCTCGTCGAGCAAGTGAGGTCTCTTTTGGCGTATCTTCCGTCCACGTCCATGCCTACTAAATGTAGCTGTCGCTTACAAAGTTGTCATCCGCGAATCTAGCCGCAAGCACTTGTACTCATCGCGCTGCTGCTCTTGCAGGTGATGGTGATGATGATCATGATGATGATGCTACGGAGGTACCACGAGGATGGAGTAATCATTATGACCTGGAATGTGCATACCTTATGTACCTGAGGTACCTACATTGTTTGTATGCACAGATCATCAATCCCTAGGGCGATGACCTCACAGCACAGAGCGGACGAGGTTGCGAGCTACACGTCGTCCTGCGCGCGTTCAGGTCGCAAACATGCCTCTATTGCAGCGAGAACGCAATCTACAGGACAATTGACACCTGTACGCGCGCGAGATAGCCGCCGGGTATTACGCCTCTATCACAGACCACCTCAAAGTCACCATCATCACCACGATCGTCATGACTAGGTACCGTGACCACCAAAAGAGCTAGAACCGAAAGTGACGAGAAAGGGCCCTGCCCGATACGCACATGGGCTTCTGAATATGTGCAGTGCCCGACAGATCGAGCCACTCTCGAGATCCTTCAGAGACCTTATTTCAACCTCGCTGAAGCTGATGAAAAGCTTACTCAAAATCGAAAGAAAGCTATGAGAGCGTATGGAGAGTGTTTTCGGATAAAGAGAAAGACGAGATGAAGGGGCTATTAGATAGCAATGGGTTGGGGTGTAGAGATAGAAAGCTGGGAATACGACAGCAGCGACAAGGCTAAGAACGAGCAGCGAGACAGCCCCCTGCTACGCAGTACGACTGTATAGATGAGAAGCTCAGCACGCCTGTCGAGAGTGAGGAAAGTCCTTTGTCGCGATACAACAAAAAGAACGAGAATACTTTGGAATAAGACTTTCTTTTCGATCATGACGTCTATGTCGACGAGGAGTTCATATTCACCGAAGGTGTTCCTAAACCCTAAGCCTGTTCACGTAGCCAGAAACATTAGGGTAACAACCACATCATCCATCTAGGGTGTAAACTTATTGGCTTGAGCGAACATATCGCCCAAAGTAACGTAGTATTCCTGATCGTTCGACTCTACAGAATTAGACAGATACCTAGGTACCTAAGGTAACCATAGGATCAAGCCGCCCCTCAACTCACGATTGATAGACCAACTCTAGATCAAGATCAGCTGAAGAGCTGAATGCTCTCCATAGCAGCTGCCGCTTCTGCCACATCACCGTCTACCTCACCGTGCTTTAGCAGAAGTCCTAACGCGGGTGTGTTCCAGATCGAAATATAGGGCAAGTCCATACATATACATGTATCGCACGAGCTAGCCTCACCGGCGGAGAGCTTATCTCGACGAGCTCTTCGACTGCATACTCCATGTTTGGAAGGGACCCTGCATAGACAGCAGAGCATACCTGTACCTCATTGCTCGTCGGGTCATCGTTCGTTGACAATGTCCATTTCATTGTTCTTTGCTAACATTGACGCGGAAGCAGAACCGATATCGAATCGGAATTGAAGGTTGTTATGCAGTCAATCTTCGCCTAGGAGGTAGGTAGGGTAGGGCCATACGACCACTGGCGTTCGACCGCGGTGCCGTCCGTTCGACGGCAGTTGGAACGCGTGGGCCGCAATCCAGAATCTGAGGGCAAGGTCAGTAGGTGATGACGCAGGACGCAGTCAGACAGATGTCGTAGGGAGAAGTTGGAAGTTGGAAAGGTGCCAGGTGGGCGTGGGTCAAGTGCGAGCCCGATGGGAACGGGGCCAGCCGCATCGGGGCTTCCATGTCTTGTCGACGACGAACTCAGCAGAGTCACCACGTAGTACCGCCACACGCCTCCAGAGTGGCAGAGAGAGGGAAGAGCGACGAGTGCTTTCTACAGTAGTCGTGCATACAACCAACCTTGAGCTGCCCTTTCGACCGACCGCCGACGTGACCTACAGACCTCACCTCCCATCACCTCCCACCACCCACCACCTCCCATCACCTTTTGCCTTGCCTTGCCCTGCCCGTACTACCGTCGATACCTTATCCTCTGGACACACCGTACGACCTTGCACCAGGCCGAGGCGCCAGCCCATCACGCGCGAACGAGCGTGATCCTCACTGACGCGACGGCGGGCCTGTTGCCTGTTGCCCAACTCGCATCTTGGATCCTGCAGCGAGGAGAGGCCGCCGGCATCATATGGTGCGAGAACTAGTTATCGCACGTCGTGCATGCTGGAAGCCGTCTGAGAGGGTTCTTTGCACCGCCCACTTCCCTCCTTCCCTAAGGCACCCACCCGCCCACCACCGAGTTCTATCTCTAATTACCTCCTCCTCCTCCTGGCTTCTCCCGCTCGCCCACGTACCTGTATGATGCACACGAAGTTGGAGCCTCCGGACCAGAATTCCTACTACGATATCCAATTCGCGCGTCGGTAGTCGTCCGACGCCTCTCCACCTGCTTGTGCTGACCGAGCGCTCCGCGTGCGTTAGCGCATGCCCGTTCAAAAAATGGGCGACCCTCGCAATTCGTCCTCGCCAGCGCCGCCAATCGACAGGCCTGGCCATCAGCAACCCGTCGTCCAGCCAGCACTACCGCGCGATGGGCCACCACAACCTACAAGCCAGCCACAGCGACCTGTGCTTCGGCCAACATCGTCCTCCTCGAGCCAGCCGCAGCGACCGCTGCCGAGGCCAACAACATCCTCTCCGCGTGTATCGCAGGAGTCCATCTCCAGAACATCCATTCCTCCTACCCACGCCCTCGCAGGTTCACGCGTAGACCGCTCACCGCCCCTGCTCCATCAGCCACAACAGCCTGTCAAGGATGCAGTGAATGCCGCCTTCGACAACTCGCCCTCCAGTCGCCAACTGGACCCGGACATCGAGAAGCGCCTGATTGAGCAGGTGACGGAGCAGGTCATCAGGAATTTGCATCTTGCCAATCTATCAGGACCGCCCACTGCGTCGACTGTGTCAGACTACTCGCGACCAGTCCCGCTATCCCTTCCGACTGCCTCTCGCTCACCCCAGCAGCTGTCGCCAGCACACAGTTCCACCACCGACTACTTTCCGCCACACTTCACCCCTCCCTCTCCCGCCGTAGACAGAGATGGGTCTCCCCGCAGTAGCAAGGGCTCATCGCCAGAGCGAGAACGGGAACTGTCTGATACTGGCAGTCAGTTTGGTAGCAAGAGTCACGGAAGCGTTCGCAGCCGTGGCAGCACACGCAGCAATCAGGAGCAAGAGTGCACACCACGAGCGTCTCAGCCCGATGTTAGCGGGGGACCTTACGGACCTAGTAAGACGACGCAATTGGGTCAAGATGTGAGTGCCAGTGATAGGTTGCCAAGGAACAGAGGATCGTCTGAGGCCACCGCACGGCCATCACGGAATGACCCTCGCTCCTCATCTGATGCTGTCGCTCTGAACCAGGATCGCACTGCACAGCCTAACGGGAATCGAGGAGAGGACGACGAGCCTACAACTCTGGAGCAGTATTGGCAGCCGCTCTTTGAGAGCGGCACGCCAACCCCGCGCCTGGGTCAATTCTTGAGAGGACTAGCCATACACATTGTCGAGGACTATGAGCCCAAAGGAAGCCTGGTAATTGGGCCTAAGAAGATGCTTCGCTTCTTTGGAGAAACCAAGGTCGACAAGGAACATTACCCATGGAGTACCATCTTCGGCGGACAGATGTCCCACGAATCCATCTCAGTCATGTATCGAAAGTTACTGTGTCAACACCACTTCACACAACCAGAGCAGCACGCCCAGGATACTCCTAGTGTACCCGCTCTGACGCCTCATGGCTTCGCCCAATTCATGACGTGCCTCATCCAGGCTCACCCCGATACCGAGTATGCTCGATTGACAACCGCTGTGAGAGACATGCCCATCTCCAACGCGGATCAGGCAAAGGAACGTTTTCCCAAGGAACTTTCCAGACGATTGCTTCCGCAGAAATCGAATGTTCAGGCTGAACAGAGATTAATTGCAAGCCTTAACCATGAACCCGATCTGGTTCCTCTGGAGAGGGTCATACACGCAATGCCACCGCCGCCTCCTTCAGCACCGCCTGCAGCGTCTCCCAGGCAACAGACATTCCTCGAGCGCGAAAGGGCTCCTTACACCCAGTCCGCATCACAATCGAACGCTGTGACCGACGATGATTTGACAGAACCAGCTCCGCCTGCAATACCACTTGAACGCGAGCGTAAGCCGTACTTCGCCAAGGAAGGCAGCGGTAAGCAGTACGAGGCAGAAGTAAATCGTGACCGTGATAGAGACCGAGACCGAGACCGAGATCGCAGCCAGCGACAACCTAGCAGGCCAAATGCTAGCCAACAACGACCGGAATTGGCCCCATCACGATCGTCACGCCTAGATCCTAAATCCGTATTCAGTGGACCTCCAGCTACCGAACCTCCCAATGTGTCGTCTCCGAACCGGAACCAGAGGATGCCTCAAGGTCCACCACCATCAGCCAATGCTGGGTCCTACTCCAAAGGTGGTCGCAGATCTCCACCTCTACGTGGGCCATTCCGCAGTGAGCCCATGGATATTGGGCAAGTACCGTCCTACGCACAATCACCTCGAGATCGAGATCGTTTCGCGGGAGATCCTGATGACGATCCCTTGCGAACCTTCGACAGTAGAAGGGGTTCTGTACGCAACGATGAAGAATTTGGCAGTCGGACTATCCCCCCACGAAACTCGCAATCTGGCCCAAACAGCCTTGATCCGACGCAACACGGGCTGGGTAGCAATTCATCTGGCTTCAATCGCGGTCCGATACCTGGCGGACATGAAGACAGACGGAGAAATTGGTATCCTGGCGCCCCGGGAGGAACCGACGGTTATGGCAGCTATTCGAATAATACTTACGGACCTCCTCCCACGCACTAGAAGCGCAAGAGTAGCTCGGGCAGTACAGTACACAATAGCAGCTCTGCGGGCAGTCCAGGGCCTTCCATCTTGAAGAATCCCGGCAGATCCACACCCATGCGACAAAGCAGCGTCCGAGAAGCAAGCAACGAGAGCTTTGAGAGTGATTCCTCTACCGATCGTGCCCGCCGCGCATTGCGCAGCCGGTCTCGCACTAGATTACAGGTTGCCCTCGATGAAGCCAAACACAACAACATGATGTGAATTGGCACACTGTGGTTGAGACCGGCGCATCGATGCCATTACGTGCGCTGTTGGATAATGATCTTGTTGCTTGGTATCGAAGAGCACCATCGACTTGATTTACCATTACTTTTTTTTTCCTGGATTTTAGCTTTGTGGCTGATGGTCGAATACCCCAAGCATGACGTTGCGAGCGAATGGCGTGCATGATTTCTGAATCACGAATGACGACGACGGGCGACGAGCTGATGCTGCTGCTGCTGATGATGAATGTGTTTTGAATTGTGTAGCGGTGACGAATAAATCACCAGGATCATTATTCCTATGTAACATTACAAACAAGTACGATGAAAGAGGTGTGTGGCACTGCAAGCCATTCACATTCATCCCACGCACAGCCACTTTTCCCGATCTTCTTTTTTGTTTTTCTCTTTTTCCTCTTCTCCTTCTTTTTACACTCCTACGCCGTGACAAACCAGAATAAAAAATGGTCAGAAACACCATGGGCGCTCTGGCGCTTGTGAGAAAAGGTTGTAAAGGAAATACAGAGAGAAGCTGATTCAATCAGGTAGGTAGGTAGGTACTCAATGTTGTAAGTTGGAATATCAGGCACTCACACTGATTCGGTAAGAAAAGTCTAGGTCTGTCTCAATTGATAGGATTCAATCGTCACAGGTCTGCTGAATTCGAGTCTCCCTGCTCTCCCCGCGTGCAATGAGATATAGTAATAATAATAATCCACTTCACCTAATCATCCCCAGTCCTTCCACGGCTTCCCCGATACCGTCCTCCAGGATACTGCTTCCTCCCAGCAAGTCCTTTCCTCCATTTCCGTGTCCGCTTCGCTCACCCCACACCTCGTGAAACTTGATGCTCGCATCACTCGTTGCCACCACAAGACACCCTTCGCCCTTCTTTCCCTTAGTGCCATTCTGTGATGACTTGTTTCCATCGGCGCCCCCGGGATAGCCTACAGCATACAGCGCCCTCTCCTCACCCCACCATGGGATTCCCACCACCCTCTCACAACTAGGCCATGCGAACACGGCGACTCGAAATGGATGCTCGGGCTGGGCGAAACCAAACGTAGCAGCAACCTCTTTCCGTGTAGAACTCCACACCAGACTCGTCACCTGGGCATGACAGTCAATCGTTGCCAACCGGGCACCAGACACCGCGTGAAAGAAATGTATGCACCGATCATTGCTACCTCCACCAGCGGCTACGAGAGAATTCTGCCAGGGAGCAAAGCATATGGCTTTTACAGCTGCGTTCAGGGAAAAGACATGTTTCTCTTGTCCTGGGCCAACCGCCAACACGTCGCCTTGGCCAGCGAGAGCGTCGCCCTGCGACAGCCTGCTTCCATTGATGACGGTGACATCGCTTGCAGGGCTGGCAGCACTGCTGCCGCTGTAACGTGGAAAGAGCTTCTTCGATTCGAAGAGATACAGCTGATTGTCATTGCCTCCAGTACCAAAGTACTCTCCACGCTTGCTCCATGCAAGTCCACAGACTTGCTGAGAATGACAGGTGAATCGTGCAATCAACGTCATGCTTCCGTGCCAGCCGAAAAGATCGCGTTTATCTGGCGTTGGCCATTCGACAGAATAATAGTAGACATTTCCCATCTCATCGCCAACCAAAAGCTCTTCTGTGAAAACAGTCAAGCCTGGTTCTTTGACGGACTGACGCCTGACAGCATTTGGTCGAAAGCACACACACGACACCGGAGCTGGCTGTTCGCTATCGAAGCGTGGATCGTTATCCTGTGGGCTCCATAGTGTGACCCGGCCGTCGGCGCGTCCAATGGCAAGAATTGAGCTTCCCCCCTCGATTGAACTGAAGGAGAGCGAGGTCACGTGCGCTCCAAAGGGGACCGTCAACGAGTCGGGAATATGTGCTGGAGTTGTGCCTTTCACTTCGGACCAGAGGTAGACATGGGGTCCCAGACCGACGGCGAGGCAGTGCATTGTATGAGAGTATGCCAAAAGCGAGCAGTAGTAGTCGTCTCGTAGTGCAGGAGCATCAAGGACACGGAATGGGATGATGGGAATCTCCTTTGGCTTTCGCTTTGTAGGCTTTGTTGGTGAGCAACCAAGACCATCAGTCTCCCAAGCACCATTATTCCAGCGGGTTCGAGGGCGAGCGCTATCACTCTATGATCTGGGCCGAGGGGAGCAGGATGTTGGTGACGTCGCGGGTGAGCTATCTTCGAACATACTTGCTGGGGGAGTCACATCCATCGCGAGAGCTAGTCGATCACCGTGTATCGCTTCGTCCTCACTTGGCGTGTGCCTGTCCAGGAAGTCCGAGGTGAAGTGTGGTGCATTGCTGCCACTTGTGAGTCTGCCACCTCTGCCATTGGTAACGCTAGCGACACCCTCTGTGACCACTGCGCCACCTACAGTCCACACCGCGCCCACGCTGGTAGCTCTCCTATTGGCGAGCAGATCCGCTGGAGTAGGCGGTGCTCCCCGAGGTCTCGCAGATGGCGGTGGTGTGCGTATGGTCACGAAGCGCTCGTCAATACATGATCGACGTTGACGAGTCGGTCCGAATGGATTGTCTTGCGAAGGTCGAGTTCGTGGTGGTGTCAATTGGAGATCTTGTTTCGTAGGTGTGCACGCTCGGCCGGTTATGAAGCGGTCACGATGCTTCCACAGAGCATTTCGATGCTTGGTGGCTGATTGCTGCCTGGTGGGTGTGGTAGGCTCACGTTCCGCGAAGAGGTCATCATCCCCGTCCTGGTCCTAATCGTGAGTGGTAGATCTGCTTCGTGGCACTTCATCCTTGGAAGCGGAGCCGGTCCGGCGGGCCGTAGACAGGATGCCATCGAGTCTTCTTGTACCATTTGGCTTGTCGATAGCTGGGATAGTTAGCGCCATGGTCGTGGTAGTAGACGACCTTCTTCTTCCACGCCACGAGGACCCAGTCATGTGGGAGGTTTGGGGGTTTCTTGCGGCAGACACGGCATCGACATCCCTGGCCCCAGTGATGGAGTCTGGGTGGTGCATTTGCTCGAAGTGGCTCATGGGTCGATGGAGGCGGTCTGGGAAGCGGTTCGAGACGACTGGCAGGAAGAGTGTCGTCGCGCGCGGGCTCCTCGACCACTCGAGCGGGCTCTGCGAGAGAGGAAGTGGTGGAACCACAGGCTTCGCGGAGGAGGTGCAGCAGTGGCCGTGGGGACTTTGGCATCTCAGTGCGGGAGACAAAATGGATATCAATAATGCGGAGAGATGTGCAATGCGTCGTGCATGCGTACGTCGTAGGTCAAAGTCGGAGAAGGTGTTGACTTTAGCATGAGGAAGTAGTGTAGGTGCGCAGGATAGAAGAGCGGGACGGGAGGGGAGGGGAAGGGAGGGAGGGACGGCAAGGGGAGGGAAGGGAGGTGACGGAACGGAACGGCAAAGGAAGGAAGGGAAAGTAGCACATGTGCCTGAGGTACCGTGTTTATAGGTCGGTGCACCCCTAAACTGAGTTCGGGTGTGTGTTTATAGGTCGGTGCACCCCTAAATTGAGTTCATGTGGTGTGTGTTGGGTGCACCGACGTGACCGACCTATGAACACACTATAAGTTCAGTGTACCATCCGTCACGTGCAGAGTCTCTTTAAAGTCAAAGATATGGTACACCGAGGGTAGCTTGGCGAATTGGATCGTGCACCTAGCATCTGAACTCTATCTAGGGGTGCACCGACCTAAGCACACCTACCAGCTAGGTATTTCACTATACATGTACCTAACTTTTCTGCGTTTCCTCCAGCGACACACCAGAAACCGCACGTGATGGCAAGTGTAAGTTGACGGCGATGATGATGATTATTATAATGATGCTGGCGAATGAGGAAGGCACTCCATGATAGGCGGGTGAAGTGAGGTGAAGTGAAGTGAAGTGAAGACAAACTGGCTGACAAGATGTGTTCGATCGCCGCAGCATGGAGTCAGCCGGGGAAGCGTGCCAGAAAAGAGCGCACGCGATCGAGACAAGGAGAAGAAGCACATTGTGCAGTACAAGGCACTGGAGCGCGACGTCTTTGAACGGGTATGTCAACGTGAAGAAATCGACGAGTGAGTTGTCACTGGCATGGTGCTGAGCAGTGGTGGCGAGACACAGATATCCGCCCACGACTTCTCCCACGCCACTCTCCAACTCACCTCGCAACTCCTGCACCAGAACCCGGAGTACTATACCATCTGGAACCACCGCCGCGTCATTCTCGAGTCGGTCTTTGCCGCCGAGCTGGATTCCGGCAAACAACAACAACAACAACAACAACGACAACAACAAGAACATGGCGTGCACATACCTCCGGTCGAGGACGGCGATGCCGCCGCCGCTGCAGCAGCCAATCTGACTGTCCCGCAACGCGAGATCCTGCTGCTCATCAAAGAAGACCTATCCTTCCAGATCCCTCTCCTCAAGCAGTGGCCCAAATGCTACTGGATCTGGAACCACCGGCAGTGGCTACTCATGACAGCCACGCAGCACATTCCCGCCCACGCCACCATCGACCTCTGGAAAGCCGAATTAGGACTAGTGGGTAAAATGCTATCTCTCGACAGTCGCAACTTCCACGGCTGGAATTACCGCAGAGTCGTAGTCGAAAACATCGAACGCCTCTCCCACTCCTCCATGTGCGAAGCCGAATTCGCCTACACGACCCAAATGATCAACAGCAATCTCTCCAACTTCAGCGCCTGGCACAACCGAGGCCAACTCCTCCCGCGATTACTCCACGAACGAGCCGCCGACGACTCTGCTCGCAAACAGGCCTATGACGAAGAATTCGCCCTCACCACCAAAGCTTTATATACGGACCCCTACGACCAAAGTCTCTGGTGTTATCATCAATATCTCATGTCTGCCCTCGAAGAACACAACCCTCACGCGCCCATTATCTTACAACGTCTTCACACATTCGACAGAATCCAATACCTTGCACGGGAAATTTCGAATATCAGGGATATGCTCGACGGCGCCGAAGATTGCAAATACATCTATCAGGCTTTGCTGGAATACTCTCGGAGGTTTCGCGAACTGGCTGAGAGGGATCGTGGTGGTGGTGGTGGTGGTGGTGATGATGAAAAAGTGTCTACTACTACTAACACTACTACTGTTGCATCTGCCGAGGACTTGACGGGTTGGTTAGCCGAGTTGCAGAAAATTGATCCGTTGAGGCAAGGTAGATGGCGGGATCTGGAGCGGAAGTTGAAGAGCAGTAGTAGTATGATGATGACTATGACTCAGTAGGGGTTTTGCTGTGGAAGAAATACACCTAGTCTCATATAATATAAACGAAAAGATCTTCACGATTCTGACGCCTTCCGAATACAGACGGCACTACTCCTCATCATGCCACGGAAATGACTACCTTAGTACCATAGTATACTTCATGTATATGTCTTGATGCGTGTTCTATCACTACCTTATAAGTTATAGTGTCGTGGTGCTCATATGTACATTTCCAATCCCTACATGACCTTATGCTTTGGTAACCGTGTATATGCCAATCGCCAGCAGGGTATCATCAAATCATTATTACCACGTCCACATCGTATATCATGTACTGCGATGCACACCCGCCGCCCAAAAAAAAGAGATTGCCCCCCCTCCTGGATCTACCACAACCAAAGTCGCTTCTTGGGCTTCTTGTCACTGCTCCACACCTCACTCTCATCAATCATTAATTCCAGCGTGTCCTCCTCCGCGTCGTCTTCGTCTCTCGCCATGCGGCCCAATTGTTTCTGTATCATAGCATCCTTCTCCATCTCCTGCCACAGCTCCAGCTCGAGGTCCTCGGCGTTGCCATTGCGATTGCGATGCCACCGGGTAAACTTCCACGGAGGCCAACATCTCGCCACGACAAGATTTCTCTTGGCAGCAGCGTACGCCCACTCCATCGTACAGAGCACTCCAAATGCCAATAGAAGAGTCAGCCACCAGTTCGGATCCCGGCCAAATACCTCATGGAAACCTCCTCGAACATCGTACGGCGACAGGTTATTCCCATAGATGTGAGACATGAAGCCGTTCCATGCCCACCAACCGCCGACTGTAATTGCCAAGGATCCAGCGACGATGAGAGTCTTGTAATGAGTTTCGATGAACAGACATTTCCAGTTCGTCCAAATGATGCCAAGAGAGAAACACAAGTTTCCCAGTGCAAAAAGCCCAGTGTCTCCCATGACATTGGCTGGGCCATAGAATTTCCAGCAGATGTACCAGACCAAGATCCCTTGGGCCGCGGCATGTACGATCCAAGCAAAATACATCCTGAGATTGAGACCTTTGTTGCGCTGGCCGAAACTGTACAGTTCTGGCACCGCCAGAAGAGTGTTCTCATGGAGGTCCTTTTCGAAGATTCCTGGTACAATCACACAGAGTGACGTGAACAGCGTATTGAGGACAGTCAGCGACCACTGTTCGTACAGAGAGGTCCCAGTAAAGCCATCTTGCTTCTGAAACAAAGCTTGCATAAAATAAAAGTACATCTCCTTCCAAAACGTCAGTAGAATAAATCGTGCTGTTCGGATGTACTGGTAGCGACCATGCACGAGGAGAAGTCGTTGGAGGAAACGGAATTGCGCAATGCTGAAGTCGGCGACGCGAGCTGCTTGCAGTCCTTCTTTGCCAGAGATGCCGATACCAACGTGAGCGGCCTGGATCATGGCAATATCATTGGCTCCATCACCGATTGCGAGGGTGAGACCGGGCAAGCGAGCTCGGATTGCCACCACGATATCTGCCTTCTGGGCGGGAGAGGCGCGGCACACAATGACCGAGTCGACGTTCGCAATCAGAGTGGTGAAGAACAACAATCGCAACTGCGGATCGGTGTCAATGACAGAGAGGGTATGGCCATCGATGACAGCCACGCTATGACTGTCGCCATCATACACAATGTCGCTCATTTGGCCTTGCAGGTCGCCCTTGGTGCTATCCAGGATGTGAATGAGCGAAGCAGGTCGACAGATGCGTGCCGAATGCGCAATGTTGATGGCAGTTTCCCGTTTGTCGCCCGTGAGCATCCAAATGCGAATGTTGGCACGCTGTAAGCGATCGATGGTTTCCGGCACACCATCCTGGAGGCGATCTTCAATGGCCGTGCATCCAAGCAAACCCATTCCTTGCTCGATGATTTCAGCCGCATCTTCAATTCGTTCTTGTCGATTCACGAGAGAAGTGGTGGCCTCTCGGTACAGCTTACTCCACGAAAGATACTCCTCCGGTTCGACATAGTTGTGCGAGTAGAGCAGAGTTCGGAGCCCTTCCGAGGCGAAATCGTCCATATGCTGGAAGCACTTGGAGAACAGAACTGCATCATCGGCATGCTCCAGAGCGCGAACATCGTCCCGTAGACTGCCCGGATCAAGGCTGATCGTGGGCAACTCGAGCGTGGCTCTTCCCTGAGCAAAGATCGGGCGCAACTCTGTCGACCGCGCTCTGTCGATGGTCATTGAATGTCGCACATCCATCGAACTTCTCCCGCGCTCGTGCAAACTTGGTCTACCCCCAAAGCTGTTCCTGCACTCCTGCATGCTCTTTCGAAGGAGCTGTCTGCTGGCATCCATGCTACGACGTACTTCCGCGGACTTGCGAGCTGCCAGCTGAGACTGTCGCAGGCGAGGAATGATCGCGCTGTCTGCACCTTTGCAGATGAGCCAAACACGACCATCAGGGCACCTTACTACGATGGACATACGTTTCCGCTTGCTGCTAAACTCAATGACTTCCAGGATCTCGTACACTTCTCGCGTCTCCTTGTGACCGGATTGGACCAAAAGTTCAATCTTCTGCGACGTGCGATTTACAACAATAAATCCCATCTCTTTTGCTGCGCGAACTAGTGCCACCTCGTCGGGGCTTGAGGCCTGGAAATCGATGCCGTCCTTCTTGACCTCGGGTAAGGCAGTATGGCAAAGTGCCATCCCTAAGATGAATTCTCGCCCTCTTCGCGCCATTGGCGAATGTGGGTCTCGCCGAATGAGCCCCAGCAACTCGGCTATAGTCCGTTCTGCAGGTCGATGATGCTGCATCGACTTTCGTGATAAGGTCTGCGACTTGCGAGGAAGGTGAGTGTGGCTTGATGAGCCTTCGCCCACTTCTCGTGTCTCCACGACGATCTTGTCAGCATCGACCTTTCCGGGATGAGCAGTGGATGACGCCTTCAAGCCAGGCTGTTCTGTTTTCGTGGATGACACGACTGCATCTTTATCGTGGGCCCAAACTATACCACCACATGACAGGAACTGAAAGTTCATTACGTTTTCCGTGAGAGTGCCCGTCTTATCGGAGAGAATGTAGCTTATTTGACCCAGATCTTCCAGAATGGTGTTCGTGTTACAGCTCATAGGAGTGCCGCTTGCTTCGTCAAACATGCCCACGTCGCTCTGCACCATGAGCCTTTGACCAATCTTGACAATCTCCAACGACACGTACAAGGCCAGCGGTATCACGTTGTTGAACATGATGAGGTATCCAATGATGATTTGCTTGAATTCCGGCGCAGCATCATGCAGGTACCATGCACCTTTTTCAAAATTATGGTGCCATATCAAGTAGCCACCAGATACACCCACAGAGAGCACCACAACGTAGAAAATCAAGGTCAACACAATCTGATTGGCGTACTTTTCAAGCCGAGGGACTTTAGCTGGAGCGTGGTGATTGGCGTTCATGCGAATTTTGCATTCTTCTCCCGTGTTGATGACGATGCCGTAGATATGGCCCGTATTACGCAGGACGCTCCCTCGCATGACAACCTCGTTCAATGTCAGTGGAAGGGTCTTGCCTTCAATTGCGAGCTTGCCATTGAAATCATAAAGGTCCTTATTTGGGTCCTCCACATGAAGTTCAGCTTGGAGATTCTTCAGTTCTGTCAGGGTGGAACAACGTTTAAGCAAGTCTGGAGGGGCTTGCTTGGTCTTCAGAGTGGTTTCCCCGTCAAGAGCCATGGTCTCGACAAAGGCGATGCCATTCTCGCCCGTGCTGTAGAGCAACACGATATCTGCTGGGATAGGCTCATCGCGCTTCAGCTTGAGAACATCCCCGACTTTGATATCGTGCCATTTCGTGGCGCAGTCCCAAGTCAGCTCGTCGTCCTCGTCGGGCTCATTCTCGAGGGTCATGTCTGGTTCGATCTTCCCCGCCCATCGTAGGACGGAACGCTCCAACACTGTCCTGGCCAGCGACTTTCTCACTTCCTGCTGAGGTGAAGAGTGCTGCTTCAGCCGCAGGACCCTAGAGAGTTTGTTATTCTCCACATTGTCCATGCGATGCCTGCCCCAATCATCGTAGCCCTCCTTCAACACTGTCAAGAGGATAAAGAAGGTCAGTGGCAAAATGGTAGTGTAGTTGCCAGTAGTGGACAACCCGGGTATGGCTTGTGGGATACCAATGCAGATGAAGTAGAAGTTATGGAGACGAGTAGCCTGGAAGAAGATTTGCTTGGGAAGGAAATCATAGATGGTATAGCGGGAGGAACGTATGGTGTTGGACAAGTAGGCATGGCCACGCCTCTCGTCAATGAGAGGCTGTTCGTGGGTTGCTCGACACGAGACATGTCTGCCGTCCTTGCTTACAGGCAGAGGCTTGCGGCGCAGAACGAGCTCAACAATGTATCGTTGGTAATACAGCTCGGCTGGTTTCCTAACACTCCGTTGGTACCAGTTGTTGCATCTCGTCGCTGCACTGCTGTGGTTGCTGTCCATGATGCCCATCTTGTCGGTGCTGCAGGTCGGATCCCCCACCGCCGCCGTCTTTGCTATTACTGTTATTGGTGTCGTCGTCGTCGTCGTCAACATCCGCTCATTACCGCTCCACGGCCATTCAACGCGTGTGGTTGCTCATTGTGTTGTTCGGTGCTGTGATCCTCGATCGGCGTGCGCGGGAGAGAGGGAGGATGGGGGAGTGTGAGAGAGCGAGCGTGTGTGGGAGTGTTTGTAAGAGAGAGGGAGGGAGGAATGGGAGGAAGAAAGAGAGAGGAAGAGAGAGGATCAGAGAGAGAGAGAGAGAAACAGAGAGAAGTGAAGAGGTCGGCAAGCGGTTCAAGTTACCCGAGAATAGAAACAACCTTAAACGCTAACTTTCAGCTGCGGCTGGAGATACCTTGCGGCTTGCCCCGTGCGCCGACCGACTGACCGACCCGCCCGCGCCGATGGATCGGACAGACTTCCTTCCACTATAACATCATTACCTTAACTAATCATTTCTCAAAACAACCTGAAGCACGTCACTTTTTGTTTATTGATTTATTGATTTATTCCTTTATTTAATCACTCATTTCCAATGGCCACATCACCCTCACCTCCCCCTAACCTCGCCCTCTCCATCTCCGAAGGCACCCTCCACACCGACGACCACATCCCCCTCTACACCAAAACCTGGACCAACAACCCCGAATCCCTCACCGCCCGTCTAGTCTTCGTCCACGGCTTCAGCGACCACATCAACTGCTATGGCACACTCTTCCCCTCCCTCGCGCACCGAGGAATCAAAGTGTACGCCTACGACCAACGCGGCTGGGGCCAAAACGTGCGTTCACCCCGCGACAGAGGCAACACGGGAAACACGACACGCATCCTCGGAGATTTAACCTGCATGTTGGAATCCGTTCTCGCGCGAGAAGAGGAATCGCACATTCCGCTCTTTCTGATGGGCCACAGTATGGGCGGTGGAGAAGTGCTGTGGTATGCGGCCAATGGACCACGGGAGATTCGAGCGCGGATTCGAGGGATTTTGTGCGAATCGCCATTTATTGCTTTGCCTCGGAATTCGCGGCCGTGGAAATCTACTGTGCTGTTGGGGAAATGGGCGAGTCGCGTGTTGCCGCAGAGGCAGATGGTGTCGAAGTTGGATACGAGTAAAATGTGTCGCGATGTCGAAGTGTGTCGGGAGTGGGACGAGGATCCGTTGTGTCATGATACGGGGACGCTGGAGTGTTTGACGGCGATGTTGGATCGTGCGGGGGATTTGGAGGAGGGGAGGGCGGTGATCAAGGAGGGTGAGGGCGAAGGGGGCAAAACGAGAGTGTGGATTGGGTTTGGGACGGGGGATCAGGTGGTGAGTTATGAGGCGTGTGAGAAGTGGTTTCGACGTTTGCAGGTGGAAGATAAGGAGTTGAAGGCGTATGAGGGATGGTATCACAAGTTGCATAGTGAGCCGGGAGACGACAAGCGGACGTTTGCTCATGATGTCGCGCAATGGATCTTGGATCGGAGCGGCCCTCTGGACAATGCTGTCAAGCCTCGATTGTAATGAGATGAGATGCAAGATATCAATGCTGTGAATGAATTGATGAGGATATGATTGTTGAATCATACATGTGCCATCCACCGCATCTACGCAGTGCCATCCATGTATGTACAATGCGGATGGATATTTACCTGAGACTACTGAGCTCATACTGCAGCAAAAATTACCCAAAGTCAAATACCTCCTCTCCAAGTAGATCTTTTACCAAAAAGCCTCCTTCTCTCACACACATGCAAAACACCTCTCACCAACGATCCTCCTCCTCCTCACACACCTCCCTCCCCCTTCCAACCCTCAAGAAGTAACCTGATCCCTCACCCTCCTCAACAGCGGCTGCGACTCCCCACTCTCCTCGCCCCCATCCGATTTCGGATACGGCAACCAACAGAATTCCCCCTCATCAATCTTCGCCACTCTCCACGTGCCCTCCGATTTGGCATCTTCGAAAAACTCTTGGTTCTCCTCGAAACTTCGGCCGCCCGTCTCGGGCGAGTAGAGATAGGTCCAGACACCGGCGAATAAATTGGTGGCGGCGAAGATGAGATAGATGTAGAAGTAGAGATTGTTGAAGAGGATGGGGGTGATGAGTGTGATTGTGAAATTGGCGAGGCCCTGTGTGTGAATCATTATATGATTAGTATGATTTTTTTGTTTTGTTTTCTCATCATACTCGGGGTACAGTGAGAGAAAAAAAAAGAACTTACCCAAACCACCACCGAAACCGCCGTTCCATGCGCCCTCGCCGCCGTAGGAAAAATTTCCGTAGGAATCAACCAGACAGGCGTCAACCATCCAATCCCAAACGCCCCCGTTGCCACAAACAGCGCCACAATCCCAGGGACGGCGACGGCGTGAATGGGAATTTGGAGGTCTTCGTGATAGCGGGAGAGACCGCCAAAAACGGCCAGGAGCAGGAAACAGGTCGTGAGTGTGCCTGAGCCGTAGAGCATGACGGTGCGGCGGCCGAGGGCGTCGATGAGGACCCAGGCGAGAGTCATGAGGAGGAAGTAGGAGATGAAATTGGCCATGGTGAGGTATTCGGAGAGACGCACGCCGTAGCTGTGGAAAGTGGTAAATAAAAATGTCAGCGATCTCGTTGCAAAGACATTTTTTGTTGGAGTGGGAGGAAGATGGTGATGTTCAGGGCCTGTCTTACCCGAGTTGCTCGAAAATTTGAGGGCCGTATACACTGATGGCACCATAGCCTGTTAGCGCTTGATTGATTTGTCCCATGATAGTCAGCATCTAGCACACAAGGTCAGTCATCATATCTATGGAACACCTGAAGTGTGAGGCTCACAGTCGGATGGAACTGTGTATGACTAGGCGTGAACATCTCCTTGTAACCCGGCTCCTCATCACTCTCCTGCTCCGAAGCCTTGACGAGTTCATCGCACTTGGTTTTACCGTCCTCATCGCCGAGAATTTGCTGCAAAGCCTCCGTGGCATCGTCGACTCGGTCGTGGTGGACCAACCATCGCGGGCTCTCGGGCAGCCAGTAGATGAATGCGAATAGAGAGAGCGGATACACTTGCATAGCCTATCACACAAAACATGTCAGACAATGGTGGGTGACTATACCGCCAGTGACGGTCGGTTGGTTGGGTGTACTGACGATGATCGGCAATCTCCATGCCCATTCGTTATACTTGCCAAGATAGACGGTGAGGACCTAGATGTCATGAGTTTTGTATCAGCGGATGTATCGGGCGGCGGAGTATAATATCATCGAGACGTCCGCCTTGATCTACGCGTAGAGCTGAGTCGAACGTCGAGAACCAGACAATGTATGCCGTGCTGTCTAGCATATAAATTCAGCTTACCAAGTTGATAGCGAATGCCTAGACCAAAAACCCAACCAATTAGCAAGCGTCTCATTTCTCCCATGAATGTCTCGGCAAGTCAACTGTACCATATTCAATCCAAAGATATTCGCTTGAAACTCCTGCGCCAGAGCCTTTCCTCTACTATCATCCGAGCTCAACTCACTACTATACACGGGGACGACGGAGTCCACGCCACCAATTCCCAGGCCCATGACCACACGTCCGAGATACATGACAATCAGCGGAGCCAGGCGTTCTCTGCTGAAGCCCAATCCAGAAATGAACATGATGAGATTTCCCAAAGAAGCCAGAGCGAGAGAGAGAAACAGGGCGGGTTTTCTTCCGAATCGATTGGCAAACCAGGAGATGAGCACGGCACCGACTGCAGTGCCTAGATAGTAGACACTGACAATCAAACCCACTTGCGCGTCTTCTTCTGCAATGCCCATGGTGGAGAGATAGTCCTTGTTTGTGTTGATCAGGGACATCATTCCTTGATCATATCCTACTCACCACCAACGCAGCGGGGTCAGTTGCCATCTCACACATAAAGATAGGTACATGTATATAATAGACTGGACGACGTACCATAGAGGGCGATTGCAGTCGACGAAAAGGCGACGACCTAACACCGAAAAGGTGACAGTAAGCAAACATCTTTTTTGCTTCTGACACGCCCCATCGTGTGTATGCTTTCTCCCGCCGTGAGAGCAAATCTAACCTGGTGCTTCTTGTCGCCCAAGAAGGACTTGATTGCGGCCATGGTGTTGTCCGTTGTCCGGGTGGAGGATGCTAAGGTATGGATGGCCCTTCTAGGTGTGAGAGATGGAGGTTGTGTCTGCCTGTTTACGCTGGACCTATACTGTATTTGTTTTTCTCTCAAAAAAAAAAGGTGTTGATCTTTGATTCTCACAACAACCACAACAGACAGCGGTAAGGTATGAGCACGACGCTACACTCTGTACATACTACCTCCAGTATAGACAGATTAGAGTCAGGTGGTGGAAAGGAAAAAAAAGGTGCTCGGAAGTGGCGTCGGTGGCCCACCCTCCTCGATCATAGCATGACGTCGTACCAAAAGGTCCAACGAACTCTACCTCCCAGGCGGTGACGGCCACTACAAACCTGAAAAGAGGCGGTTGTGCCATTATCAAGGGCTGATATTGATGTCGGATCGTCGACAGTGGACGAGAACAAAGGCCTCCATTGTTGCGTTTCTCATAAATTATATGTGTTGATGGTGACAATGGGGGGTGAGTATAGAATCATTTTACAGAGCTGGTCGGTGACAAGAGAGCAACGACCGAATAGTATTGCTGCAGCTGCTGCAGTGAAGTTGATCACACGTCCATGTGACTGAACACACTTGGCATCCAGAGGAAGAGACGGTGTGTGTGTGTGTGTGTGTGTGTTCGATTTCTCTTCCCGCCTTGACCAGCCACAGCACATCCTCTTTGCCTTGGAATACCGAGTAGAGCGCAGGCTGGAAATCAATGAATCAAGGCGGTTGGATCGAGTGAATATGACTGATGAGATGCTTCTCTCAGATGGATTGTATGTTGTACATGATGAGGCCTCTTCAACCCCCCCTCCAGCTGTTTTGCCGAATTTACTCGAGATGCCGTGGAATATCTTCATCAACTGATTCCAGTCTGGGTCAGAGTCTGTCGAGCAGTCGTCAACTTCAAGCCAACTCTCGCATCGAGTTCAAAACTGCCCCAATTTTCCACCTTCGCAAGCTCCTCGCTGCACATTTGGAGCTTCGCGCGATCGCCGTCCTGGCCACCTGCTTCGTTCCACAGACAGACGCAGAGCTCGTAGTGCGCGACAGGTAACGCCCACGAATCGGCGTGATCGCAGGCGGTGATCTGATGAGGCTCATAACAAAATGCGTGCTCGGCCAGCATGGTCTTCGCCTGGTCGGTTTGTCCCAGATTGCGTAGAACTGTGGACTGGAGGACTGCAAGAATGGCCTTTTCGTCAATGGCTTCATTCGGCCATGTCGGCTGATTGAATGACCACGCGAGTCGTGCCATGGACTCTTTCAAGTGAGAGTCAGACTGCCTGCGATAGCCCGACCAGAAGTAAATCATCTCCTCGATGGGAGAGACACCGATCGCATCCACTAAATCGCATCCACGTACATGGGCACGCTGTTGCCATTTGGCCAGCTTGCGCGAAATGTATACATCCAAGGGCAGCTGTCGTGCCATGAACTTCTTCTTGCCCGTATTGGCAGCAACTTGATTCAGGACATGCATCGCCTTGTCCCGATACGAGTCTGCCAGCTTCGCGTTGGTATGTCTATATTCGCGGTAGAGCTCCACGTAGCAGGATCCCGCGAGATAGTAGTACAGTCCGTGACTCCAGTTGTTCAGTTCAATGCATCGCAAAAAAGATGTCGCGCACTCCTCATAGCGATGCAAGAACATGTACGCCATACTCATCTCAAACACCCGCAGCGCCTCCATTTGCTTCATAGACGAAGTTGTGTCTTTGTCGCGCGTAAGGAGACCAAGTGCACCTTCGAGATCTCGATCCAAGCCACGCATACGCGACTCTTCCAAAATCCACATGATTGACCGCGGATAGAGTTGCCTCATCTCCGCAAGCAGATTTTGCAGCCGCTGTTTGGGGTAAGCCTCTCTCCGGTGGATCTCACAGAGCGCAACCGCAGCATTGTAAAAGGGCAACAGGCAGAGGCCAGCCATGCCCCCATTGAGATTCTGCTTGAAAGCCGTCGCTCGCCACAGCAGACCGAGAGCACTCTCGCGATCGATGGCGCGAAAGGAGAACATGGATAGGATCTTGCTGAAAGCCGGAGGTACCAACGAGAGCAGCAGTTGCAGTAACCCAAAACATAGAGCAGCTCCCGAATGTATGAAGATATCGATCGGATCATCGGTGATAGCTCTAAAATTCAGCTCATCTGCACGCCTTTCGATGCCTTGAAGGGACTCCTGCAACCGAAGTCCGCTCAAATCCAGATGATCTTGATATTCGTGCAGTGTCGCCTGGTCGTCGAGAAACTCCTCGACCGCATCCTTGAAGTCGTCCTCCTCATCTTCAACGGGGGTCAAGACTCCAGATGTAGAGCCGGAATGATTCTCTGGCGGAGTAATAGTAGCCGTTCTAGTAGTGACCAGCGAAGAAGATCCTGAGCCGGAATGATGCTTCTCCAGGTACTTGTGCTCAGCCTCTACAATCTCCTGGAGCGTCCCAAACGCCTTTCTCAACTTGTAGAATCCCTTCAGCGACTCAGTCAAGCTCTCGTGCAACACCGCGACCACGGCGGCCATCAACTGCGCCTCGGCATGACACAAGGCATATTCGGAGCCTCGTGGGTAGATTTTGCTCTCATGGCCCGTCGAGGAATCCTTCACAGCACGCTTCTGGTGCTCGCTGGCCGACGCTTCCGCCTCGGCTAATCGTGAGGCCTGTAGAGGAGTCGAATGTGATTAGTGAGAATTATAACAAAAAAAGAATCAAGGCGTAGTGAATCAAAGAATGTGACAAAAAATGTAATACCGCTTGAGCCATAATATCCTTTTCAAAGCCCAGCGTCGCGCGGAGAAACAAGGTCGTCGCCGCGCCCAGCATATGAAAGGGCGACGTTCCCTTGGACAACTCTGCTTCCGCCTTGTCGACCTCTGCGAAAACCTCATCGTAAGCACATCATCATCATCATATACAACTTCATGAATACAATAAAAATACATCGATTCGCATCGCATGTCCTCCTCCTCCTCCAAGGGCCATCTTTCGTACCATCGTTCAAAATGAGCGCACCATGCCGCATCGCGTCCGCCACTACGCATTGGTCTCGTCAGTCGCCGTGCTTGTTTGCCTGGCACGGCATTCATTAATTTGGTGCCACGCTCACATGCCAGCGGCTCATCCAACGCTGTCAGACTCCTGCTCGAGTGCACACTCGGCTTGGCGGTGCGAAGCCATTTCATCGCCATGTCGTTCGATCGGTGGGAAGAAGCTGTACGACGCCAATGAAACCGGGGCACTATCGTACTGTCGCCTGGTCGTCCTACAATTGGTACTGGGAGGAAAACCGAAATGATGGTGGAGATGGATATGAATGGACACAAACACACATTACCGACATGTATCTATCTTACATGTATGCCATACCGGACATATATCTCCGCCTACGCGTAGGATGACGGCATGCCAGGCGAGTCGCGGCTCGCGTGGCGTGGCTTGCATCATATCAGCCGGCTGTGCCTGGAGCATGTTTGATTCTTGAAGCGGGTCAGAGTCGCCAAGTCCTATATGTGCTATATATACCACTACGCCATCTAGTTTGACTGTTCGACTGCTGTACAGGTGAAACTCCACAAGCCGACAATGGCTGCAACGCTGTCGTGCATGTCCGCACCAAAAAACGAGAGATACTGCCATGCTCATAGTGCATACCGGCAATCGCGCTCGAGATAGGTCTGCGCTGAACGGCAGTTCTGGGGTCAATTTGTGCCGTTGCTGACAACCCGAACCCCTTCGTATTCCGACATAAAGTGAGCAGCAGACTAAGCAGGTACAATCATCAATGTCGGAGCGAGACAGCGTCATGCCACATCACCGTTGCGAACATGAAAGTCAAGGGTCGGTACCCACAAGATGGAAGCCCGAGAGTAACTCGAGAGACTCCTTGGTGCTTACTCGGACTGCACAGGCACCTTTATCAGTGAAGCAACCTCTGAGATGCTACTTTATACGACGTGCGGGGATCCGTTCTCTGATACATCGATATCAAGAGCGCAGTCGTCACATGAAAGTGCTTCTTTGCTGAGGAGAGGGCCGCCGAGAAATAGGTAGCTTGCAAAAGCGCAAAATCCTCAACCATTGCGGTGGCCTTTCACCAGTTGGCCGGAGTTACGCGGCACCCACCTGCTGACGATGCTTTGCGTCAATCCATATCTTCCAAAGTACTCCCTTCTCCCTGATCATAGTTCTCAGGCACCAAGACGCCCACCAGACACGTCTCCAGCATGTTCTCCCAATTCACCCAGGGATGCACGTCCATGAACAGTTTGGTGCCATCCCGACCTGCCGCCTTCATCAATTCAGCTTCGCCGCCTGGATGAAAGGGTAGATAAGGGGTAATGTTGTAGACCTTGCCTTGCCAACTAGACCACGCTGGCTTTCCTTTTCGACCCGTCATGGTTTTCAGCTGACCCGGCGTCACTCGCTGAAAAGTACTGACGCCAGACATATTGCCCGTCTTCGTGAGAGCTGCCCAATCCATGGGTGAGTGACCAGGCTTGAGGAGGACTTTGTTACGCGGGTTTGGGGTTGCCTTTGCGGTGCCATTTGGTGCCAGACTGGAGCTCACCCGCTGTTGGCTTGCCACGGGAGGGCCACGATTGGGAAGCGGTCCTGTGCTGGGAACTCGAAGGCCGGCGGCTGCGCTCGGTCGAAGTGTAGTGGCGGGTCGCGAGGGAGGAGGCATAAGAGTACTGCCCGCATTTGCACCAGGCCTGGGAGGCGGCGGCGGCATCATCGAAGAAGCGCGCTGTACGCTGTTGACAGCAGGGAAGGATGGTGCGCTCGGTTCATCTTCTTCCTGTTTATGATCTTCTGATGAGTCCTCCTGGTCGTCGTGCCGGCTCAAGTCGAGGATGGGCACCTGGCCTGGAGGTGTCCTCGACGTGGCTTTGGGCGTGGTATCGCCCTCCGCGATGTCTTCGTTCTGGGTGTCATGCTTTCCATCAGGTGCGACCTCATGCTCTGACCCTGCGGTGGTGGAAGGGTCGGCGACGATATCTCCAGGAGACAGCCAGCTTGGCAGAAGGCTCTTCAGCATGCTCGGGATTGGCAAACTTGCATGTGCCTGCGCCTTATGCCATGTGGGCAGTAGGGCTGATGATGATCTGATGGTAATGGTGAGTGAGAGGCGAGGGTCCGTTACAGTAACTCCCGTCTGTATGGGACCGGTCTTTAACCTTATATGGAACAATACGTCATCAGACCCCCGAAGAGCCTTGCACCTTGTGTTCACGTGCATGCCCGGTTGCCAATACCAAGACTACTAGGTACCTAGTACCCTACTCGGACATTGTACAGTGTACAGTACCTACCATCTCATCTACATCTGTAGGCAGACAGAACAACCGACGCACCAATGATCGTCGCCCGAGCCATCTTCACGCGTGCCTTGCGCCCGTCTGCGCCAACGAAACGAGCCATGCGGACACTGGCGAGACCGCGTCTGCTTGCCGCCACCAACACGCGCTGTGCTTCCCACGCGCCAGCCCACGTGCTGCGATGGGCCTCGTCCAAGTCAAAGGCCGACGAGCGCATCGAAGATATTGTCGAACTGTATGCCACTGCACAAGACGAGTTTGACATTGCCAGGGAAGAGACGGAAAAGGCCAGCATCTACGCCGAGGAGGACAGAAAAGCTGCCAGGGAGGAGTTGACCAAAGTCCAGGAGGCGTACAATGCGGTGATTAACGGCGAAGATCAGGAGCTGGCTGCTGAGGTAAAGAGCCGGATTGGCCAGAAGATGCGGGAATTGGAGCAGAATGTTGCGAATATGGAGGAGTTGGCTCTCAACCAGGACTGAGTATTGACAAGGTAGCTATTGCTGCCATTTTGAAGGGAGCAGCTTTCTGGCCTGACAGAGGCAATTGTGCTGAGTAGAGACGGTACGGTCGAGAGTGCCTCCCTATGCATCAAATTATGGCACGCCAAGAGGAGTGCAGTACCAACTTACCAAGAGAACACCTCTGATAAGCCAAAGTGGATGTCAACGTGGTCAGCAGTCATTTTGCGACCCACCGAAATATCACGCTCCTGGCAGCACTTAGCTGGCCCAACCGCGACAAAGTCTGGTACAACATGTGGAACCTCAAAGTCTCAACTCTATATATTCGCTGGTCACCAGGTACAGAAGTCCAATTCATTCCATCATCCACAACCTGCTATAACATGGCATCTCTTCGCATCAATATCCCGTCGTGCGGGAGTAGCTTATCAAATCGTCAGTCGGCGCCTCCATCCGGAAAGACGACTGCCGCTGGCCCACCAGTTCCCACGCGCGCTAGCAGCTTGCCCCTACAAAGGGACAACCGTCCGCTAGTGTTGATGGACAGCTCGATGCCCGGACAGCCCTGGAGCGAAGATTGTTCTTCTTCGATATATTCTCGTGACGTCGATAACGAAAAGCCGATGTCCCCTTCGTGTCCAAGCGGCAGCGTGGATTCAGACATCGCCTACCGCCAGAAATCAAGACAATATTCAATATCAGGGCTGCCTGTTGACGACTGCTCCTCTTCAGTATACTCTCGCGATGTCGACGATGAGAAGCCCGTAATTCTCCTACATCGGCATTGCCATGACTCACCCTATCCACAATCGCGTCCTGAGTCTACTACGAATATGGCACCGGGACTCGCATGGCCAGGAGCTGCAGGTTCCAACGGCCTCAGAACTATGTACAAGGTCATTACCAGCAAAACGAGTAAAAATACAGTCAAAGAAGAACTTGCAGGACGTGCAGATCGCACGATTCACCACGGGAAGCCTGGGTATGCCCAAGCGAAGCGTCTCTTGATGGGAAGGCGGCTGCCTGTACGATCCTAGCAGCTCTAGACGATTGTCAGGTGGAATGATATTTAGCGTTGCGTTGATCCATGGTGAAGGGAAGCAAAGATTTCGAAGTCGAGGTGGCGTGAGGAAGTCCACAATATCAAGTCGAAGTTCGGACTCGACGTGAATTCAGAAGGGCGATGCAGCGGCTGATGGTGAGGTGAGGGACGGTCCTACGAGATGGGCGGGGACGGAGCATACTTCAAGGAGAACTGGAACGGCTGTTTAGAGGAAATGTCTCTAGGGACAGGTACAAAATGAGAAACAGTGGCATGGAAGGCAGATGATGAAGATGCTGCTATCGGCACCGTATTCTATGTACTTGTACGCGCAGGGTTCAAGGACCCCCGACAGTGATAGATGGATGTCGGGAAGTCTGTTTATGTCACTATGTACTCAGCTGGACTTGGCCAATTCTAGGCCGTGAATTCAGTCTTCATTGTCGTTGCTACATACATGGTATGCCACGATAGAAGAATGGCCACAGTGACCCGCCACTCTCGGCTGCATCGCGATGTCACATGGACTCATGGAATGGCTGACAATCGGCAGAGGCGAGGTCTTGGCACGATCGACAGCTCCACTCGAGTCTGCACCAAGCTGCGTATGCCAACCGTTTGGCGATGGACTTGGTGTCTTGGAACTGTTGGTTGAGGGATATATACATAAATACATTTTATATATTCACTCACGCGCGACCACAAGAGCATGTGCTAACGGTGACTCTCGCCTCTCGGAGACTGGACACTACAAGCACACATCATCATCATCATCATCATCATGGCAAGCCCCATCACTATACGGAACCTGACAGCGCAGCCGCTCACCATCCGGCTGGTCGAGCGATATGCGAGTCCGGCCAGGCGCAAGTCCAGCGTTGCTGGTCTAGACACCTTTTCCAAGAACTTCACCTCTCTGATGAGCAACGTCACGGGCTCCGGAAGTAGCGCACCCACCCAGACAGAGCTGAGCGACAAGTCGGAGAGCTTTGTCCATCAAGACGTCGAGATCCGTCTAGAACCCTTCTCCACCTCGCAGACAGACATCAACCTCACCGAGCGCGATGGGAACGACATCCTCCGTCTGACCGTGCAGGGCGATGGAGGGGGCAAATGGCGCATCGATTTGCCGACCAGATCTGCAATGGCCGAGAAGCTCACGCCTCTCACGCCCGATCCCAAGCACGAGTATCGAGCAATCCACCTGCAGCGAAGCGCTTTCGTAGCCATCATGGAAGACTATAACCCCGCGGCCTGGATGAAGGAGTTTAGCGACGACACATCGCTCTCGGCATTGTCCATACCAGGAACCCACAACTCTCCCACGTATCACAAGGCCCTTCCTTCAGTGCGCTGTCAAGCCGTCTCCCCCCGGGAGCAGCTCGAGAACGGCGTGCGATTCTTCGACATTCGCGTTCAGCCCCAGAACCCCAGCGATGCCAAAAACGACGAACTGAATCTCGTCCATGGCGTCTTCCCCATCAGCCTCACGGGCCCCAAGAAGTTCCGCGGCCTCCTCAACCAAGTCCGTGAGTTTCTCAAAGAAAATCCTTCCGAGACCGTCATCTTCTCCTTGAAGCGTGAAGGCGCAGGCGACGCCACCGACCAACAACTCTCCCAAATCCTCCGCGATCACTACATCGGCAGCGCCAATTCCGAAGCCGTCAACAATTGGTACACAGACCCACGCGTGCCCCAACTCGGTCAAGTCCGCGGCAAAATCATCATCATGCGCCGCTTCGCCCTCTCCGAACGCATCCTCTCCGAATGGCAAGGTCGCGGGTGGGGCCTCAATGCCGAAAACTGGGCCTACAACACTCCCGATTGCACGCACGGCGACGTGCGCGTGCAAGATTTCTGCGAAGTCCTCGAGACGGAAAACATTGAAAAGAAGATTGCCTTTTGCTGCGACCATTTCGAACGTGCGGCCTGTGTCGTCTGTCCCATCCCGGGAATTACCACGGATGCGACCCACCCTGTTCCAGCAGGTCCGTTATATGTGAATTTTTTGAGCGCGAGCAATTTTTGGAAAGTCGGCTGTTGGCCGGAGAAGATTGCGGCGAAATTGAATCCTGCTGTGACGGCGTTTTTGGTAGAAAAGCATGATATTGTTGGTGGTGGAGATCAGCAGAAAGAAGCAGAGGACGTAGAGAAAGTCTCCTCTGGTGATGGAGGTTGTGGGATTGTGGTGTGTGATTGGGTGGGCAAAGATGGGGATTGGGATCTTATTCGAGCCATTATTACGATGAATTGTAAACTGCTGAAATTGCAGAGGGGGATTGGGTGGAAATAGATAGCATACACACTACTACCTTACTGATATGTTTTCTTTTCGGGGAGGGGGAAGGGGGGTTCTATCTGGTTGTCTGACCGAACATACAAGTAAATACTACAATATTACATTTACTTCCTCCTGCTAGGATACCTCATTGGAGAGAGAGAGAGAGAGAGAGAGAGAGAGAGAGAGAGAGAGAGAGAGAGAGAGAGAGAGAGAGAGAGAGAGAGAGAGAGAGAGAGAGAGAGAGAGAGAGAGAGAGAGTAGAGAGAGAGAGAGAGAGAGAGAGAGAGAGA